TCATGAGCACAGCACAGAAGGGCATTGGTAGGGACACCAGAGGAGCTAAACACCAGCTCCTGGTTGACAGAACAGTCGCCCAAGACTGCCGGTCACGACACACCAACCTGTGCACAGCCTGGATTGATTACCAGAAAGCCTACGACTCAATGCCACACACATGGATCATGGAATGCTTGAAGTTGTACAATATCAACAGGGCTCTAAGGGACTTCGTTGCAAACTCGATGGGAATGTGGAAGACCACCCTTGAGGCAAATGGCAAGCCGCTCGCACAAGTGACCATCAAATGTGGTATCTACCAAGGAGATGCTCTGTCCCCACTACTGTTCTGCATAGGCCTCAACCCTCTAAGCCAAGTAATTGACCAGACTGGCTATGGATACCGCCTCAGGAACGGAGCCAAGATCAGTCACCTCCTCTACATGGATGACATCAAGCTGTACGCCAAGAGCGAGAGAGACATCGACTCTCTGATCCAAACAACCAGGATCTACAGCCATGACATCGGGATGTCATTCGGGCTCGAGAAATGTAGCAGGATGGTGACTCGGAGAGGCAAGGTAGTCCACACAGAAGGGATCTCACTCCCAGAGGGAACAATAGCAGACGTTGAGGACAGTTACAAGTATCTCGGTATACCACAGGCAAATGGCAACCTCGAACAGATGACGAGGAAAGCGGCAACTGCCAAATACCTCCAGCGAGTAAGGCAGGTCCTAAGAAGCCGGCGCAATGGCAAGAACAAGGCCCGGGCAATTAACAGCTACGCCCTGCCAGTGATCAGATACCCTGCAGGAATAATCAGGTGGCCAAAGGAAGAGATTCAGACCACGGATGTTAAAACTCGAAAGCTCCTTACCATGTGTAACCCAGATATATTTTGATATACTTTTTAAGAAATATTTTAAGAATGATATTGTTCATGTAATTTAAAATATCATTACATTTAAAATCATGTTTTTACCTGTGAAATGAAATGTTTTGTCAAGTCTCGCAAGACTTGGGGCGAGACTTTGGGTCTGAGATTTGCGCGCCGCCATTTTGAATATAGCCGGCTGCTTAGCATTTGTGGTTAGGTGTGTGGGAGATGCTGCATTAAGAGCTGCTACAGATTCATGTGACCGCAAAGTTGTCTTTGCTGCGTATATGTGTGTGTGTGAAGAAGGAATCGGCCAGGCTTAGGAGACTGCTTATTGCCATTGGCGACTTGCCGTGAGAGTACTGCCACGCAGCCATCCTACAGTTACCTGTGTGTTTTGATCAGCCTTCACGTCTGCTGCGGTAGGACACGCTGTAGGCACTCGCTCACTCCCCACCACCTCCTACATTACGAGGGTTGGGCCGGGGAGCTATTTTCCTTCCCTCTGGATCCTAGAACTGTTTACCTTTTGGGACTAAGAGGCCCTCTCGGACTCTGAGCGTGAACTCGGTGGATGGAAAGAGCGATTGGTTACTTGTTTTTGGTTTTGTTTTGTTTTGTTTTGTAAATATTCAAGTGCACTTGAGCCTGTAAATATTGTAAATACCCCTTCTTCAAAATATCAATAACACAAATAATTTGCTAGCATCCCAGTTGTCTTGAGTATTTCATACGCACTATCATTTCCTCCCAGAGAGAACTTATTTTTCTGAGTAGTCTCAGTCATATTACATTTTACAAAGAAAGTTACTATATTACCGATATAATCAGTAACTCTTATGCACATACGTGTTACATAAGTGGCGAGCTAGATAGCCAGGAGGAAATCTAAAATAGTGCTTAATAAATACTCTGGGTGCTTTATATAAAAATGGAAGTGTTTGAAGGGATGTCACTCAAAATATCAAATACATTGCTGGTTGAGGGCACAACGTCTGATGTCAAGGAAGTTGTTGAGTTCCTTGAACAATACGGTAAGATTAACAGGACAGCGATTATAAATGACCCCGTTTCTGAATTTGATGAAGCCCTTGTTGTTGAATTTGAATCGGGTATGTCTATTGCTACGCTTAAGCCAATATTGCCATACAATTTCAGTTCAGTTAAGAACCCAGGAAGTTATTTTATTCGTGAGTTATCGGATATTTATTCAAATCATGTGGGGAAAGTTAAAACTGAAACTTATTTGGCTGATATTCAAAAACTGGCTAAAGTATCAGGCATAGACTATGCTGAAGTTCTCTCAACTATGATGAAGCAGATTAGTAACTCACTCCAAGACATAAAGCCTGACGAAGCCAAGTCCTCAATAAGCTCAACTGAAGCTATTGTGTCACCACCCACTGTGCCTTCTGTGGCTCCTGCACCACCCACAATCAATGTGTCCTCCTTGCCCAGAGGGAGAATATCTACTGCCCACTTACCTACTCAAGATTTGAATCCCCCCGAGGTCCAGAGGCTGGTTGTGGAGCACATAGTGAAAAGTGAGGACGGTCCGACACATCACCTGTCCACACAGAGACTCAGGCCATTCTCGGGACGGACCCCCAGACCCCCGCACGAAGCAGATTATGACACCTGGCGTGCAGGAGTGGAGCTATTGTTAACTGACCCAGCGATATCAGATCTACATCGTTCAAGGCGTATTGTTGACAGTCTGCTGCCACCAGCTGTGGAAATGGTCCGCCACTTAAGTCCTGATACATTACCTATGGTTTACATGCAGATCTTGGATTCAGCATACGGAACGGTCCAAGATGGTGAAGAGTTGTTTGCTAAATTTATGGACACTTTTCAAGATTCAGGGGAGCGTGCGTCTTCTTATTTACAACGTCTTCAATGTGTTTTAAACTTGGCTGTTAAGAGAGGTGGGATCGCGGAAGTTGACACAAATAGACACTTGCTTAGTCAATTTTGTCGCGGCTGCTGGGACAATACACTTATTTCCGAATTACAGTTAAAACAAAAGAAATTCAATCCGCCCTCTTTCGCAGAGCTACTTTTATTGCTACGAACTGAGGAAGACCGCGAGGCATCAAAAAGTATCCGTATGAAGCAACATCTAGGGTCAACAAAGCAGAAAGTTTCTACTCATGCTCATATTGCCCACACTGAACATGAAGATAAAGGTGCTATAGCTGCCCTAACCTCTGTCACTCAACAATTGGCCCAGCAGGTTGCAGATATTCAAAAACAACTGGCTCTACTAACTACAACACAGTCACGTTCAAAACACCCAGTGCCCATTCCTCCCTCAAATAGCAAACCCAAGTTTGATAAATCATTGTCACGTCGACAAAGGTTTTGTTATCGCTGTGGTGAAGACGGTCATGTTCGTCCTGAGTGCACCAATGAACCCAACTCTGCCTTGGTTGCTCATAAGAAGAAGCAGGTCAATACACAGTTTCAGTCCAAGAGAAACTTGACCGGCAACAGGGAGTTAAACTAGAACCAGTTCCTGTTACGGGGAGAACAGGGGCTGGGGAGGGTCGACAATTTTCCCCAAAGAAAGCTGCTCAATGTAAATTATCACAGTCCAACTCTACTTCAGCGGAATTACCTCGTGGACTGGTGGGTTCAAAGTGTACAGCACTGGTGCAGATAGCTGGGCGTGAGTGTTCTTGCTTATTGGACACAGGCTCTCAGGTCACCACAATTCCAATTTCGTTCTATAATAATATTCTCTCAGATCAACCCGTCAAGTCACTCAATGATTTACTCCATGTTGAGGGAGCTGCAGGGCAGACAGTACCGTATTTGGGGTATGTGGAGGTGCAAATCACATTCTCCAAAGACTTTTTAGGTTCTGAGTTTACTGTACCCACACTGGCATTGGTAGTTCCAGATGAGGGCCCGGCACCCGTTCTTATTGGAATGAACACGTTGGAGCCGTTATACACTCATTATCTTCAGAGTGATTGTAACACCTCTCCCCCAGTTTCACAGGGATATTGCGCGGTGCTGAAACTCCTTGCCCTACGCCACCAACACAGCCAAGAGGGCAGTGTGGGAGTAATCCGGGTGTGCAGTAAGACACCACAGACTGTCCCTGCTGGATGTACAGTTGTTTTGGAGGGGTCCGCTGATGTTAAGCTCCACTCAGCTGGACGTTGGACACTTATTGAGCATCCCACGTCTCCGCTTCCCGGGGGTTTATGTGTGCAGAGCTGTCTAACTTCCATCCCAAAGCTTGCACCATACAAAGTTCCGGTCGTGGTAACCAACGAGTCAGAGCAAGATGTACTGATCCCACCGCGCACAGCTATTGCCAATGTTGGGGAGGCAGCTAGCATATTGTCACAGCAAGCTGTTAGTGCCGCCATTACCAACGCTACTCCGCTACATTTAAATTTTGGTGATTCACCTGTACCAGCTGAATGGAAGGATCGTATTGTAAACAAATTAAGTCAAGCTTCTGAAGTTTTCTCTCAGCATGACTTGGATTTTGGCTGCACAGATAAAGTCCGGCATCACATCAAGCTCAGTGATGAGACGCCATTCAAGCATCGTGCACGGCCAATTCATCCCCAGGATATTGAGGCAGTCCGGAGTCATCTTCGTGATCTCCTCGAAGCGGGGGTAATCAGGGAGTCTGAATCACCTTATTCGTCTCCTATTGTGGTTGTTAGGAAGAAGAATGGAGATGTCAGACTGTGTATAGACTTTCGGAAATTGAATTTACAAACTGTGAAGGATGCTTACGCATTGCCTAATCCAGAAGAATCTTTCTCAGCACTCAGTGGTTCCAAGTGGTTCAGTGTACTGGATTTGAAGTCTGGTTATTATCAGATTGCCATGAATGAAGAAGACAAGCATAAGACAGCCTTTGTTACTCCGATCGGATTCTGGGAATTCAACCGAATGCCCCAGGGTGTGACAAATGCACCAAGCACTTTTCAGAGATTAATGGAGCGCTGTATGGGTGATCTCAATTTAAAGGAAGTTTTTAGTGTTCCTCGACGATATCATCATTTTTTCGGAGACACTGGAAGAACATGAGAACCGGCTACTCCGGGTACTTGAACGGTTGAAAGATTTTGGACTCAAGTTGTCTCCAGAAAAGTGTCTTTTCTTTCAGACATCCGTGAAGTACCTGGGTCACATTGTTTCGGAGAAGGGTGTGGAGACGGATCCTGGAAAGATCGAAGCCTTAAAATCCTGGCCGATTCCTACGAACTTAAAAGAGTTGAGATCATTCCTTGGATTCGCCGGTTATTATCGGCGGTTTATTAAGGATTATGCTTCTTTCACCAAGCCGCTGAATGACCTCACCAAAGGTTATGGGTCAACACGGAAGTCCAACAAGGTGAAGCATCCTCCCACTTCCTGCTTGACGACCAAAGAACCCTTTGGGGATCGATGGACTACGGAGTGCCAGAGAGCTTTTGAAGTCTTGATCGACAAATTGACGTCGGCACCTGTCCTCGGTTTTGCCAACCCCAAGCAACCCTATATTCTGCATACGGATGCCAGCACAACCGGGCTGGGAGCTGCTCTTTATCAAGAACAGGATGGGCGGCTCAGGGTCATCGCTTATGCAAGTCGGGGGTTGTCGCACAGCGAGTCGCGTTATCCAGCTCATAAGCTGGAGTTTCTGGCACTGAAGTGGAGTGTTGTGGAGAAGTTTCACGACTATCTCTATGGAGCAAATTTTACTGTCGTTACGGATAGTAATCCTCTAACCTACATTCTTACTTCTGCTCGGTTGGATGCCACCAGCCATCGTTGGCTTGCAGCGCTTTCAGCGTATTCCTTTAAGCTGCAGTACCGAGCAGGCCGTCACAATCATGACGCTGACGGATTGTCACGACGGCCACATGTATCCAGCTCTGATGACAGCCATTTGCTGAAGGAACAAGGATTGATCCAGCAATTTCTGGAGCAACGTGTTGCCAAGACAGCTGATGAGGAAGAGTTATCTGCAGAGATTGTTAATACAATCTGTGAAACCTCTCTGCAGAAAGGGTCAGTTCATGGTGAAGATCCACCCTTTACCCTTGTGGAGTCTCTCTCAGTGCATGTGAAGGCCATTCCAGACTGCTATGCTGCTGAGGATCTTCATGGCCTTCCAGAACTTCCAGAGCTGGCAGAGAAAGAACTGAGAGATCGACAGCAGGCTGATCCGGCCTTCCATGAGGTGATCCAACAATTGGAAACTGGTGTTGCTGTAGTACCTGCTTTACGCAAAGAGCTTCCAGAGTTACCACTACTGCTCCGGGAACTACCCAAGTTAGAGATGGTGGATGGTGTCCTGTACAGGAGAAGATTGGAAGATAATCGTGTCAATCTACAACTAGTGTTGCCTCCTGATCTGCGTTCAGTTGTTTTCACAAGTCTCCATGACCACATGGGCCATATGGGAGTGGAAAGGACGCTGGATCTAATTCGCCAGCGGTTCTTTTGGCCAAAAATGGCTGCTGAAGTGGAGAGGAAGATTCGAACTTGTGGTCGGTGCGTACGGCGGAAAACTGCGCCAGAAAGGGCTGCGCCACTTGTAAATATCAAGACCTCTCGGCCACTCGAATTACTTTGCATGGATTTCCTGTCGATTGAACCTGACAGCAGCAATACGAAAGATGTGTTGGTACTTACTGATCATTTCACAAAGTTTGCTATGGCAATTCCCACTCCAAACCAGCGAGCACAAACGGTTGCAAAATTTCTTTGGAATGATTTTATTGCAAACTTTGGTGTCCCAGAACGCCTGCACACGGATCAAGGTCCCGACTTTGAGTCAAAGTTGATCCGGGAACTCTGTGAGCTGACTGGTATGAAAAAGACCCACACCACCCCGTACCACCCTCGAGGGAACCCCGTTGAGAGGTTTAATCGAACATTGCTTAACATGCTGGGAACTTTAGAGAACAAACAGAAGACCAGATGGCGAGATTATGTGAAACCTCTTGTGCACGCCTATAATTGCACACGCAATGAGGTAACTGGCTTCACGCCTTATGAACTCATGTTTGGCAGAACACCAAGACTCCCAGTTGATTTGGCTTTTGGTCTTCCTGTTCGTGAGAAGCCAACTTCTTCACATACAGAATATGTCAAAAGTTTGAAGGCTCGTCTCAAAGAGAGTTATCAATTAGCCTCTCGAAGTGCACAGAAGTCAGCTGATCGGAATAAAGCTCGATTTGACCGACGTGTAACTCCTTGCAAGCTGGACATGGGAGATAGAGTTCTGGTTCGCAGTGTCCGGATCCGAGGGAAACACAAATTGGAGGACAAGTGGGAATCTGACGTCTATGTAGTCATTAAATGTGCTGGAGATCTTCCCGTGTACACAGTGAAGCCAGAGACCAAGGATGGACCAACTCGCACCCTTCATAGAGATCTGCTCCTTCCCTGTGGGTTCCTCCCAGCTGCACCTTCTCGAGGCATTTCACCCGCTGCTCCTGTCCGAAAACATCAGACCCGCAGTCAAGCCTCACCTGAACTAGCTGACCCATACTTCTCTGATGATGACGACAGTCCTCCTTTCATCTCAATCAGTATAGTGGAATTTCCTGAAACTATTTCTAGTGTTCAACCCAGCCACAGTCACACTCTTGATGTTGAGCAGTCCGACATCCCTCTGGATCCAGCTTTAGCCACAAGAGTTGACGAGATTCCCAATCCTCCTGTTGAGCCTTCTCAAGAAATGGTTCCAGAGTCTAGCCATGAACCTGAGGCTACATTGCTATTGGACAATGAGAGATCTGTTGAAGCTGAAGATAAATTACCTATCCACCTTACCGATCCTTACCATTCTACCGATACTCCTGAAGCTGGCACTGAAACTATGGAGGAGGATGTGGCTGAAGACGTGCCAATTATTGAACAGTCTTTAAACCCTGAGGTGACAAACTCTGTTCCAGAAACAGTTACTGAAGTTGTAGAAGCCACTAATGTCAGTCATGAGGTAGGGGAAGATGTTGTACTTCGCCGCACAGGTCGTACTAGGGCCCCGCCTAGCCGGTTAACATATACCAAGTTGGGTAATCCCCTTATCTCTGTCGTCCAAACAATGTTTCAAACCCTTTCAGATGCTTACGCTGACGCTTTAAACCGCGCTGCTGTAATGGATATTTATCCCAAACGTAGTTAGCTTTCCCTCGTCTCAACATGCGACGGGACGTGCATGGTCTAAAGGGGGGAGGGTGTAACCCAGATATATTTTGATATACTTTTTAAGAAATATTTTAAGAATGATATTGTTCATGTAATTTAAAATATCATTACATTTAAAATCATGTTTTTACCTGTGAAATGAAATGTTTTGTCAAGTCTCGCAAGACTTGGGGCGAGACTTTGGGTCTGAGATTTGCGCGCCGCCATTTTGAATATAGCCGGCTGCTTAGCATTTGTGGTTAGGTGTGTGGGAGATGCTGCATTAAGAGCTGCTACAGATTCATGTGACCGCAAAGTTGTCTTTGCTGCGTATATGTGTGTGTGTGAAGAAGGAATCGGCCAGGCTTAGGAGACTGCTTATTGCCATTGGCGACTTGCCGTGAGAGTACTGCCAGCAGCCATCCTACAGTTACCTGTGTGTTTTGATCAGCCTTCACGTCTGCTGCGGTAGGACACGCTGTAGGCACTCGCTCACTCCCACCACCTCCTACATTACGAGGGTTGGGCCGGGGAGCTATTTTCCTTCCCTCTGGATCCTAGAACTGTTTACCTTTTGGGACTAAGAGGCCCTCTCGGACTCTGAGCGTGAACTCGGTGGATGGAAAGAGCGATTGGTTACTTGTTTTTGGTTTTGTTTTGTTTTGTTTTGTAAATATTCAAGTGCACTTGAGCCTGTAAATATTGTAAATACCCCTTCTTCAAAATATCAATAACACAAATAATTTGCTAGCATCCCAGTTGTCTTGAGTATTTCATACGCACTATCATTTCCTCCCAGAGAGAACTTATTTTTCTGAGTAGTCTCAGTCATATTACATTTTACAAAGAAAGTTACTATATTACCGATATAATCAGTAACTCTTATGCACATACGTGTTACACATGCATGGCGGCTTCCATCCCAAATCCAGCACCCTGAGACTGTACGTAAGCCGTAAAGAAGGAGGCCGAGGACTAGTGAGTGTGAGAGCCACTGTCCAGGACGAAACATCCAAACTCCATAACTACATCATGGAGAAGGCCAAAACGGATGACGTACTCAGTGAATGTCTCAGGCAGTGGCGAGATGAGGAGGTGCTGGAGGAGAGCCCATCATGGGAGAACAAGCCCCTACACGGCATGTACCACCGGAGCATAACAGAAGTGGCTGATCTCAAGAAGTCCTACCAATGGCTAGAAAGGGCTGGCCTACAGGACAGCACAGAGGCACTCATCATGGCTGCACAGGAGCAGGCCCTGAGCACCAGAGCGATAGAGGCCCAGATATACCACACCAGACAAGACCCAAGGTGTCGGTTGTGCAAAGAGGCACCTGAGACGATCCAACACATAACTGCAGGGTGCAAGATGCTGGCAGGGAAGGCCTACATGGAACGCCATAACCAAGTGGCTGGCATAGTGTACAGAAACATCTGTGCAGAGTATGGGCTGGAAACCCCAAGGTCTAAGTGGGAAACTCCTCCAAAGGTGGTGGAGAATGAGCGTGCGAAGATCCTGTGGGACTTCCAGATACAGACCGACCGAATGGTAATGGCGAACCAACCTGACATTGTGGTGGTAGACAAAGGGCAGAGGACAGCCGTGGTGGTGGACGTGGCAATTCCAAGCGATGGTAACATCCGGAAAAAAAGAACATGAAAAGCTTGAGAAATACCAAGGTCTCAGAGAGGAGCTGGAGAGGGCCTGGAGGGTAAAGGTGACAGTAGTGCCCGTGGTGATCGGTGCACTCGGGGCAGTGACCCCGAAGCTAGATGAGTGGTTACAGCGGATCCCCGGAACAACCTCGGACATCTCGGCCCAGAAATGTGCAGTGCTAGGAACAGCAAAGATACTGCGCAGAACCCTCAAGCTCCCAGGCCTCTGGTAGAGGACCCAAGCTTAGAGAGGGATAACCGCCCGCGGAGGGCCAAAGGTGAGTGGACAATTTTATATATATATATATATATATATATAGATACTGTTCATTATCATTATATATTCAGGCTGGAAACTGAACAGTTCTGGAAGAACATATGGGAGAAGGATGCAGCACATAACAGCAGTGCACAATGGCTGGTGTACCTGAGAGAGGAGCACAGCCACCTCCCAGAACAGAACTCAGTTACCATCACAGAGGCAGACATCCAAGAAAGAGTCTCAGGTATGAAAAACTGGACAGCACCTGGCCCTGATATGGTTCATGCCTACTGGCTAAGGACACTTACATCACTCCATGAGCGCCTAGCAGCACAAATAAACCAGCTGCTGAGAGATGGGACTCACCCAGAATGGCTAACCGAAGGGCGAACGGTCCTGATCACGAAGGACCCTGTCAAGGGTGCAGTCCCCTCCAACTACCGGCCAATAACCTGTCTCTCCACAACATGGAAGCTCATGTCAGGCATCATTGTGGCTAAGTTAAGTGGGCATATGGAACAATTCATGAGCACAGCACAGAAAGGCATTGGTAGAGACACCAGAGGAGCCAAACACCAGCTCCTGGTAGACAGAACAGTTGCCCAAGACTGCCGGTCACGACACACCAACCTGTGCACAGCCTGGATTGATTACCAGAAAGCCTACGACTCAATGCCACACACATGGATCATGGAATGCTTGAAGTTGTACAATATCAACAGGGCTCTAAGGGACTTCGTTGCAAACTCGATGGGAATGTGGAAGACCACCCTTGAGGCAAATGGCAAGCCGCTCGCACAAGTGACCATCAAATGTGGTATCTACCAAGGAGATGCTCTGTCCCCACTACTGTTCTGCATAGGCCTCAACCCTCTAAGCCAAGTAATTGACCAGACTGGCTATGGATACCGCCTCAGGAACGGAGCAAAGATCAGTCACCTCCTCTACATGGATGACATCAAGCTGTACGCCAAGAGCGAGAGAGACATCGACTCTCTGATCCAAACCACCAGGACAGCCATGACATTGGGATGTCATTCGGACTCGAGAAATGTAGCAGGATGGTGACTCGGAGAGGCAAGGTAGTCCACACAGAAGGGATCTCACTCCCAGAGGGAACAATAGCAGACGTTGAGGACAGTTACAAGTATCTCGGTATACCACAGGCAAATGGCAACCTCGAACAGGTGACGAGGAAAGCGGCAACTGCCAAATACCTCCAGCGAGTGAGGCAGGTCCTAGGAAGCCGGCTCAATGGCAAGAACAAGGCCCGGGCAATTAACAGCTACGCCCTGCCAGTGATCAGATACCCTGCAGGAATAATCAGGTGGCCAAAGGAAGAGATTCAGACCACGGATGTTAAAACTCGAAAGCTCCTTACCATGCATGGCGGGTTCCATCCCAAATCCAGCACCCTGAGACTGTACGTGAGCCGTAAAGAAGGAGGCCGAGGACTAGTGAGTGTGAGAGCCACTGTCCAGGACGAAACATCCAAACTCCATAACTACATCATGGAGAAGGCCAAAACGGATGACGTACTCAGTGAATGTCTCAGGCAGTGGCGAGATGAGGAGGTGCTGGAGGAGAGCCCATCATGGGAGAACAAGCCCCTACACGGCATGTACCACCGGAGCATAACAGAAGTGGCTGATCTCAAGAAGTCCTACCAATGGCTAGAAAGGGCTGGCCTACAGGACAGCACAGAGGCACTCATCATGGCTGCACAGGAGCAGGCCCTGAGCACCAGAGCGATAGAGGCCCAGATATACCACACCAGACAAGACCCAAGGTGTCGGTTGTGCAAAGAGGCACCTGAGACGATCCAACACATAACTGCAGGGTGCAAGATGCTGGCAGGGAAGGCCTACATGGAACGCCATAACCAAGTGGCTGGCATAGTGTACAGAAACATCTGTGCAGAGTATGGGCTGGAAACCCCAAGGTCTAAGTGGGAAACTCCTCCAAAGGTGGTGGAGAATGAGCGTGCGAAGATCCTGTGGGACTTCCAGATACAGACCGACCGAATGGTAATGGCGAACCAACCTGACATTGTGGTGGTAGACAAAGGGCAGAGGACAGCCGTGGTGGTGGACGTGGCAATTCCAAGCGATGGTAACATCCGGAAAAAAAGAACATGAAAAGCTTGAGAAATACCAAGGTCTCAGAGAGGAGCTGGAGAGGGCCTGGAGGGTAAAGGTGACAGTAGTGCCCGTGGTGATCGGTGCACTCGGGGCGGTGACCCCGAAGCTAGAGGAGTGGTTACAGCGGATCCCCGGAACAACCTCGGACATCTCGGTCCAGAAATGTGCAGTGCTAGGAACAGCAAAGATACTGCGCAGAACCCTCAAGCTCCCAGGCCTCTGGTAGAGGACCCGAGCTTAGAGAGGGATAACCGCCCGCGGAGGGCCAAAGGTGAGTGGAAAATTGTATATATATATACAATTGTTACAGGGGCGACAGTAGCTCAGTTGGTAGAGCATTGGCCTTCAGGCCTGAAGGTCATGGGTTCAATTCCCACCTCTACACCTTCTCCACCGACTCCCACTGATGACTGCTGTCGTTGTGTCCTTGGGCAAGACACTTAACCCCACTTTGCCCAAAGCCCCCACTGAAAGATCAAGGCTATGCTCACACTCAGAGAGCAGCCGTCCTCCTGTGGACTCACCACCTGCAGAGGGTCAGTGAGGGGCTGGTGCTATGAGACTTGGGTGGCATCTCTGACTGCCACCCCCCTGACCCAGAGATGGATTAAAGGGTAGAAAATGGATGGATGGATGGATGGATATATATATATATATATATATATATATATACAGTGGGGCAAAAGTCAATGGAAGGAGGTTTTGGCTCAAAATCTCACGATACATGGCCCCATTTATCCTTTTCTAAACACGGATCAGTCTTCCTGTCCCCTTAGCAGAAAAACCGCCCCAAAGTATGATGTTTCCACTCCCATGCTTCACAGTAGGTATGGTGTTCTTGGGATGCAACTCAGTATCCAAACACGATGAGTTGAGTTTATACCAAACAGTTCTACTTTGGTTTCATCTGACCACATGACATTCTCCCAATCCTCTGTTGTATAATCCATGTGCTCTCTGGCAAACTTCAGACGGGCCTGGACATGCACTGGCTTCAGCAGGGGGACACGTCTGGCACTGCAGGATTTGATTCCCCGTCGTCGTAGTGTGTGACTGATGGTAACCTTTGTTACTTTGGTCCCAGCTCTCTGCAGGTCATTCACCAGGTCCCCCCGTGTGGTTCTGGGATTTTTGATCACCGTTCTCATTGACCCCACGGGATGAGATCTTGCGTGGAGCCCCAGATCGAGTGAGATTACCAGTGGTTGAAATATCGTTTTGGGCTACATTTGGGCTATCTTTTATACAGATAACAAGTTCAAACAGGTGCCATTAATACAGGTAACGAGTGGAGGACAGAAGAGCTTCTTAAAGAAGAAGTTACAGGTCTGTGAGAGCCAGAGATCTTCCTTGTTTGAAGTGACCAAATACTTATTTTCCACCATAATTTACAAATAAATTCTTTAAAAATCCTACAATGTGAATTCCTTTTTTTTTTCACAGTCTGTCTCTTACAGTTGAAGTGTACCTATGATGAAAATAACAGACCTCTGTCATTATTTTAAGTGGGAGAACTTGCACAATCGGTGGCTGACTGTACTACTGTCACTGTCACCTTACATTGTGTGCACCATTTGCACTTGTGTATTGTAAATAGTAACTGTGACTCTATTTTAAATTTAAATTTATTCCTTAGAAGTGTTTTTTATTCTTTATTTGTATTCTTTATTTTTATTATCTCTTTCTGACTGTTGCACTGAGCCAGCAATTTCCAAGCCTGTGACTTCCTGTTTTTTGCCCCACTATATATGTCACAAGCTAAAGCCCAGTTAAAGTGGGCATAGGCCCAGAACACGATTAGATCTGGGCTTTAGCTGCCGTGTGACCGCTGCAACTGGTTGCAGCAATCATGCTCGGGCACGGTTGAGCGAGGTGGGCCTGAGCACGATTGTAAAGCCCAGATGAGGGGGGTCGATGTGGCGGGTGGTGGGGAGGTGATATTGTGCATTTTCGCAGACTTCATATGAAACCTACAGTCTCATACTTTCACATTCTCTATTGCTTGTGTTACACCTTTAAAGTACACCCCTGGACTGTTGTCGCGGGGCGCAGAGGAGTGTGGCTCCAGAGCCGAAGGGATGCGTTTGCTACCTACATTCTGTTCTGACCCTCGCTGTCACAGTGTGGGCTGTAGGATTAACACTTCAGACGCTCAAAAGTCACTTTATTTTGTGACCAGAACACACCAACATTCACTTGTATCCTGCTTCAGTCGCTCTGATCGTACGCCACTCTTTTCATTCTTTAATTTCTCAGGCTCTAGCCGTTTACTCTAATGCCGCGTTCAGACCGGATCATGCTTTGCGTCGGCTTTCAATGCAAAGTATATGGTGACGCGCGTTTGAGCGTCAAAATGCATATGCATCTCAAAATGCACACACGGACTGCTCAGTAGAGACGCATGGACTGCGCGGCAAAGTCGAAGGGGAGCTGCAGGAGCGTAAAATTGACGCACGCAGGAGATAAATATTGCCAAACGTTTCCTTGGACGTTTGTGCAGCGACCAATCAGAGAGCCGGTAAGAGGTCACGAGGACAGTAGTGGTCTGAGCGAGCAGACTGAACATACTCAGAAACAGCCGAAACAGGAGCCACACCAGGACTAAACCAGGGTTGACAATGGGGGACACAGTGTTTGTTAACATGTGAGTTTTCATGCTCCCGTGACTTTATGCAACTGCTTCGAGCATGTTTGCCGATGCGGAAGTACCGTTTAATAATAAAATAAACGTATGGCGCACCTCCGTGAACACATACTACTGTTATATAAAGTCTGTGAAAGGTCTCTGGACACAAAGACGCTGCAAAGCTGCATTATTGGAGAAGATCTGTACACAAGAAGCCGCTAGCATAACTCTGTTAGCGGCATGGTGGCTGAGTGGATAGCACTCTTGCCTCTCAGCAAGAAGGTCCTGGGTTCGATTCCCGGTCGGACCAGGGCCTTTCTGAGTGGAGTTTGCATGTTCTCCCCGTGTCTGCGTAGGTTTCCTCCGGGTACTCCGGTTTCCCCTACCACTAAAAACATGTCCAATAGTTCTGGCATGCGCCTCCTGTACTGGAGACCCCGCTCCATCTCTGTGTGGAGTGAGAGACAAATGCCCATAATTAACAATTGTAAACCGCTTTGAGACTCAGATCTGCAGTGAAAAGGCGGTATATAAATAAAAACTTACTTACTTACTGTTAGCATCAGAGCCCGCCGGCTACTTCCGCCACTTCCGGTGCGCGCCAGGACCTCCGGTCTGAAGACCCCTGCGTCTGAAAACTATAAAATGTGCGTCTGGTGAGTGAGGCTTCAGCGTTCCAGCGCTGGCGGACTGAATGCAGCAAAAGGCGCGCTTCCGTGTCCGCAGCCCACACACACACACACGCACGTTTCCCACTGCAAATTGGAGACATCTGACACCTGTTCACGTTAACTCTCACTAATTGCAAAGAACGCGATTCATGCTCGAGCTGGTTGGCTTTACAGCAGCCGAGTGTAAACAGGAAGAGAAACAGAAACTTCACTCTAACCGCGAGGTAGTCGCTGAAGTTAGTACTAGCGCCACCTGCTGGACCTAGTGTTGTAGTACACCCGCATTTTGGCATGTTTGAAAAAATAAACCCTTCTGACCGCGGGCCGTCTTCACACCCCTGTGGCGACGATCCGGGCCATTGACAGTCTGTGAAAGGTGCTATATAAATAAACATGACTCACTGAGTGTCCCTGCTTTGTCCCCAGCTCTTCATCTTCCGGCTGAGTAAAGCTTTGGACGTGGACTTCACGCAGTGTGCGACTCACGGCAGCTTCTCGGAGCGCTGGCAGGAGACGCTCTACAACATGTTTCACTTCATCACGCTGTACGTGTGCCCCCTAGTGGTCATGGTGTGGTGCTACAGCTGCATCCTGCTGCACATCCAGAGACAGGCCACCGTCCAGAAAGGTACCTTTAGAGTCAGAATGGAGTCAGAAAGTGTTGAGCCTGTGACTATTGGTTGAGAATGCTTAAAGCTACCTACGCACAGGTGAAGCTCAGACCATTTTTATTAAGTTCAAAAGTCCATTTACTTCTGTATCTGTTCTAGTAGGCCTGAGTGCAAAGTAGAATTTTTTTTCATATAAACGAGTCAGGAATGTACATTTGCCGTTTGAGGTATCTTCAATTCATAAGTGGAAAATTAAATTTGGCTGGATTTAGGTCTAATGCTAATTGATCCAATCAGATAGATAGATACTTTATTGATCCATGTAGGAGAAAGTCAGGTGTCCAGCAGCAGAAACACGTCCATCCACACAAAAAAATAAATACATAATTCTAAAATTTACTAACAATAGTAATAGGGTAGCAGAGGTGGTGAAGCCGCTGGGCGAAGACGACTTGCCGATATGTCATTTGGCAGCTCTATGGGATCTGTACCTGAGGCTCAGTGGATTCACCAGAGTTTGAAAACAGCTTCTTGAACGGCTGGGGCAGGAGTGATGTGTTTGTGCCAGATTACCATAACCCCCGGTCTGTTCTGATGAGTAGCACTGATGTTGTGTGTCTAATATGTGTGTGTTGCTTTGTGTGCTCCAGCCGGGGAGTGGAGCCTGCGGCGCTCGGGCACTGACATCATCCCAAAGGCTCGTATGAAGACGGTGAAGATGAGCGTGATCATGGTTCTGTCCTTCGTGGTCTGCTGGACACCGTACTACCTGCTGGGAGTCTGGTACTGGTTCCAGCCCTCGGTCCTGGACCACACCCCAGAGTACGTCCACCACACACTCTTTGTCTTCGGGAACCTCAACTCCTGCTTGGACCCCATCATCTACGGCTTTTACTCGCCGTCGTTCAGGGCCGGGCTGAGGCAGTGCTGCAGGAGGAGGAGGAGGACCACTGTGATCAGGGACCTGAACCAGAGCCCAGCCATGACCAAAGACCAGGTCCCACGGGAGGAGCAGGAGATGGGCAGTCTGAGCCCAGAGCAGGGGGAACTGGAGTGAGCTGCGCTGGACCTACACTGTACATTCAGGACATTGGAAAGAAGATTTCAAATAATCACTGGTTTCCAAACCTTTTCTTTGCATTTTCAGAACAAAAACCCTAACCCTAACCCTTTAAGATATTGAGTCAGTACGGAATAATGATTGCTTTGTGGCAGGGATGTCAAAGTCAAACACATCAGAGGCCGATAACCAAATAAACCAAAACCAAGGGCCGGTTCAAAGTTTATGAATACATATTTATAGTAATAATATGATTGAATATAACCAATTGAACTTAGAACGAACACAGTGTACCATATTTTATTTAATGATAAAATAAATAATCCAATATTTTTATATGGCTCTGTCAGTCATTTCAAGAGTAAAAAAAATTTTCAGACAAAAACAAACTTCCTTCATAGAGTAAACACATGTCCTGAACATTAATTGAATAATCAAAATGTTCTTATGGCTCTGTGCTGCTAATACTAATCAAATATCATCCCGGGCCAAGATCATTAATGAGAGGGCCGGATCTGGCCCCCGGGCCGCGACTTTGACACCCATGCTTTATTGCCATCTAACTGAGCACTAATACGTGGACAATAGATCGATTACAAAGTTACATGTACAAAAGGCGTAGGCATGGGGAACAATACTGAAATATCTAAATCCTTTGGGGGGCTACTTGGAAGCAGTGGTGAGCTACTGAGAGCTACTATACCTAAAGCTCCAGAGCTATAGGTTTGAGACCCATGATCCTGGTTCATCACATGTTATTTGTACTATCAAAGACCATGCACGAAGTAATATCTATGCACATTTTCCTCATAGGGCAGTGGTCTCAAACACTCAAAAGGTATTGTGTGCCCCCTAGTGGACATCAGACTGTAGTGTCAGTGCGTTTTAAAGGTACTGTAGTTTTTACTGTACTCCCATCTAGCATTGAGATCATATATTGCAGTCTAAGATAGTACGGTAGCTCCGTAGGACAATATGTCGTCTTTGACAGTGGTCCCAACTCTCGGCCAAACTCCTTTAGTTTGATAAATGACCGGATCTCTTCATACGTCTTGGTCGCTTGACTCGGGAGCTCTTAAAAACGTCACATTTGTTATTGGTTAAGATGTTTTTTTTATTTGGAGCAGAGTACCTTTAAAGATAATGTTATCAAGAAAACAACCACAGTATTAATATTATCATAAACACTGAACCCTGAATGCAACAAGCAATAATTCAAAGTACATTGTATTAAACCCAGTCTAAAAAAACAAAGACTCAGTGCTTTTCTCCAGTTTTGTTTCAGTCTCAGTTTGTTCATAGAAATACAGTGCCTTGCGAAAGTATTCGGCCCCCTTGAACCTTTCAACATTTTGCCACATTTCAGGCTTCAAACATAAAGATATAAAAATTATATTTTTTGTCAAGAATCAAGAACAAGTGGGACACAATCGTGAAGTGGAACAAAATTTATTGGATAATTTAAACTTTTTTAACAAATAAAAAACTGAAAAGTGGGGCGTGCAATATTATTCGGCCCCCTTGCGCTAATACTTTGTAGCGCCACCTTTTGCTGCAATTACAGCTGCAAGTCGCTTGGGGTATGTCTATCAGTTTTGCACATCGAGAGACTGGAATTCTTTCCCATTCTTCCTTGCAAAACAGCTCGAGCTCAGTTAGGTTGGATGGAGAGCGTTTGTGAACAGCAGTCTTCAGCTCTTTCCACAGATTCTCGATTGGATTCAGGTCTGGACTTTGACTTGGCCATTCTAACACCTGGATACGTCTATTTGTGAACCATTCCATTGTAGATTTGGCTTTATGCTTTGGATCATTGTCCTGTTGGAAGATACATCTCCGTCCCAGTCTCAGGTCTTTTGCAGACTCCAACAGGTTTTCTTCCAGAATGGTCCTGTATTTGGCTCCATCCATCTTCCCATCAATTTTAGCCACCTTCCCTGTCCCTGCTGAAGAAAAGCAGGCCCAAACCATGATGCTGCCACCACCATGTTTGACAGTGGGGATGGTGTGTTCAGGGTGATGAGCTGTGTTGCTTTTACGCCAAACATATCGTTTTGCATTGTGGCCAAAAAGTTCGATTTTGGTTTCATCTGACCAGAGCACCTTCTTCCACATGTTTGGTGTGTCTCCCAGGTGGCTTGTGGCAAACTTTAAACAAGACTTTTTATGGATATCTTTGAGAAATGGCTTTCTTCTTGCCACTCTTCCATAAAGGCCAGATTTGTGCAGTGCACGACTGATTGTCGTCCTATGGACAGACTCTCCCACCTCAGCTGTAGTTATCTGCAGTTCATCCAGAGTGATCATGGGCCTCTTGGCTGCATCTCTGATCAGACTTCTCCTTGTTTGAGATGAAAGTTTGGAGGGACGGCCAGGTCTTGGTAGATTTGCAGTGGTCTGATACTCCTTCCATTTCAATATAATTGTTTGCACAGTGCTCCTTGAGATGTTTAAAGCTTGGGAAATCTTTTTGTATCCAAATCCGGCTTTAAACTTCTCCACAACAGTATCTCGGACCTGCCTGGTGTGTTCCTTTGTCTTCATGGTTCTCTCTGCGCTACAGAACCCTGAGACTATCAAAGAGCAGGTGCATTTATACGGAGACTTGATTACACACAGGTGCATTCTATTTATCATCATCAGTCATTTAGGACAACATTGGATCATTCAAAGATCCTCACTGAACTTCTGGAGTGAGTTTGCTGCACTGAAAGTAAAGGGGCCGAATAATATTGCACGCCCCACTTTTCAGTTTTTTATTTGTTAAAAAAGTTTAAATTATCCAATAAATTTCGTTCCACTTCACGATTGTGTCCCACTTTTTGTTGATTCATGACAAAAAAATTAAAATTTTATATCTTTATGTTTGAAGCCTGAAATGTGGCGAAATGTTGAAAGGTTCAAGGGGGCCGAATACTTTGCACTGTATATTAAAGTAGCAGTATGTAATATTTGCCTGTCAAGTCATCATTAAATGGCCCCCATATTTCAAAAGGCGTTATTAAATCATGCTCTTTTCGAATACATCTTTAACTGATAACAGTAGTTCAGCCGAGATATTTGTTTATCAAAATTAGTTTTACGACCCGTAAAAGTTGTTGTTGTTTTGATTTGGATGTCCTGCCCTCCGCCGTTTCGCCAATCAGGAAGTGTCATGTAAGTCCGTGATCGGGTTGCCAGGACTCTGTGCGGCTCATTAATCTCAGTGGTAAAATAACATGTGGCCGCAGAACTAAAAAAGGTCTTGTTATGACTCTCAAATCATTAATGACAAAACAAAGACTATGTGATGCAAAATTTGCTGCTTTGAGTCCGTTCTTTAGAAGCGCAAATCAGTGGTCTGGTGGTTTAATCTACGCGCTCACGACGTAGTAACCCGGGGTTGATTCCAGGCAGGGGCCTTTTTGTATTTAATTGCATGTTATCACATTCTATGACAGATTGCTCTAAAAACGGTAAAAGACGAAGGTTAAGATGTTTTTTTTGCAGTTTATAGCTTAATTGTAAAAAGAATAATTTAAGACCACATGTACCCAAATTAAAATAATGTTAGTCTCTTTTTGATGTGGGACTTATACATGTTTGTCTAAAAAATAGGGAATAAATAAAATTGGAGGGTGATATCCTCTGGAGCAAACCCTGATGTTGATACGCTGAAGAAATACGTTCCAACATCCATTCTTCCCACTCCTATTTTGGACATCAATTGCTTATTTATTTTGGATAATCTATAATTACATTACTTTTATTTTGTTTCGTGTTTTTTATCTCAAATGTCCAAATAAGAATACAAAATTAAACATTCATTCAACATTAGCATGCCTCATGGCAATGTGAATGGAGACTGACAAACAACTGATAAAATAACTCCCTGTGTTTGCTGCTGGATTTGGTATGTATCTGGCAACCTGAGTCACGGAGAGTGGAAGAGGACTACAAAATATTGACTGTGACTGCAGTACCACTTTTGGCCAGATTTTTACATATTGTTCCTTTAAAGGGCCCTAATCCGTCATCATTAAAGGGCCCTAATCTGTCAAAAGGCATTATTAAAACATGCTCTTTTCAAATACTTCTTTATCTGATAACAGTCGTTCAGAGATATTTCAATTTCAAAATTAGTTTTACAGTTCTTAAATCTTGTTATTGTTTTCATTCCGATGTCCCGCCCTCCACCATTTCACCAATCAGAAAGTCTGTGATCCGGGCGCCAGAACTCACCGCGTGGAGCTAATCTCACTGGTAAAGTACCATGTGGCGCGGAACAAAAAAAATTCTCGTTGTGATTCTCAAATCCTTAACGACAAAACAAAGAATAAAACCAGGATTTCTATCTTTGTGAAAAAGGTGTTGGTTATAGATTTGTTGTTGAAAAAACTGTTGTATTCAGATATTATGGTCCAGCTCGATTCATCTGCATATCTGGCAACCTGAGTCAGGGAGAGTGGGAGAGGCTGCAGTACCACTTTTGGCCACATTTTTACATACTGCTCCTTTTAAATTAGATCAAACTCATGTTCAATAACAGTAAAGATTTGGTCTAAACTTCTTCATGATGAAAAGTCAAAGAAACAAACAATTAACCATAAAACTTTTCACAAACATGGAAAGTTTTATATTTCCACATGGTTTTCCTGTTTGTAATAATAATAATAATGATGCATTGGTTTCCTATTGAGATTTTTTGGACACTCAAAGACACTTCACATGGCATTATTCATTCACTACATAATTCATTCACAACAGTGAAAAACTACCACTATAGCCACAGCTGCCCTGGGGCACATTGATAGAAGCGAGGCCACCAGTCTGTGCCAACGGCCCTTTCCACCACCATCAACCTTTCACACACACACACCAGACTCAGACTAAGGACACAGCCACAATTTTGGACTATACAGCCACAGCCGCCCCACTGTGGCACCTGGTGTTCCCAAAGGTCTCCCATCACAGTACTAACCAGATCCTGCCCTGCTTAGCTTCAGAGGTCTGACAAACTGGCTTTTGTTTTTTTTGTATGGCCACAAACTTGTGTTTCTGTTTAGATACAAACTTTTACTTTCCCTGTTAATGTTAAAGGTACACTATAGTTTTTACTCCCCTCTAGTGGTGAGATCATATATTGCAGTCTAAGATTTTGGGTCCAGCTTTAATGGACAATTTGTCGTCTTGACAGTGGTCCCCAACTCTCAATCAAAGTCTTTTTAGTTTGAAAATTGACAGGATCTCTCCGTACGTCTTGGTCACTTGACACTGTAGTGCTAAAATGTGGGTTTGAGACCTCTGCTCTAGGGAATTGAAAATATATTTTGTAATTTGAAAAGCTTGTTTGGTCAGGTGGGTCAGGGTTTGGTCGTTCTACATTCTGTGAGCGCCTTAGTTACAAATTTATTGAAAAGAAAATCTTTGGACCAGTCACAATCAGAACCGGGAACGCAGAACTCTGCATCCAAACTGTTACAGGCTTCTCCTTCATTGTCCTTCCTTTTTGATCTTTGTGCCATTAAGGTCAATAAAAATGCTATATTATATATGTTATATATTATATGCTAGCATTAGCAGCTTTGTAAAGTCTCACATATACAAGTACAGTATGTTACTGTGTTGTTAATATGATCCTTTACTGCCTGTGCCTTTATTGCACTTCTGGTTAGATGTTAAACTGCATTTTGTTGCATTGCTCTGACTTTGTAATGACAATAAAGTTGAATCTAATCTATATTACCCAAAGTGTCAAAATAAACTTGTTTAAACTGAATACTGTCTCCAAACCTGGAGCTGCGTCATCACAGGTCGCTCTGAAGGAAGGACAAGGATTCTGGCTCAATTTGGATGCAGCCTTTCAAGATTGCAGCCATTTCTTTGAATATTTTAAAAAGAGACTTTAGGAGTAAAGCAACACTCCTGACAATCAGCCATGTCATCAGTGTCACTAATGTTGGTATGTTGGAAAATGTATTCCGTTCCAGAATACTGAATACATGACCTAAAAAGCATTTTGAATAGTATTCCGTTACTTTGGAAAAACATAAAGTGACAAGAGACACTAAAATACCCACAAACGCTGACCTTTGAGAAAGCCTTTGACCCCTGTCTCTGAGGACGAGTTGTTTTAGTGACACTGAGGTCTGTGGGGAAATCTCCTGACAGTCCATGTGGAGTTAGGCTGCAGTGCCGTGAGTGGCCTCTAGTCCATGTGGAGTTAGGCTGCAGTACCGTGAGTGGCCTCTAGTCTATGTGGCGTTAGGCTGCAGTACCGTGAGTGGCCTCTAGTCTATGTGGATGTAGGCTGCAGTACCGTGAGTGGCCTCTAGTCCGTATGGAGGCAGGTTCAAGCTGCAACACTAAAATTACATCTATGGTGTGACACTTGCAATCTTGTTTTTAGATTACTAAATCCAGAGCAGGCGCTGGTATTTGGTTAAAAAGTAAATCCAAAATGCATATTACGCAAAAATAAAGTTGTATTTACATCCTACAAATGCAAGTTGGAAATACAAAACTGAATTGTATATTAAATTACTAAATGTTGAGCCATTGCATTTACCATAAAGCTTCCATGGGAGGAGTCATACTAATATTTACAGTCTATGGTCTTACTGCAGCTCATGGTCCAATCAGGGAGAGAATGGCGCGCGGTGGCTGAGTGAATAGGACTCTCACGTCTCAGCAAGAAGGTCCTGGGTTCGAGACCCGGTCAGAACAGGGCCTTTCTTAGTGGTGTTTGCATGCTTTCCCCGTGTCTGCGTAGGTTTCCTCCAGGTGCTTCGGTTTCCCCTACTACTAAAAACATGTACAATATGTCTGGCATGCGCCTCCTGCACTGGCGACCCCGCTCTCTGTGTGGAGTGGGAGACAAATGCCCACAATTGTAAAGCTCTTTGTGACTCTGATCTGTAAAAGACGTTATATAGAATAAAACATGATCTAACTCTAAAACGAATCCAGTGACTCTGATCCACTCTGGAAACATTACAGTGGACTTAGATTGGTTCTTGGATGCTTAAATCTATCTGAAATACGTCTTGAGTGCACCTTTCACATGCAAAGCAAACAGTTATTGGAATGTGCCCTCCTCCTGTCTGTGATTGGCTCAGAGTGAGGCCTCCTGTCTGTGATTGGCTCAGAGTGAGGCCTAATGGACAGAGTGGGACCTCCCTCTGTTCACTTGTGCAGAAGTTCACTGGAGGCAGCGTCAGCATGGGTGAGTCACTGCTCTGTCCACTCTACTCCTCTGGGGGGGTCACCTAATGCAAATATGTCTCAATGCACATTTTAAACATGTGCAACATTGCATTTTGTTTGTGGTCATTTGCTAAAACTTGTGGAAGCTGAAGCTGAGGTCCTGAGGAAAGTGACAAAGTGCAAATGTCTGGGGTCGTGTCTGAGCAGAAGTCTTATTGTTGGTTACAGCACCTGCTGAGTCACCAATGCATATGTTTACTTAGACCAAAACGTTAAAGTAGAAAAGTGTTGATCTGCTCAATTGCTCAAAATTCTTGTAAAAGATTCACATTCCGTCCTTTGGTCACACTAGATAAATATTCAGGTTATTTTCCATTTGCATTAAAAACACATTGGAATAACTGTGCAAGAATTCCTCAGTGTGCACCACCACTGCCGCATACTGTATGACCATAAGAATTCATTGAAATAAACAATATATCATCCAAAGTCAGAAATACTCTAAAAATACTCCGGAAAACATGTAGATCTTTCATAAAACTGGTGGCAGGAGCTCTGGTGTGCTCTGTCTGCTCTGGTGCACACTGGGATTGTCTTGTACAGTTATTCCAATGTGGTTTTATTGCAAATAGCAAATAAACTGAATCTGATCAAAAACATCATCAACCTAAAAAACACCAAACCTCTTCATTTGTCCAGTGGTGGTTTTCCCTCGTTTTGAAATCAGTCTCTCAGACTTTATTCAGAGTTTCTTGTTTGTGTCGAGTGAGTTCTTCTTTGAGGCGTCTTCTATTCTCCAGATTCATCTCAGTGTCTGTATTCAGACCAGATTCATCTCAGTGTCTGTATTCAGACCAGGTTCATCTCAGTGTCTGTATTCAGACCAGATTCATCTCAGTGTCTGTATTCAGACCAGGTTCATCTCAGTGTCTGTATTCAGACCAGGTTCATCTCAGTGTCTGTATTCAGACCAGGTTCATCTCAGTGTCGGTATTCAGACCAGGTTCATCTCAGTGTCTGTATTCAGACCAGGTTCATCTCAGGCTTTGTCCAGAGCGTCCAGTGCACTGGTCCAAACCAATGATTTCTCTCTTGAAAAAAGGGATATGAATAATAAAGCCTGCTTGTAGCGTAACTTTTCCTTTCAAAGAAAACTCTCATTCCTGCATCTCCCATGAGCCTCTGCAGGTACAGAGAGGCCTCTCTCTCTTTGCGCTGCTGCATGAACACAGCTGGAACTACTGTTGTGGTGCGCCTCCATTTCCACAGCAGCTAAAGGGACCTGCGCCAAAAACATTTAACACATTTGTAACTTTTAAAAAGCAAAACACGGTGATGTGAAAGTCACTGTAGGGTTTTACAAAGCGTTTCTGATTCCGGAGCCAGAACTACTTACTTCATCCCTTTACTCTTAAACCGGGCCCATGAAGCCCTGGTCCAGCTCCTAAAAAGGGTCCAGGGTAGTCTTCAACGGATCGGCATGGCTCACTTTGAGAGTGGAAACACACGAACTGAGCGTCCTGAGTCCGATCTTGCTGATGGTCCTTCTCTCTGCCCACTGCTCCACCATCGAGGCTTGTTGTTTTAATCTGTATGAAGGCTGGGGACCTTTGGTTTATTAGAAGCCTCCCTCAGTTCTGGTTCAGACCGTGTTCAGACCAGCTCACAGCTGAGACTAACCATGTGGGGAATATACATGTATATATCAAAACAAACATGTGATGTATTGCTTGTTGCACATGGTTTGAATCTGAAATGTTCCCGTTTGAAACGGGCATTTCTGAATCAGAGTCATTTTATTGCCATTAAAGTAGAATCAAAAGTAGACTTATCAGAAATCAGACACGTCGCAGCTCTGGGTTCAGTTGAGTGAATTTTATCACCTTTTTAAGATGTCAAATGTTTTGTCCACAAAGGTCATGAGGGACCAGAGTGTGTTATGGACCAGAGTGTGTTATGGACCAGAGTATGTTATGGACCAGAGTATGTTATGGACCAGAGCGTGTTATGGACCAGAGCGTGTTATGGACCAGAGTGTGTTATGGACCAGAGTGTGTTATGGACCAGAGTGTGTTATGGACCAGAGTGTGTTATGGACCAGAGTGTGTTATGGACCAGAGTGTGTTATGGACCAGGGTGTGTTATGGACCAGGGTGTGTTATGGACCAGGGTGTGTGTGATAACCTGTGGATGGGATGTAACGAGTAGTATCTTTATTTGTTGTAATTACAGTACAATCTGTGTGTGCGTGGGTTTTTTTAAGGTTTATATGATTTTCTTGTGTTTTGTATCTGTTTTGCTGTATCTGTCACCTTGTGAAATCTTGAGGATCCCCTTGAAAACGAGATGATTCATCTCAAGGGGCTTATCCTCTAAATAAATAGATATATAAATAAAACATTTCAGGATGACTGTGGTGTTGGTGCGGAATGCAGTCTCTGAGATAAATGACATTAGATCTGCTCTCTGGGCTCAAAGTTTTGTTCATCTGTTTATTTAATGAACAGATTTCTTAACGACTTGTAAGAAACGCCTAAAAGTCCAGCACAAAAACACAGATTTTGACCATGAAAAAGTGTCAGTATAATGTTTATCTTTTACCCCTGACCGACCTTTCCTGCTGCATTCATCCAAAACAAGAATGTTGATCTAAGTCCTATCTGAGGCGAGGGGGAGTCGTGGGGGAGGCGTAGGGCAGGCGTAGGGGAGGCGTAGGGGAGGCGTAGGCGAGAGAGGTTGTGTAAGCGGGTCACCCACGGTCAGCCTTTGTTTTGCCTCTGGAACTTTGTCCTGGGAAAACCGTCAGGCTGCACAGGGTTCAGTCTGCAAAGGGCTCAGGCAGCACAGGGCTCAGGCAGCAGAACCGGTGCTCCAGAACCACTGCCTCTCACACAGGCCCAGTACAGGACGGGTCAAATGCAGAGGACACACTTCCTACAAGGACCAGGATACATGGACCCTTTAAGCGCCAAAGTAGCAGAATTCCCATAAAAGCTCCGAAGTGAAATGGCTTCCCACAAATGTCTGCCTACATTTGTCATATATAATGTCCTTCTATGTGTTTTGTTATAGATGATATAAGTCATACACTATCTCTTATCAGTCACCATGTGTCTGTTTCACACTACATCCTACACGGCTTTTTAGGTTCTTCTAATAAGACAATTAAAGCAAAAAAAGCTAGTACTGCTTAAATACCTGACATGTTTCGGCGGTAGACTTCCGCCTTCATCAGAGGTGACACGTGATGGTGTGACGCGCCTCTTATCAGCTGTTGTTGCCGGAAGCAGTCAGTCTGACAGATCTCACAGATCCATCAAACTGACCACGTCCCCCGCCGCGCTGTGGTCTCTGGAGAAGTGAATCCCAAGTGTGAGCCATGGTGAAGGCCCCCCTCGTCTCTGTTGATGGTCTGTGTTCCCCGCTTCCTGATTTCAATCGCCCTCGTATCCATCTTTTGTATTTATGTTCTTCTGTTCCTACTATTTTTGCATTGTCCCAGTCCATGATGTGATTCTCTCTTTTGCAGTGGTCTGATATTGCTGATTTGAAGTTTTCCTGTGTTGCCTTTTCCTTGGTTGCTCTTGTTAGTCACGCTGCCGTTTCTTTTTCGCATTCCTTTTGATGTTCCTTTCTTCTGGTGCTAAAAGCTCTCCCCGTTTCCCCGATGTATGTTTTATTACAGGTTCTACATGGTATTTTGTATATGACATTGCACTTTTTTTCCGGTTGTATTTTGTCTTTTGGGTGAACGAGGATCTGTCTGAGCTTCTTGTGTGGTTTGATTATTGCATTGATGTTGTGTTTTCCGAGTGCTCTCTGTATCTGCTCCGTGACCCCTTGTATGTATGGTATGGTGACTATGTCTTTGTGTTCGTTGTGTTTTTGTGGTTGCTTTTTTCTCTGTTTTTGTGTGATCTGTTTGTTTAGTACCTGTTGTCTTCCTTTCTGTATTGCCCATCTGGGATATTGACAAACCTTGAGTGCTTGGATTATGTGTCCTCCTTCTTTTATCCTGTCTTCTTCCTCTGTGATGTTGTTGAGGCGTTCAAATAGTGTTCTGACAACAGATAGTTTGTGTGCAATGGGGTGTTCTGAGGTCCAGAGTAAATATTGATCAGTGTGTGTTGGTTTCCTGTATACCGTTGTCTTGATGCTGCCGTCCTGTTGGTGGTGAATGTTTAAGTCCAGAAAAGGTATGCAGCCCTCCCTCTCCTCCTCATGTGTGAATTGTATGTGTCCTGTTGAGTCTATGGTGTTGAGATGGTCAGTGAGGTCCTGTGTGTCTCCTGTCTTTACTTTTTCTAAAATGTCGTCGACGTATCTTTTCCATAGGGTTGGTTTGTATTGTTGTGGTGCTGTGTTGATGGCTCTCTCCTCTAAATCCTCCATGAAAAAGTAGCTCATTATTGCAGATAGTGGATCCCCCATGGCAAAACCCTCCTTCTGTCTGTATATTGTGTCCTTGTATTGGAAGTAAGTGGATTTGGCAATAAAAGTTAGAAGTTGTGTTATGTCTGTGAGGTTTGTGCCTTTTTTGAGTGTCCGGTCCTTCTTAAGTCTCTCGTGTACAATGTGAATAGTGACGTCAACTGGTGTCTTGGTGAATAATGACACAACGTCATGTGATTTGAGTGCCTCGTCCTTTTCGATTGATATGTTTTTGAGTTCCTGAGCCAGTTCCTTTGAGTTTTTGCAGTGGTGGTTAGTGTTTCCAATGAGAGGTTTTATTATTTCCACTAGTGCTTTAGATAGGTTGTATGTGACTGATCCTGTGCTGTCTACTATGGGGCGGAGTGGTGTGTTTTCTTTGTGTATTTTTGGTGTGCCATACATACGTGGGGTGATATTGGCTGTGGGAATGAAATGGTTGTATGCTTGTGTGGTTATTTTTCCTGCGTCTGCTAGAGGTTTGAGTAATGACTTCAGTTTCCGTTTCTTTTCCTCTGTGGGGTTATTTTTTAATATTTCGTATGTGTTTGTATCGCTTACTGTAGTAGTGAGTTCATTTTTTCCTCGTAGTCCTGTGTGTCCATAACCACCGTGGTTCTTCCCTTGTCCGCCGGTATTATTGATGTTTGTCCTTGGTGAGTGAAATGAGTGCCCTTCTTTGTTCTTTTGATATGTTGCTGGGTGGTAGTTTTGCTGCTTTGAGTATACCTGTGACAGTGTTCCTAAGATCTGCCTTTTTTCCCTGGTCATGTATCTTATTGCATGCTAACTCCGTTGCCAATATAAACTCTTCGTGTGGTATTTTGTCCGGTGTGATGGCAAAATGTAGTCCTCGTTTTAGTATGTTTCGTTCTGTGTCCGTGAGTGTTCGTTTTGACAGATTAAATAGCCATTTATCGTTACTGGGTCCCTGTGTGCTCTGTCTTTTGTTCGTAATGAGTTTATCTAGCTTACCGATTTGTCGCTTCTTGGTTGTTTCGAATTCTTTTTTGTATGTGTCATGTAATTGTCTGTCCATCCATAATTTTTCTTCCTCTTGTAGGGGGTATAGTTCTTCAAAAAATACGTGTTTGTTGCCGTAACTCCTTGGCTAGCGCCTCTCTTCTGATGTTTATCATCCGTATCCGTTCTTTTAGTAAATCCCGTTTTGCTTTGTTGATTATCCTGTCCGCGTTTCTCGTGTGTATGGGGTTCTTGATTTTAAGACTCTTTGGAGTCACATTTTCGTCTCTGCATCTCAGGCTGAATCTCAGGTGGTTTTTCTGGCGGGCTTGGGCTTTTTTGATCTTCTCCAGATGACGGAAAGCTTTGAGACACCGTGCTCCAAATCTTTCGCGTATTAAATGTGGAAAATTCATTCTGTCTTCTTATGTTTACAGCTTTTTAGGTTCTTCTAACCCCTTCTTCCACGGGTTCGTCCCCGTGGACGTGGTCAGTCTGACGGATCTGTGAGATCTGTCAGACTGACTGCTTCCGGCAACAACAGCTGATAAGAGACGCGTCACACCATCACGTGTCACCTCTGATGAAGGCGGAAGTGTACCGCCGAAACATGTCAGGTATTTATGCAGTACTAGCTTTTTTTTGCTTTAATTGTCTTATTAGAAGAACCTAAAAAGCCGTAAACATTTACTACATCCTACAGTTTACTGAGAGAGTGGGTGGGCAGCTCAGGTGATGTTGGTGTTATATACCTCCTTCCATAGTTAACCTACGTGCTACGTCTTGTTTCTGCTTAAGGAAAGTTTAGTGTCAGTTAGTTTGGTATAGAGACGACATGCAGACCTGTTGACATTTGCATATTTAATTCCTTCATGTGAAACAGAGTGAGGTATAATCTTAATATGGGAGAATTAAGGATGATTTCTTCTGATGTGACTGACAAGAAACAACTTGATTTGAACCAACTGAAATCTGTCCAGAACAAAAAAGCTTAAAGTACTACTAGAATTTAATATGCTGCTATCCAGAATATATAACTACAATATGTGTTTATAATATTTCGGGTGTTCATTTTGATATGTTCAGATGAATTATGTTAAAAAAAACAGCTTTGAAGTCGGACCTTTACACAAACGCTAGGGGGAGCCAAAATGGCGGCGATGACGTAGGAGAAGGACCTCTCACAGCAGAGGACAGCAGTCTGGGCTGAATCTGTAGGAGGTTTCACTGTCATCTGAACAAGGTATAAACATATTGTAATATCCATAAATGCTAATCAAAATAACTCAAATTAAATAAATATTTTACTTTTATGAACAAAAATCTGCAGAAGTTGAAAACATAGACTACATGTGATGCAATCATTGATAAAAATGCTAATTAAACCGTTAATAGGTGTTAGCATTTATGGATATTACAATGTACATTGTGGTAAATAAATCTAAGGCAACCAAAGTGAGACTGGCATAATGTAAAAACGAATATTAGCCTTGTTAGCATGTTTTATGATATCAAGTAGAGTTAGCTAACTTGCCCAGCACTAATTAGCTTGAATCTCACAAATAAGGCTAAAAGGTTAAAAGAGTTGCACACTATTATGTACAAAACGGATGAAAATATGTTTATACCTTGTTCAGATGACAGTGAAACCTCCTACAGATTCAGCCCAGATTGCTGTCTGCTGTGAGAGGTCCTTCTCCTACGTCATCGCCGCCATTTTGGGCCCCCCTAGCGTTTCTATGCGGAAGTGAAAAGGTGCCACTTCAAGAGAGAGGGCAAGCACGATTTGCGACTCACGGCAACTTCCGGTGACTCGCGTGACTCAGGCGCTCTGAGTCGCGGCTCACGCTCAGCATTCAGGGGTCGTGGCTCACGGTTATCAATTTAACTTTTTAGGGGTATCTGTGGATTATCAATGACACATTGTGGATCTGGAGGCATATATTTACAAGTAACCAGTATGTTACACACTCTTGATCATCTGGTATGTGTTTATATAGCTCTCCATGTTCGTTAACCACTGACTCAGGAGCTGTGAGTCGCGACTCATCAGTCAGAAGTCGAGGCTCACAGTTAAAAATACCACAAATCTTTGCTTTTTAGGGGTTTCTGGGAATTTCTATTGAGACAATATGGATCTGGAGGCATAGTTTACATGTAATCAGTATGTTACACACTCTTCATCAGCTGGTATTTGTTTGTATAGATCTCTATGAACTGTTCACCACTGACTCACAGCTCCTGAGTCGCGGCTCAGGAGCTGTGAGTCGCGGCTTAGCAGTCAGAAGTCATAGCTCACGGTTAAAAATACCACAAATCTGTGCTTTTTAGGGGTATCTGGGAATTATTAGGGGCAACAGTGACTCAATTGGCAGAGCTTTGGTCTTTGGACCTAATGATCGTGGGGTCGTGCCCCCACAACCACCTGCTCCCACTGAAGCAAGACGCCCCATCGTGGTATCTTATATACAGTCATGGGACCTCATGAATGAGTATGAGCACAAGTATGTGGAAACGGCACAAGTATGTGGAAACGGCACAATACTAATATTGGTATTGGTGCATCCTTAGTAAAATAAACAGACTCAGAATTAGCAGCGCAGGTTTACAGTCATAGTGCAAGTGGTTGATTAAGTGATACAGGCCTAAATACAGATTATTACATGTATTTGCAGGGCTTATTTCATATTCTAATGAAAAAGACTTTTTAGGAGTATTTATGAATTATTAATGTATCTGGATGAACATTTTCCATGTCCTCAGTGCCTCATACATACTTTACCAGCTGATATGTGTTTGTATTACTCTATTGTTAACAAGTGACTTACGAGACATAAGTCAGGACTCGTCTGCTGACACCAGGGGGCGCTGTCTAATCTCATGTTGAATCATGCACGACGTTGGACATCTCGCTTGCAATTTAAATTTCACCAAAATATTGAGGTAGGTTATTTTGTTTCGTTTTTTGGAATCTGTCTTTTAATCATTTTAACATTTTAAAGGGCATAACATTTAAACAGGAAAAAAAAAAAAAACTTGTGTAAAATTCCTTGGTTGTAATTCTGTGGCTTCAAAGAATACACAAAACTTGCAGATACAGAGCAGAGTGTATACTCCATAGGACAAAAGATGAGGCAAGGTGTATAACACAGGTTTGGTCACATAAGAAATAAATAACTAAAAAACCACTGAGACATTATTATTTGTTATTTATTAATAATGCTAAAGGCATTTGAAAAAATACATACAATACACAAACAAACACAATTATAAAAGCCACTTGTACCAATTTGTCCTTATAGTAATATAATGTGGATGACAAAGTGAGCCAAGAACCCAGAGTAGAGATTTCTTTGTCTTTGAACAAACACAAGCATCAGGGCATTTCATTTCAGGGCATTTTAATTCTAAAAAAAATGATTATTGTTAACTTTAGAGGATAGTGTGCTGAGGTGGACTTACTATTGTAAATAGAGAATTAAAGAGAAAGACCCTAATGACATAATTTTATATGATCATGTTACCGAACCCAGATGTTCAAAATACAGAATTCAAGTAACTTCTGTTGTGGTGAAATGTTTGAAGATGCTTATTTGAGCCTTTGGTGGCCCAGTGGCTGTATGACTGCTGCATGGCACCTGTACTTTCCCTCATAACTGCCTCCGTGATCATCCTGAATCAAATGTTTTAGGGTTTCCAAAAAGTGTAGCTCCCTTATACCCTTTAAACATCTGATCCTGGAGCATTATACAGGATACAAATGCAGTGGAAATACAGGTGTCATGCTGCAGCCATCAAGACATGTTTTTCTCCTTAATGCCTCTTTTCTCTCATTTCTTTTCTATGCAAAAATTAAGTGTAGTTAACCGGTTATTCTTGAATTACAGAACTACTGAGACGACACATCAAGATGAGCCACACACAGAAGAGAAGGAAAACAAACTTTATAAAAAAATGCACAACGTAATTCACTTTAATAGACCAATTATAAAGAATAAAGATTTGGTTTAGGTTTGATACATTTCAGTTTTGCACTTGGCTGTAGCTAATACATTTGCACACATTGCACTATAACATGAACATTTGTTTCCACATGAGCTGTTACTTTGTCTCCCAATACAGGAACATATACAGCTCAGTCATGAATAGCAGCAGAGTGGTGCCGCACATCACTGGAAGGACATGTTGAGCTACGTGCTAATGTATAGAATAAGCCCACACCTGTTCAAAAAGGTGTTGCTGCGGGTTCGAAGTAGTCATTCTGCGGCCTGCAGGACAGAGGCGTGTCGTGAAGTAGGCGTGTAAACTATGCCTCCAGATCCATATAGTCTCATTAGAAATTCCCAGATACCCCTAAAAAGCAAAAATATGCTGTATTTTAACTGTGAGCCACGACTCACAGCTCCTGAGCCGCGACTCACAGCTCCTGAGCCGCGACTCACAGCTCCTGAGCCGCGACTCACAGCTCCTGAGCCGCGACTCACAGCTCCTGAGCCGCGACTCACAGCTCCTGAGCCGCGACTCACAGCTCCTGAGCCGCGACTCACAGCTCCTGAGCCGCGACTCACAGCTCCTGAGCCGCGACTCACAGCTCCTGAGCCGCGACTCACAGCTCCTGAGCCGCGACTCACAGCTCCTGAGCCGCGACTCACAGCTCCTGAGCCGCGACTCACAGCTCCTGAGTCAGTGGTTAACGAACATGGAGAGCTATATAAACACATACCAGATGATGAAGAGTGTGTAACATACTGGTTACTTGTAAATATATGCCTCCAGATCCACAATGTGTCATTGATAATCAACAGATACCCCTAAAAAGTTAAATTGATAACCGTGAGCCACGACTTCTGGCTGCTGAGTCGCGGCTCACAGCGCCTGAGTCACGCGAGTCACCGGAAGTTGCCGTGAGTCGCAAATAGTGCTTGCCCTTTCTGCACTTCAAAGCAGTTTTTTTAACATAATTCATCTGAACATGTCAAAATGAACACCCGAAATATTATAAACACATATTGTAGTTATATATTCTGGATTGCAGCATATTAAATTCTAGTACTACTTTAAGTGCATGTCACACCTGCGCCTGCAGTAATGCCCCAATTTAATCCACCTTTTAACATCATAATGATGATGCCCTACGACGATGCAGTCAGACTGTTGCCTCACCAACAGTTTGTTCACTAAACAGTTTGTTCACTAAACAGTTTGTTCACTAAACAGTTTGTTCACTAAACAGTTTGTTCACTAAACAGTTTGTTCACTAAACAGTTTGTTCACTAAACAGTGCAGAGGACACTGTCAAATCATATCAGTTCGTTGCAGCCAGATCAGCATCGCAGATTTGAATCAGATGTTAGTCCTCTGTGATGATGATGATGATGATGACAGAGGCATAAAAGATCTTCTGTAGGACACAACCATCTGTGCTGAGTCTGCAGTGTAGAGAGTCTGCAGGAGGACGGCCCACACACTGCAGGTCAGAACTTCCGACAAACTGTGAGGTCATCCAGGATCCACTCCAGCTGTCTCCAGCTTGTCCCTGAGAAGGCGCTGGAGAAATTGACAAGAAATCGTTAAAGACAACATTAGCAGATTAGGAAATAAAAGCTTTTGAGAGTGTAAAGTATTTCTTTCAGTGGTTTGGATTTACAAACTCTCCAAACAAGGTTAGTGTTCCGGAGTTTCAGACATTGACTCTTGTTCTTCCTCACAGCACACTCCAGCTGCTCCGGATGTGGTCCTGGTTACAGCACACCCCTGGAGGCCATGAAAGGTATGACATCCACCTTTTATCATCTCAAGTTTTACCCATTAAACCAGTGCCGGTGTCACCACGGCGTTTTGCCAATCCCAGAACAAGACGATTTTAGCCAAATCAAACAGCCTCAAGTGTTCTCTCAGCAACTGCATAGCAACCAAAGGGCCAATCACAAGTGAGGCTGATCTGTTCATCCTTTTTGATAAGAGGGGTCGAAAACAACCAAATTTTACAACTTACAAAGTATTGGTGCAAAGGTGAATGAATGTGTGTGAAGGTGCTGTTCACCTCCAGAGACGCAAAGGGATTTCCTGATGGATCTGAGATTATAGTTCTGCCGTTTCTCTGTGACCTTTGGGCCGTGGGAACCCCACTACAGAGCCTGCTTTTTCTGATGTCCAACCTGCTCTCATCGCCTGAACACGCTCCCTCACCTCAGCTGGCTGGAAGCAGAGTACACTGGCCAGTGTGGTAGACATGTGTCTGCAAAGGGGACTGATGTTAACGTTTAATAGACTTTACTTTGACCCTTGCTTCACACTGCATCCATGTGATATTTCCGGTCCAGCCTTTTGTTGAACTGCTCACCCAGATGTCTGAGGTTGGACCATAGACCGTAAATAATAACGGACGTAGTCACTCCTATCTCCGCCGTTCAAACTAATGTGCCACCACTTTCACCGTCTATGGGCAGTTTTAAAATGGCAGAGGGGTCTGGAAAATGTGCACACGCCCCATTCATTTGACGAGTGCCTTCAAAATTCCACAGCAACTAAACTAAACTGTCCCCTGATGCTCCCCTTCCTCTCCTTGTTTGATCAGGCACACAGCTTCTGTATCATCTGAAATCAGCTGCTGGTGTTCTGTAAATCTTGAGTGTAGAGAGTGTCAGGAAAGGTGCAAGGACTGTTCCCGTCTACAAACTGAATCTGAAGTGTGCTGAGTCTGGTGGTGTTCTGTTCAGGACCTCGGGAGAAGATCGTGTACCTGCCCTGTATCTACAGAAACACTGACATCCTCAAACCCGATTATCTGTGCACAGTGGACGTGGACCCAGACTCCCACACCTACAGCCAGGTAATCACCAGTTCATCAATTCTATTATTTATCAAAAATCTGATTACACTAATGCAGGTTTGAAGGAGTAATCTCAGAGAAACCACGAAAAAGGAAACGGATAATCATAATAAAAAGTACTTCCTGTGTATCAGACAACTTCCTGTATATCCAAGTACTTTCTGGGTATCAGAGTACTTCCTGTTGGCAGGTGATCCACCGGTTGCCGATGCCAAACCTCCGTGACGAGCTGCACCACAGCGGTTGGAACGCCTGCAGCAGTTGCTTCGGAGACGCGTCTAAAACCCGGGACCGCCTCATTCTGCCCTCGCTCATCTCCTCCAGGATCTACGTCATCGACACCAGCCAGGCCCGAGAACCTCGCATCCACAAGGTCCTGCTCAGGCCACACCACCACTGTCCAGGGCAGAAAAGTCCTCTCACATAGGTCACTACATGAACATTTGTGAATGCACCCAAAAAGACAAATAGATATCTTTAGCTTCAACGTCATTGGCAGATCATTCCATCGCCTTGGACTACAACCCAAAAAAAACTGGTCCCTGTTTTAAAACAAGGCTTTGGGAGAAGACAGAGGGCACATAAAGGAGTAAAATATAAGTATTGACAAGTACATAAGAACACTTAGACGTACAGTATGTTGAATCACACTTACAACTGCTTAGTGCTCATGTAATGTCTCAGAAATGCTAACCACTGCACCACCATGCCACCCTGTAGATCCAGGACGGAGGCTGTAGACCCAGGTCTGAGGCTGTAGACCCAGGTCTGAGGCTGTAGACCCAGGTCTGAGGCTGTACATCCAGGACTGAGGCTGTAGATCCAGGACTGAGGCTGTAGATCCAGGACTGAGGCTGTAGATCCAGGACTGAGGCTGTAGATCCAGGACTGAGGCTGTAGATCCAGGACTGAGGCTGTAGATCCAGGACTGAGGCTGTAGATCCAGGACTGAGGCTGTAGATCCAGGACTGAGGCTGTAGATCCAGGTCTGAGGCTGTAGATCCAGGTCTGAGGCTGTAGATCCAGGTCTGAGGCTGTAGATCCAGGTCTGAGGCTGTAGATCCAGGACTGAGGCTGTAGATCCAGGACTGAGGCTGTAGATCCAGGACTGAGGCTGTAGATCCAGGACTGAGGCTGTAGATCCAGGACTGAGGCTGTAGATCCAGGACTGAGGCTGTAGATCCAGGACTGAGGCTGTAGATCCAGGACTGAGGCTGTAGATCCAGGACTGAGGCTGTAGATCCAGGACTGAGGCTGTAGATCCAGGACTGAGGCTGTAGATCCAGGACTGAGGCTGTAGATCCAGGACTGAGGCTGTAGATCCAGGACTGAGGCTGTAGATCCAGGACTGAGGCTGTAGATCCAGGACTGAGGCTGTAGATCCAGGACTGAGGCTGTAGATCCAGGACTGAGGCTGTAGATCCAGGACTGAGGCTGTAGATCCAGGACTGAGGCTGTAGACCCAGGACTGAGGCTGTAGACCCAGGACTGATGCTGTAGACCCAGGACTGAGGCGGTAGATCCAGGACTGAGGCTGTAGATCCAGGACTGAGGCTGTAGACCTAGGACTGAGGCTGTAGACCTAGGACTGAGGCTGTAGACCTAGGACTGAGGCTGTAGACCTAGGACTGAGGCTGTAGACCTAGGACTGAGGCTGTAGACCTAGGACTGAGGCTGTAGACCTAGGACTGAGGCTGTAGACCTAGGACTGAGGCTGTAGACCTAGGACTGAGGCTGTAGACCTAGGACTGAGGCTGTAGACCTAGGACTGAGGCTGTAGCCCTAGGACTGAGGCTGTAGACCCAGCATTGAGGCTGTAGATCCAGGACTGAGGCCGTAGATCCAAGTGATCAAAAAGTAGATCCAGAACTGAGTATTTTTAATGTCCACACTTGATGGTAAATGTCTGTATAATATCTATGATCCGTGTTCTTTCATTATAAGACAGTACTGCATATGGCACACATAGTTTGGTCCGTATGTTAATGGTATGAACGCCTTCTCTGGTCTGTGTGCAGATGGTGGAGCCTGTGGACCTCTACTACAAGTGTGGCCTGGCGAACCCACACACGTCCCATTGTCTGGCCAGTGGTCAGATCATGATCAGCTGTATGGGAGACCCCTCTGGGAACGGCAAAGGTCAGTGTGTGAGAAGCAGCATGTTTACTATTAGAACATGGGTCGGCAACATTTAAGGTTCAAAGAGCCAGATTTGACCATAAAATAAATAAAAACAAATCTGTCTGGAGCCGCAAAAAAATACCGCTCCTATATAAGGCTAAGAAGAGTCTGCTCTGACCATTCTTTTTACAGCAATTGAACATTAAGAGTAAAATGTATGAGTATTTCTGTTGTCTTGTCTTGTGTGAGAAAGATTGGCAAGAGATGTGGTTGTCTTGGCACAGATTGAGCTGTAAAGTCTAAGATTGTAAAGTGTAATCTATAAATCCAAGTAAGATTGTTGCAGTGAGACAAAGGTGAAGGAGCAGCGGCGACATCAGACTGAACTGTGCCACATAAATTACTCTTTGATCACGTCCCTCAGACACAATAAACTACGGATCACTATTGTTCTGGAAGTAAAAACCCCATTTTCGATCTATGTGAAGATACCTGGTCCATTATAGATGTTTAGCAATATTTCAATCTGAAGAGACCAAGACAGAAACATTAATTCATGAAAAAGATTTATTTGATTGACCGCGGCAGTGACACTTGCAGAGGGGAGATCGTCTGTGGTGGCTAGAAGCGTGGTTTGAATGAGGCGCAGGAGCCAGAGCAGGAGCCAGAGCAGGAGCCAGAGCAGGAGCCAGAGCAGGAGCCAGAGCAGGAGCCAGAGCAGGAGCCAGAGCAGGAGCCAGAGCAGGAGCCAGAGCAGGAGCCAGAGCAGGAGCCAGGGCAGGAGCCAGGGCAGGAGCCAGGGCAGGAGCCAGGGCAGGAGCCAGGGCAGGAGCCAGGGCAGGAGCCAGGGCAGTAACTGGAGCAGAAACCCGAGTAGGAACCAGGAGCTTGAGGAGGCGCTGGGGAGGTGGTGAGTGTTAAGAGCTCCAGGAAGCGCCGTTCATCGGGGAGTTGCTGCTTATAAACTGCCCGCTTTGCTGTCAGTGGGTTGTCAAGGGGCTGGCCGGGCTGTGTGATTGGCAGGCCCCAATGACCAATGTTCTGCCAACTGAACCACTGTTGCCCCTGAAAAGATTATCAGTATAAAACAATAAGAGTGTGTGTGTGCTGCCTTCAGGGGGCTTCGTGCTGCTGGACGGTGAGACGTTCGAGGTGACTGGGAACTGGGAGCACCCCGGGGATGCGGTTCCGTTCGGGTACGACTTCTGGTACCAGCCGCGGCACAACGTGATGATGAGCACCGAGTGGGGGGCTCCACGGGCCCTGATCCACGGGTTCGACCCCAAGCACGTCCAGCAAGGTGGGTCCCTCAGTCAGAACCAGAAACGGGTCTGGAACCAGTTTACTTTGGCCAAAACTTTTACCGCTTTACTTTGGTCCCAGGTCTCCATCCATTTCATTTAAGGAAGTTTCTTTGAGGCTTATCTCTGGCTATTTTTATAAAACATGAAAAAAATATGTTATGTATGGAAGCCTGTTTCCGCCATGTAAAAAAAAAAAAAAAAAAAAGCCTACAGAAAGTCAAAATTTCGACTTTAAAAGTCAAAATTACGAGTTTTCAACTGCGCATGTGCAGTTGAAAACTCGTATGTGTTGTCTGGAACGGTCTCTGGTCATCCCTGTTATAGATCCATGACCATGGGTCATCCCTGTTATAGATCCATGACCATGGGTCATCCTCTACCTGCAGATTATGTGAAGATTTTTCCTACAGACAGTGACCACATCCATGAAGTAGCCAGCAATAATGTTGTGGTAGTAATCGCGTTAAAATACAAACGTCTCTCCGTTTATGATTAGAATCCGCTTCAGAAGCCTCTATTTAGTTTATCCTAAACGGACTGTGGAAGATTAATAATAAAGCACATGCGGCTGTTCAAAGTCATTGAGCATCAACTGGTGACATCTGGTCAGTATCACGGCTATCGATGGATGCACCAGAAATGCACTGAATGATATTGTGACTGACAGAGAGACCGTTCGCGATTACAGGACAGTGAGAGAGGTCCGCAGACAGAGGCAGGAGAACCACAGACAGAGGCAGGAGAACCACAGACAGAGGCAGGAGAACCACAGACAGAGGCAGGAGAACCACAGACAGAGGCAGGAGAACCGCAGACAGAGGCAGGAGAACCGCAGACAGAGGCAGGAGAACCGCAGACAGAGGCAGGAGAACCGCAGACAGAGGCAGGAGAACCGCAGACAGAGGCAGGAAACGCAGACAAGGCAGGAGAACCGCAGACAGAGGCAGGAGAACCGCAGACAGAGGCAGGAGAACCGCAGACAGAGGCAGGAGAACCGCAGACAGAGGCAGGAGAACCGCAGACAGAGGCAGGAGAACCGCAGACAGAGGCAGAGAACAGAGGCAGGAGAACCGCAGACAGAGGCAGGAGAACCGCAGACAGAGGCAGGAGAACCGCAGACAGAGGCAGGAGAACCGCAGACAGAGGAGAACCGCAGGAGAGAACCGCAGACAGAGGCAGGAGAACCGCAGACAGAGGCAGGAGAACCGCAGACAGAGGCAGGAGAACCGCAGACAGAGGCAGGAGAACCGCAGACAGAGGCAGGAGAACCGCAGACAGAGGCAGGAGAACCGCAGACAGAGGCAGGAGAACCACAGTCACGGGCACTGACAATATTACCCTTTTGGAATTGTGATCAGTGCATTGAAGAGTATGTGACGTGTTTGCGTGCACGCGGGGGTGAGCTGATGGAGCGTGAGGTAAAGTTGTTGGCGTATGAGCAAGAACACAGAGACATATAGGGAATAAGTGCCTTGTCTGATTATTTTATTGTGACAAAATAAAGCCCACGACTCTTTTAGCAACAATCCGGAGAAATAACTCCGCAGATAACAGTGAGGGTCTTTGAAAAGGGAGTTAAACCCATTATAGATGCATGAATAAAACCCCGTACTCAACACGTAGAAAGCGCATCATTTCAGCCGTGGAAATACTCGCTCCGTGTGGACCCCTCTCAGCGCCATCGTCTGGTCAGAGTGGTCTATAGCAGATTGGATTGGAATGTCTCTATGGCTCATTTTCCTTTGATTTATTATAAAAACGTATTGCTCACATTTGTTACTATGTCGAAATAAGAAGTCGTTTGATTTAAATGTTGTATATATGTAAATTGAATTTAACATAAATAAATAAAAAGACAGCTCCCCCCTGCGTCCTACGACCGCGGTCTGGGGCTTAAACAGGAAAGTTTTACAGAATCAATCAAACAAAATTTTTTCTGGCTACTTCAAGGATGCAGTGGTCACTGTCGGCAATATCTTCACATAATCTGCAGGTGAAGGATGTCCAGAGACCGTTCCAGACAACAACACATACCAGTTTTCAACTGCACATGCGCAGTTGAAAACTCGTAATTTTGACTTTTAAAGTCATAATTTTGACTTTTAAAAGTTGTAATTTTGACTTTTAAACTCAAAATTTCGAGTTTTCAACTGCGCATGTGCAGTTGAAAACTGGTATGTGTTGTTGACTTTCTGTATGCTTTTCTTTTTTTACATGGCGGAAACGGGCTTCCATAGTTATGAGTTTTTTTTCTTTTTTAAACAAAGATGGAATACTGAACTTTCAAACTACAAAAAATGGGTCACCTCCATGGCTCTGTCACATCTTAAGATCGGAGGACTTCACAAAGTTATCGATTCATCAACACAGATCAGAGAATCAAACAGTTCAAACACAGGAGTGATACAGGTGTGATACAGGTGTGCTACAGGTGTGCGCATAAGTGTGATACAGGTGTGCACAAAAGTGTGGTACGGGTGTGGTACGGGTGTGATACAGGTGTGAGGCAGGTAGATGTGTGATACGGGTGTGATACGGGTGTGATACGTGTGTGATAAAGGTGTGATAAAGGTGTGATAAAGGTGTGATACAGGTGTGATGCAGGTGTGATACAGGTGTGATGCAGGTGTGATGCAGGTGTGATACAGGTGTAATGCGGGTGTGATACGGGTGTGATACGGGTGTAATGCAGGTGTGATACAGGTGTGATACAGGTGTAATGCAGGTGTGATACGGGTGTGATACAGGTGTGATACAGGTGTGATACAGGTGTAATGCAGGTGTGATACGGGTGTGATACGGGTGTGATACAGGTGTGATACAGGTGTGATACAGGTGTAATGCAGGTGTGATACGGGTGTGATACGGGTGTGATACGGGTGTAATGCAGGTGTAATGCAGGTGTAATGCAGGTGTGATGCAGGTGTGATGCAGGTGTGATGCAGGTGTGATGCAGGTGTGATACGGGTGTGATGCAGGTGTGATGCAGGTGTGATGCAGGTGTGATGCAGGTGTGATGCGGGTGTGATGCAGGTGTGATACAGGTGTGATGCAGGTGTGATGCAGGTGTGATGCAGGTGTGATACGGGTGTAATACGGGTGTGATGCAGGTGTGATACGGGTGTAATACGGGTGTGATGCAGGTGTGATACAGGTGTGATACGGGTGTGATACGGGTGTGATGCAGGTGTGATGCAGGTGTGATGCAGGTGTGATACAGGTGTGATACAGGTGTGATACGGGTGTGATGCAGGTGTGATGCGGGTGTGATGCGGGTGTGATACAGGTGTGATACAGGTGTGATGCAGGTGTGATATGGGTGTGATACAGGTGTGATACAGGTGTGATGCAGGTGTGATACAGGTGTGATGCAGGTGTGATACAGGTGTGATGCAGGTGTGATATGGGTGTGATGCAGGCGTGATACAGGTGTGATACAGGTGTGGTCAGCAGAGGCGTCCCCTCTGGATTCCAGGAGGCTGAATCGAAAGGCTGCATTTGGCTCCTACACAGACGTATGTTGTTGTTCTGGTGTCAAATCGGCCAAAAAGACACGAGCTCTCTCTGAACTGATGCATGATGTTGCTTTTCACGGTCACATGCTTCTGGGAGTCTGGCTCACAGATTTGCAGATGTCTCAGTGAGTTTTCCCACAGCCCACTGTCCTTTATCACAGTTCCACCTCCACATGTGACCGTCTCTGCAGAGCACATAGCTCCGCCCCTACGCCTCTCACTGGGACCAACTTAATCAAAAAATCCGGTAAATAATATTCCGGATGGTTATTGTGTCCAAACAGCCTTTCTGTAAGTTATTCAGCTCAGCTCTATGGAAAAGTACAGCTATTTAAGTAAAGAAATTACTCAAAGTATTCTTCTAAAGTGAGAGTTTTCTGAGAGTAGAAAGCGTCCGTGCTGCTCAGTGTGTGAGAGGTGCCAAAGGTCAGACTCCACTTTGCTGCTAATCATTAGTCATGGCTCAACCCAGATCTGCCTCAGACCAGTCCCTGACCTGTCCCCGACTCAGACCGGCCTCAGACCAGTCTCAGCGCACCTGAGACCTCTGGAAAGAACTCAGAACCTCAGACAAGGAGCAGGGGTCACTGCTTTGTGAGTCAACACACTCCTTTGAAATTCAAACTTTTCCCCTAAAGATTTGGTTTGGTGTCACTGCAAACAACAGATACAAATGTTATATTATAGACAAATAACGTAAGAAGCTATTATTTGTGTGTTTCTTTGTATGTGTAGGGCAGTACGGCCAGAGCATACACGTGTGGGACTGGAGCAGCCGGCGCAAGCTGCAGTCCCTGGATCTGGGGGAGGATGGCGCTATTCCCCTGGAGATTCGCTTCCTGCACGATCCTGACGAGGCCCAGGCCTATGTGGGCTGTGCCCTGGGCTCCAGTCTGTTCCGCGTCTACAGGACAGAGGTGTGTGTGTGTGTGTGAACTGTGTCGAATTAAACCAAAGTTATTGTGTGGCTATAAATTAATATGTAGTTGTGTTTTGATATTTTGTACTTATGTTGCACTGTATAGATTGATGTGATTTTATATAGATGTTGTTTGATGTTTCTGACTGCTGTGAATGCCTCAAAAGACAAATGTTGTATTGTGTTGTGTAGAAAGGAGAGTGGGCAGCAGAGAAGGTCCTCACTATCCCCAGAAAGAAGGTGGAGGGCTGGATGCTGCCGGAGATGCCAGGTCAGACATTGTTTTCCAGCTGTATAAGTGTATATTTGTAAATTTTGTATATTTGTGTACTTTTAACCTTGTTTTATTTATGTACTTAGTTTTGCACTCTGAATCTGATCCGACATGTGATTGTGAATGATAAGTGAATAATAAGTGTATATTTGAGCTCCGTGCTGATGGCTTCTGTGCTCCTCAGGCCTCATCACAGACATCCTCATTTCACTGGACGACAAGTTCCTTTACTTCAGTAACTGGCTCCACGGAGACATCAGACAGTATGACATCACAGACCGCCGCAAGCCCCGATTGGTTGGACAGGTACGACAGCCCCGCCCACTCCGAACAGAGGGAGCAGTAGGCGCCACCTCATAGGAAGCCTTGGACCTAAAAATATAAGTCAGTCTTGCCCAGAAGTTGATTTAAAAGAAACTCTATCGCTCTTTCTCAGATTTTCCTGGGAGGAAGTTTGGTGAAGGATGGTCCAGTCAAAGTGATCCACGACCCGGAGAACCACGGCCAGCCGGAGCCTCGCGTCATCAGAGTACGTCACACTAACCCTGGTGTTTACTTCACCCCAACCCTCCCTCTCCTCCCTTTGCCCCTATATGCCCCTCCCTCTCTTCCCTCACCCCCTGTCTCCTCCCTCACCTCCCTCACCCTCCCTCACCTCCTGCATGTTCTGGTCTGTCCAGGGGAAGCGTATCCCTGGAGCCCCGCAGATGCTGCAGCTCAGTCTGGACGGACGCAGGCTGTATGTGACCACGTCTCTGTACAGCGGCTGGGACAAGCAGTTCTACCCCGAGATGCTGAGGTAACACTACTGTTCAACACTGTTCACTGTTCTCTCTCCTCTCTCTTTCCTTCTCTCTCCTCCTCTTTCTCTCAACTGAGTGTAACATCAGCCGTATATAACAAACATTCGTCTTCCTCACTTTTGTCATTACTTTTATTGTATCTTTGAGAGATTTGTTTGCATCGTTCCAAAACCATTGTTCTGCATTTAGTTTCTGGAAGCAGACATTTTGGTGACGGAGCACACAGAGGGTGAGGTTATGTGTGCTCTGTGTTGCTCTGTGCTCAGGGACGGCTCGGTCATGATGCAGATCGATGTGGACTCAGAGAAGGGCGGCCTCTCCCTCAACGACCGTTTCCTGGTCGACTTTGGCCTGGAGCCACACGGTCCGGCTCTGGCCCACGAGCTGCGTTACCCCGGGGGAGACTGCACCTCGGACATCTGGGTCTAAGCCACGCCCCCACAGCTGGACTTGGACTCGTTGTGAAAGTGTCCTTAATTTTTGACCAAATGTTGTTGTTTGTCAGAAATTTTTTCATAAAAGTAGCGTGGATCATGAAGCGTGACGAGATACTTGTGCACACTGCAAACATTCCAAAAGTTTATGAAAATACTGCCTTTAAGGAATCAGGATGGATCAGGACCATTATCCCTGTGATCAGTAATGACAGAACTTTAATTGGGATTTAGAAACAGTTTTGTATTCTTTGTAATAATTAAATAAAGACACAATGGAGACAGACTTCGAGTGATGACTCATTTACGTTCTGTGGGTCTTGGTTCTTGATGCACAGGTGGTAAATAAAACAATTTCCCTTAAGACAAAATTAACCTTTTTTAATCCGTTTAGTTCAAATAAAACAGATTAATGGTGCATTGGTGAGAACTGAAGGATGAAAAGACAAAAGAGAGGACGGAGGAGTGAGAGTGATTAAAAAACCATGAAGCATTTGGTTTGATACTTGTCCATTTATACTTGTCCATTAGCTCATTATTCAGTCCTTGGTCCGGTCTGGTCCAACAACAATATTCCAATCAATGAAGAAAACATGAATAAATGGGAGAAAAGGCCCATGTTTTCCCAAAGGCCCGGTTGAACGAGTGAAAAGCACAGTTTAAGGTGAAGTCCATCAGAATGAGTTGGTCAGTCTTGAGGGGAATCCGACACCAGGGCTGTACAGCTGCAAAAGATCTTATTTTTATGGTTCACAAGCTGCTCGTTGGCTCCAGACCCAGAAATGCAATCTCAGAGTTACACAAACAAAATCTTAGATAACAAACTGAGGTCACATCACTGCCGCCACATTGTTGATAAATATGATGAATTATTAACATTCGAAAGTGTCGACCAATATGTAAATATTTGTTTAATGTGTAACATGTTCCATAACCTGGCACCGCACCAGGAAACAGCTCAGAACCACCGGAGACTTTAGCTCCTCCTCATCTGGACAAAGTCTCTGTCCAAATGTCTCTGTGCGACAGTGGCTCAGTTGGTAGAGCATTGGCCTTTGGGCCTGAAGGTTGTAGGTTCAAATCCACCACGAGACCTACTTCATGACTCCCACTGGTGACTGCTGTCGTTGTGTCCTTGGGCAAGACACTTAACCCCACTTTGCCCAAAAAGCTCCCACTGAAAAATCAAGGCTCCTGTGGACTCACCACCTGCAGGAGGATCAGTGAGGGGCTGGTGCTCTGTGGACTGGGTGCAGCTCTGATTGCCACCCCCCGACCCAGAAATGGATTAAGGGGAAGGAAATGGATGGATGGTGTCTCTGTCACAGCAGCTGGAGCCTGGAAGTCCTAGTGAGCTGCACCATGGCTCAGAGATGATTAGGTGTGCTGCGATTAAGGATAATGGTTGCATCTATTGTATGTACACTGCAAAAAGTGATGAAAAACAAGCCAAATTTGACTAAATGTATCTTTATTTGAGCACATTCTGGCTGCATTAAACTGCAGATTAACAAGATTAACTAGATTTAAAAAGATACAAGAAATGTTTCCCTTGGAGTGAGAAAATAAAGCAACAATTCTTGAAATCAGACTAAATGGCTTTATCTCATTGGCAAATCTTGTTTCAACACAGTCAGAATGTGCTCAAATTGAGATAAAAACCACTTGATTACCTCATATTTCATTATTTTTTGCAGTGTATGGTTAACATTTACAGCTCAATCAATCAAGGCGCGACTACGTCCGTTAATATTTACAGTCTGTGATGAAGAGCCCTACAGCCTCCTGACATGTTTGAGACTGTCAGAGAGAACAGGTCTTAATTATTCAGCTTCATGATGACTTTAAAATATTTTCAAATCTTTTATCTTTTATCCAAAATGTTTTTTTTATTGTACATACAGTAAGATACTTTTATCTTTTGTGCTAACTGTTAGCACATTTCCTGTCTTCTTGCATACCCAAATATAACATGTACATATCTCCATTCTCAGATCTATAATGTTTTATTTGATCTGATATCAAACAGTTGACTCCAGTGACTCCAGAACAAAAACATTTCTCTTTAAGATAAAATACTTTGCTGTTGCACAGAACACGTCTTCTGTGTGATGAATCTCAGAGAGATTTAGAATGAAATTTACATTTAAGAACAAAACTCTTCAAAGTCTTTTAGCTGTGAGCAATAAAGCCGTGACCAGAAAACACCAGTGATTGATGAGGAAAAAAACTAACACTATTAGTTATCTCACTATCGAAGTGCTAATTAGTGAACCCTAACACAGTTACTTAGATGTTGGATAAGCGCTTAATAAATACCAATTAAGTACTGCCATACCAACGTCATGTCATGGCATTATTATTTTTATTTCTGGGCGGGGGGTGGCAATCAGAGCTGCCACCCAAGTCTCATTGCACCAGTCCCTCACTGATCCTCCTGCAGGTGGTGAGTTCACAGGATGATGGCTTTTCCGTGATCGAAGACATGGCCTTGGTCTTTCAGCGGGGGCTTCAGGCAATGTGGGGTTAAGTGTCTTGCCCAGGGACACAACGACAGCAGACATCAGTGGGAGCAGATGACTCGAACCCAAGACCATTAGGTCCAAAGACCAGTGCTCGACTGAGCAACTGTCGCCATACCAACGTAAAAATGTAATTTCGTACTAAGGTCTGGATTTGCTCCATTGAGCTCCGTTAACAGGTGGGAGGGGTTAACTCCTTTTGCAGATTGAAACGATTGGATCTGAGTTTACCGTGACGTATGTAATGCGTACATGCCAGACATTATACAATAAATAGCACGTCAATAGCTGTTCATTACTAAGGGCTGAACTAAAGTGTGACCCAAAAGTCAGGATCCAAAAAGACACCATTTATAAGTGTTCAAAAGCTCTGAGATATGGATTTCTGAAAGATTCCGACGGAGAACAATACATTTGTAGTGATGTCCTTCACTACAAATGTTCATGTCCAAAGTTCCATCGATGCAGACGGAGACGGTGATGTCACATGAGCGAGCAGAAGCGGGAGCGCAACCTCGCCAAAAGGGGAGGAGTCTGCACACTGTCGGGAGTCTGTGGGGGCGGGGCTTCTGTCGGCTGCTCCAATGATACTTCACTGAGGAGAGGAGACAGTAAAGGTTAAAGAACACTGGAGATTCCATTGTTCCTCTGGCGTTCACGTCACATTTTTACAGCAGTGTGGCCTATATTACGCTTTGACTTCTCTCATTACAGCTATTTGCCCAGAGTCGTTCTTTCATTGATTCCCTCAAGCTTTAGTTAGAGAGCGATCTTTCTCTTTCATTCTCAAGAGGCTCAAAAACGGCCTGATTCACTTTGTTACGTAGCACCATTTTCACACGCAGCTCGAGCTCCAGAAGCCCCGCCCCCAGGTGATTGACAGGAGAGAGAAACAGCCTTTGCCAGCGTATGGACCGCACCTACCACAGTCTGTGTTTACTTCTATGCTGTTTTTCTGCTATAGAAGTTTTGCACCACCACATGACATACATAGCAACCGTTACTACGTCGCCATGTTAGAAGGCAGTATATGGAACACTGCCATCACACTGTACAAGAGCATCCTTTACTTAGACCTGACTTAGAGTGATGGGAAAGTTTTGCTGCGTTATTAATTGTGGGAAAACGCTCAGAACGAGACAGAGAAGTCTCATCTTTCAAAATACCAGCCGTATACAGCCTCAGTCCTGGATCTACAGCCTCAGTCCTGGATCTACAGTCTCAGTCCTGGATCTACAGCCTCACTCCTGGATCTACAGCCTCAGTCCTAGATCTGCAGCCTCAGTCCTGGATCTACAGCCTCAGTCCTGGATCTACAGCCTCAGTCCTGGATCTACAGCCTCAGTCCTGGATCTACAGCCTCAGGCCTGGATCTACAGCCTCAGTCCTGGATCTGCAGCCTCAGTCCTGGATCTGCAACCTCAGTCCTGGGTCTACAGCCTCAGTCCTGGATCTACAGCCTCAGTCCTGGATCTGCAACCTCAGTCCTGGATCTGCAGCCTCAGTCATGGATCTGCAGCCTCAGTCCTGGATCTACAGCCTTAGGCTGGATCTACAGCCTCAGTCCTGGATCTACAGCCTCAGTCCTGGATCTGCAGCCTCAGTCCTGGATCTGCAGCCTCAGACCTGGATCTACAGCCTTAGGCTGGATCTACAGCCTCAGTCCTGGATCTACAGCCTCAGTCCTGGATCTGCAGCCTCAGACCTGGATCTACAGCCTCAGTCCTGGATCTGCAACCTCAGTCCTGGATCTGCAGCCTCAGTCCTGGATCTACAGCCTCAGTCCTGGATCTACAGCCTCAGTCCTGGATCTACAGCCTCAGTCCTGGATCTGCAGCCTCAGTCCTGGATCTGCAGCCTCAGACCTGGATCTACAGCCTTAGGCTGGATCTACAGCCTCAGTCCTGGATCTACAGCCTCAGTCCTGGATCTGCAGCCTCAGACCTGGATCTGCAGCCTCAGTCCTGGATCTACAGCCTCAGACCTGGATCTGCAGCCTCAGTCCTGGATCTACAGCCTCAGTCCTGGATCTACAGCCTCAGTCCTGGATCTACAGCCTCAGTCCTGGATCTACAGCCTCAGTCCTGGATCATCGTACCTCTCAGTGTGCAGCTCCCGGTCTGACCATGGTTCACCTGTCACATGGAAACACAGTTGAATCAGATATCATGTTATTTTAAAGAATAGAACTGGGAAAGACGCCTGTCACAATCAGTGTTGATCTATTACTTCACAAACATTTCCATAATATACGTATTTGACGGGCAACGGGAGACTCCCTTGGTCTTTTTAAGTCTCGCTGTTCACCTTTCCAGTGCTCACAAATTGTCTAAAACCTGAGAGTTCAGCACCGTCACTGTTTATAATGTTGAATTGACTTTAAAGAGTGTTTTGCTTCTACTTTTAAACCTCCCGCCATAAGAACAGTTTCTTCCCTTCTTCTGTTGAACTCATGAACACTTCATAAACCATCTCTGACCTCTTCCCTTATGAGCGTCGCTTTATGCTATACTGTCACTTTACTGCACTCTACTGACTCTTAAGGGTTTATTGTATGCACTTGTATGTAGTAAACTGAAGACATTTGTGTAGATTTTTATTTATGCGTGCCTTTGATTTTATTCTGCGTTAACTTGTTTGTACCGAGAGCCAAAGCAATTTCCTAGTTTGTAGCTTCCTGTTATTCACATGGCAATAAAAGGATTTTGAGTCTGATTCTGAATTTTGTTTTTCTTGTAAAGCAGAGCAATCGTCAGCGGTTCATAGTCTGTTCTGTCACTCCTCTGTTCCCTGAAACACTGCATTGAGCAAGGAAGTCAAATACATCAGAGGCCAAAAAAAAAAAACCAGTCCGGTCCTCAGCTTGTTCAATGTTTATTAAAACATATTAAAAGGAAGCATAAAACCTATTGAACCAAGACCTAACACAGTGTACCATATTTTATTTAATGATTAAAAGAATAATCCAATATTTGTGTATGGCTCTATCAATCATTTGAAGTGAAAACATTATTAAACAGGCTCACAGAAAAAAAAAAAAAATCCTTCCAAGAGAAAACACACAAAATTTCCTTATGGCTCTGTGTGGCAGGTTCTAATACTAATCAAATATCATCAGGGGGTCAAGATAATTCATTCGCAGGCCAGATCTAGCCCCCGGGCCTTGACTTTGACACCCATGGCGTAGAGGATGCTTCAAACTCACACAAAGCCATTTGAGTTTGAAGTTTCAGTATGACATGTTGCCATAGTAACGCACACGCAATAACGCAATTCATGAGCCTAGGGCTGTCAGGACTTGGGGCTGAACACAGGTGCAGCGTGTGTGACAGATACATCAAAAACTCACTCTGCTCCTCTCCTCTGGGTCCCTCTCCTTGTGGTCCCTCTCCTTGCAGCCCCTCTCCTCGCAGCCCCTCTCCTCTTGGTCCCTCTCCTCTTGGTCCCTCTCTGAGCTGCCTCAGAGTCGGTGGTTTAGTGGGACTCGGTGTGTCCAGTCTGTAAGAACAGCAAAGTCACAACACCACATTCAGAACACATCTTTACTCACCTTTTCTCTGTCTCACCTGGAAACTGGGCTCAGGGGGTGTGGCCTCAGGTGTCGAAGTGGGCGTGGCCTCTGTGTGTTACATATTTCTCATTAATCTCAGATCTGCACCAAACATCAGATTTCAGAGTGCCATAAAGAAGAAGGTGAACGCTGGGCGGTTTCAGGCTGGAATCTAGTTCTTCTCGATATTTGCAACATATTATTCATATCAGGTGCGCTTCATGGTAATGTCTTGTATTTTTGAAGTATACATATTTTACATTTGCAAGCATATTGCAGCCATCTTTTTAATGTAACTGCACATTGTCCTTAATAAACTAAACTCATTTTACAACTTTCGGCCCAGAGATAACAGCCCCTTAAAAAATGTGTCCTCAAAAAATGTAGTTGTATATCATGAATGAAAACAAGTGATAATTTAAGATAAACTTTATTGATCTCACACTGGAGAAATGGGTCATTTGGTATAGATAGAATCAGGTTGTGAAAAAATACAGGAAGTGGCAAACATGTTAAAAAGGTAAAAAATATACTGTATCGTCTCTTTAGTGCAAGATATAATATGTCCAATAAAAATGTAAAAATGACAACAGCAGTGTCTGGTGCAGGTCATTAGTGACTCACCTCTGTCACTGTGGTCCTCAGAGCAGCAGTGAGCCGCTCCACCAGCCGCTGGCCCACTCCCTCTGAGTCCTGTCACACACCACACAAACATATTCAGGTTATACAAAAACACAAGAGTGAGTGCATACAGGGATCAAAAAATATAATAAAGGGTAAACGTGAGAAGTCAGGTGCACAGCAATAATAACAAACACATAGATCCATTGGTCCATTAGGAGCAGAGACCACTGTCCATAAATGTTGATAAATGTCCTTAAACGTCCTGCATCATCAGCACTGTCCTTTAGAGCCTTCTGCATCAGCACCAAACAACTCAGAAAAGCCAGTGGGAAAAATGAGAAACCAAAGACGGGCTTTAGATGGAGGACTCAGGCCATACATGAGAGAGAGCAGGGCCTGTCTGAACAGCTGAAAGGTGCTGTGTTGTATCTGACAGTAGCTGAGAGGGAGCAGGGCCTGTCTGAATAGCTGAAAGGTTCTGTGAGGTACCTGAATGTAGAGAGAGAGAGCAGGGCATGTCTGAACAGCTGTAAGGTTCTGTGAGGCACCTGACAGAAGCGAGAGAGAGCAGGGCCTGTCTGAACAGCTGAAAGGTTTTGTATGGTACCTGACAGTAGTGAGAGAGAGCAGGGCCTTTCTGAACAGCTGAAAGGTTCTGTATGGTAACTGGCAGTAGCTGAGAGGGATCAGGGCCTGTCTGAACCGCTGAAAGGCTCTGTGTGGTACCTGGCAGTAGCTGAGAGGGATCAGGGCCTGTCTGAACCGCTGAAAGGCTCTGTGTGGTACCTGGCAGTAGCTGAGAGAGAGCAGAGCCTGTCTGTAGAGCTGAATGGCCTTGTGCTGCTTCCTTTGCTTCAGATAAACTTCCGCCAGAGCCTCGCAGACCTGCACCTGAGCACTGTGCTCTTCTGTCAACACAAACAACATGCTAGGATTCTTACACATCGACAAGTTGTCTTCATTATATCATTATTTACTCTTGAATCATTGAGCACTGGACGTGAGTATATTGGGGCTTTTCAATTGTCACAGCACGCCACTACACGGCACAGCACGGAACGGCCGTGCGTGCTTTTTCATCACAAATAGCACCTCCATAGTATTTCCTCGATGACACTTTGGGCTAAGAGCTGATTGGTTGAACAAGGGTGGTTCCCTCTACATATTTTTGTTTTCTATCTAAAGAGAGCTGAGTGAACAAATCCTGGCCAGACACAACTTTGAGTAAATACCAATTAAGAGCTAATTACACATGAATTATACACTAAAAATCACTTTATAATCTGTTCATTAGTGAGGGCTGAACTAAAGTGTGACTATTGGACCTGTTGCAGTTTGAAGACAAGGAACCCTAACCCTCACCCGCTGCAGCAATGAAGAAACTGGAGTCACCTGAGTCAGTGAAGCCCTGCAGAGCGTGGTTGAAGCTCTCGATGGCCTCCTCATCGTTGCCGAGGTGACGACACGCCAACGCAAGGTTACTGAAACACTGAGCCTGTTCTCCACGGAGCCCCAGGGACCCTGACAACCCACAAAGAAGAAGTTGTTCAAAATTCAACTTACTGCTTTTTAATATTGGGGTTAAAAGAACAGAGTAGCTCTGTATGAATCAGACTCATGAATCTTTATTGCACTGAATGTTTTACTGCATTTTACGGCCAATGCCAAATAAATTACATTCATTTGTGTTTAAGTTGTTCCTTAAACTATTTACTGTGGCAAGTGTATGTGTGAAACTATCTTAAAGAGGATATAACATGCAAAATCCACTTTCCACAGGTTGTGGTCATGTTATAGTTTACATACGTTGCTTTGAATGTGAAGAGAATAGGTTATTGTTCAAAAGTTCCTTGTAAAATGTAAAACCAAATTATGAAAAACTCTGTAGTTTGTAATATTTTGTCCATTTTGTTTCTTTCTCCACTAAACCAGGCCCAGTGTAGTCCTGGTCCTGCTCATAAACTAGGCCCAGTGGAGTTCTGGTCCTGCTCATAAATCAGGCCCAATATCGCCTGCTTTAGCAGCACGACACACAGCTGTGAAAACACACAAACTGAGCTGAAGCATCCCAAATTTTAGGAAAGAAAAGCCCTCTCCACTTTGTGAACAAAACTCTCTGGTCTTTTTTGAATAGCACCAGAATGATTGAAAGCTAGGGACCAATAGGGTCAATAGGTTGTCAATCATTCTTGATGATCCACCTAGAAGTTGATGATGTTCATCAATGTTGATGAATGTGGTCAATGAATAAATAAATGAGAAATTAAAGGCCATGAAAGGCTTCATCAAACACAGTCCACACTTTGATCCTCACCATAAATCTTAGCAGCCATACGGTGGTACTGCAGAGCATTCTGAAAGTCTTCCACAGCGTTGAGAGCGGCTCCCAGGTTCATCAGCACTTTGGCCAGTAGGGGGCGCTCCTGCAGCTGAGACGCAGAGCTCAGAGCTCTGTGGAAACACTGCACTGCCTCCTGGAAGCAGCGACTCTGACAGAAGAGAACACCCACAGAGACATACAGCTCCCCTGCAGAGAGAGAGCACAGGTACAGAGAGAGAGAGCACAGGGACAGAGAGAGAGCAAAGAGAGGGTGAGCACAGAGACACAGAGAGCATAGGCACACAGAGAGAGCACAAAGAGAGAGAGGGCACAGACACAGAGAGAGAGCATAGAGACACAGAGAGAGAGAGAGAGAGAGAGCACAGACACAGAGAGAGAGAGAGAGAGCACAGACACAGAGAGAGCACAAAGAGAAAGAGGGCACAGACACAGAGAGAGAGAGAGCACAAAGAGAGAGAGGGCACAGACACAGAGAGAGAGAGAGCACAAAGAGAGAGAGGGCACAGACACAGAGAGCACAGAGGCACAGGGTGATGATGGTTTAGTTGCTTATCGGGTGTGGCAGAACATCATTATGGAAAAAATATGCAAAAGAATCAAAAGCAAAATGATTAAAAGATAATTTTATCAAGAAAACAACCACAACATATATTTTCACATAAACATTGAACCCTGAATGCAATAAGCAATAATTCAAAGTAAACTTTATTAAACCAACTCTCTTGTCTTCTGCTTACAGTTTAATAATGAATAAAACAGATTAAACAGATCCTCCCTGTACCTTTTTTGTTTTGTTTTGTTCTTCATTCTCTTGTTGCCCATGTAACTGGATACAGTGCTTTCTGAATGTTATAATTTTGTACGGCTCAAAATAAAGTACGCAGTCTGATTTTTGTCACTGCTCCCTTCCCGTGTCCTCTTTTAATTGTTGACAGAAATGCAGTTCTGTTTCATTCACAATAAAATCCTCAGTAAGTCATTTTAGTTTTGCATTCATCTCTTTTTTGTCCACAGAAATATTTTTTGATGCTATTTTAGTCAACAAAATTAAATGGATCTTACAGTAAGATAATGACAAGACTTGAGGTGACACTACATTACCCAGAGTGCTCTGGTCTGTGATGCCGTGGGCCAGGCTGAGGCAGTCGGACAGCACCTGGGTGACCTCGCTGGTGCTGGTCTGGGCCTGGACCATGTGAGCCGCCGCCTCCTTCAGGGCCACAGCTGCAGAGTGAGAGACTTCAGCCACACGGTAACTCTCAGCAGCGCGCAGGTATCCGCTAACGGCTAACGAGTGCTCCTGGAATCACAAAACACTGTTTTTCTGCAGCCTCAAAATATATATCTCTTAATTTATTCATTTATTGGTCCAATCCAGGTCCAGTCCCGATCCAGCCCTGTCCAGTCCTGCTCGTGTCCTGGTTTATTTCTGGTCCAGTCCTGGTCCAGTGTTAGTGTTCCTGGTCCAGTCCTGATCCAGTGTTAGTGTTCCTGGTCCAGTCCTGGTCCAGTGTTAGTGTACCTGATCCAGTCCTGGTCCCGTTGTGGTCCAGTCCTGGTCCCGTTGTGGTCCATTCCTGGTCCAGTGTTGGTGTACCTGGTCCAGAGTTGGTGTACCTGGTCCATGGAGTGGCAGTGGCCCATCTCCCAGCAGCAGTGGGCCTCCTCCAGGCTGTTTCCTTGAGAGCTATAGAGCTGAGCAGCCTGGAGGAAGTGTTCTTTGGCCTGGTTCCTCTGGCCCAGGGCTCTGTGGGCCAGGCCCAGGTTGAACTGCAGGTCTGGGAGTCTCTGGGACTTTGGAGCAGGTAAGGTTCTGTTTAGATAGTCCAGTCCAGACTCAGGGTCTCCGCTCTCCACCAGAGCTGCTCCCAGGTTCAAACAGCAGGCCGAGATCACACACGACTCTCCCAACTGCAGGAGTAGGACCAAGATAGCACACAACAGAGGAGGAAAGCGTTATTGCCAATTGAAACTGACGTAACAATTATGCACATACAACAGAGACATCTTTACAGAGATGTCATCACTTTAGATATAAATGAGTAGATTTTAAGATTAAGATTGTGTAGTAACAATGTGGTCGGACCAAATGTGTTCACTTCTTCACATCCTAATGTTTAGCAGTAATACAGATATAGCAGGGGTTCACAGTACAAAATATGCTGGTCAGATATCACAATAGCACACAAAGTACCACCCAGTCCCCTTTTGGCTGTGGAGTACTACCATATTTATTTTTGTATATATTATATGTAGTATGTGTATATTCTACTGTAACAGACCTGGCTGGCGGCCTTCAGAGCTCGCCTGAACAGTTCCAGAGCCTCCTGAGGTTGTGCTTGTCTCAGAGCCTGGTGTCCAGCACTGGTCAGCTCCTCCACCTCCACTGCCCTCTTCTTCCTCCTTCTGTCCCTCCGCTGCCTCCTTTGCTCCTCCTCTTGCTCCTGTTATCACGGCAGAAGACATCTTTGCTTTTACGAGTTCAAGAGTTTGAGGAGGCGTTACCTGAGTAGTAATTGTTGCATGCAGAGTTTTGTCGTCACAGTCGTTATGTCTGTGCAGTCAGTGGAACAGAGACAAACCTCTGTGCAAAGCAGAGCTACCACACAGACTGTATCTAACAAAAACACATTATATTAAGATGTATTAACGGGAAAATCAGAAATGACGGAATAGAAACATATAGTTTTATTTTATGTTATGTGTGCTGCGTTCATGTATTAAGAAGCTGCAGGACACAAATAATATTGGATGTTCAGTAAATGTTCTTATAAGTATCTCCATAAAATGTTCTTATATTATCAGTAAGAGTCTGCATAATAGGCCTTTGTTATATGTGTTAGTGGGGTCAGTGAGAATTCAAGGACAGGCTGGTCTCTGTGCAAAAGTAACCTTTGCAGGAACGATGTGTCTGCTTGGCATGAGACAAAAATCCGGACCAGGCCAGTCTCAGGGACTGAGGTGATAAGGAGCCCATGACGTCTTCGAGGGACGAGTCCTGATCTTCAGCACATTTATAAAACTGTATTATGTAGAAATTGTGAACGAGTCTGGACAAGGGACCTGCAGTATAAAGTCAGAGCGCCTGACTTTATACTCATATATAGATTGGAGAGGGAGAGCTAACTAAGTCCAGACCGCTGTTTAGACTCTTTGTATCAGGGAATAAACATTTTGGATTTAACTTTTCGAATACTGGTCATCTTTATATGGGATTTTGAACACGTCATTTTTTACAATAATGTACAATGTACACCTGAAATTCTCCTACAGGTAAATGCAAAGAAGCACTTTATTGTCCCCTAAGGGAAATTTGTCCTCTGCATTTGACCCATCCTGATGCCTCTAGGGCCTCTGTCAGGAGCAGTGGTGGCCGTAGTACAGCGCCCGGGAACCCATGTCCAAATGTTGATGCTCGGCTTGGTCAGGCCCAGAGCTGGAGGATTTTGCCTAATGTGCATGCTTTTAGTGGTAGGGGAAACCAGAGCACCCGAAGAAAACCTATCAGATACTGTACTTGGAAAACTCGTGAGAAACTCCACTAAGAATTGTCTTGTTCCAACAGAGATTCAAACCCAGGATCTTCTTGCTGAGAAGCGAGAATGCTATTCACTCAGCCATAAAAATTTCATTTTATGAGACAATGTTTGTCCAGGTTCGGTCAAGTAAAATCAAATGCCCTTTTATGTAAGTGTTGATGCTAAATGTAGCATGGATCCCCAATATTAAAATGAAAAGAAAGAACAGGGAAGGTAGGAAGTGTCTTTGTTGAATTTGGACGCAACCGTGTCCTTTACTGAAATATTTTACTGAGTGAATTCTGTGATAAATGGTCCTTATGTTAGTGGTCTGTGGCATAACTTCAAATCTAGAGTTTGAATCCAGCAAAAACATGTTTATTCAGGAGTTTTATATTCATATTACAATTTATATCCTGCTCCACCCAGCGGCTACACCTGCTGTGACCTGAAGTGCTGTTGCTTATTATTACTACTGTTGTTACTACTGCTTTTTAGAATGATCAATTTGTTTTGTATGTGCGGATGGATGTGTTTTAGCTTTTACTGGACACCCGATTTCTCCAACGGGGATCAATAATTTATCTATCTATCAAGTGAACAACATTTAATACAATAGTCTATCTCTAAATCTCGTTATACATGTGGAAATGAGAAATTGCAAGAAGAAAGCATAAACATCACATGTACCTTCTGCTCCTCATCGTCTAGGTCCTGGTCCTGGCTCTGCCCCTGCTCTGAGGACATGCTTCACCCCACAGGCAACAGTGGAGACATGAAGGCTGAGTTTGTCCTGGATACAGATTATGTTTAGGGTTTTTATGTGATGATTTAAAAGACGGATAAAGCTGGTGATGAAGAACAGGCCATATGCTTGCAGGTATATAGGTGGATTTGCCCAAATTTTAGGAACGAACCACCCTCTCCACTTTTTTAACTAAACTCTCTCGTCTTACTGTATTTGACAAGCACCAGACATGATTGACCACAGCTCCTCGTGCAGTGGATGCTGTAATCCATCCGCCCGTTTTAATGATTACTTGAATAAGTAATTAATGAATGAATTCATCTACTTGCCCTAAATACCATACTGTAGCTTAATAAAGATTTTCAGCGCAAAAAAACCTCAACATAAAAATAATATTAAACAAATGAACTATATATTTTTACTGTTGTGTTGCTGGATTATTATTCGGGTTGAAATAACATCAACACTCTGGGCTCTGTTTGCGTAAATAGCAAAACAATAAAGAAGATTACATGAAAATACATGTAAAATACCTAACATTTAATCTAATATTGCGAAAGTGTGCCTACATATATGTTGTGTTACAGAAAAGTGGTGAAAGGAGGAATAAACTTTACCTTTGCTGTTGCAGCTCCATTTGAATATTAAGCTACTTTCTTATTTTTCCACCTGCACTGTTCTGCAGGCTAATACAAACAGTCTATTTATTAGGCTAACGCTAGCTCCAGTCCGCAGGCTGCAACAAGTTTAGACGTTTCCATGACAACAAGCGACCTTTTTCCCCAACACACTTTGGACTATACTTACCAGCTTAATATATTTTTATCCGTAACAAATTATCATTTCACCATCCACTAAGGAATATTTAAAGTAGTCAATTAGTCCTAGTGCTTTGGGTAAAGTAAGATAACCGGCTCTGTGCTAAAATGGCAAAAGTGAATAATCATCAATTAACTTTACTAAGCTACATGTTTTTTTAATTATTATTTACCAAGCTAGAGATAATAGAAAAATGATAACAGATCCCTTTGTTGCTCTTATGATTCGATAAGCAAATACACTCACATAAGTAGAAACATTTTATGAACAACCCAAAAATTGAGAAAAAAAATCAAATTGAACTTTTTTGAGGCTGCATCCCTTTCCTTTTGTCTCCTTGACCTCATTGACCTTAGTCACTTACTTTTCATTTGACGTAGGATGTATTGATAAGTATCGAAACATTTAATTTCACTTTACTTGGAGGTGTTCCATCCTCTAATAACTCGATATTAAAACACAAAGAAGTATAAGGAAGTGTTTACATTATGGTTCGGATGGAGTCCCCTAGCTACTGGCGTCTCTGGCTCGTTCAAGCTTTTACAGCAGATCAATGGCGCTCAGTTAGATGAATAAATGAATACATAGTACATTTTTCAGAGCCCTTGGACTTTGTTATGAACTTCAAAACAGGAAAACGCTTGTAGAACTCCATAACCCACAATGCAGTGCGGCAGAGCCATGGGAAGGCACGTTGAAGCGGCGGGAGCATTTCAAACTGAAGCGGAAGCAGGAGAGCTGAGCCTCAAAACAACACCGACTGGACTTTTACATAAAACAGGTTCCTCTCAAAGTGGGACATTATTCATCCGGGACCAGAGACGGTACCGGAACAGAGAGACGTGTGTGGGACAGGCGGACGGGCGACATGGCGGATTCTACGGGTCAGAACCGCGGAGGCTGTAAGTTATGGACCTTCTGAAGTAGCATAAATGAAGGGCTAGCTCACACCGGGGTCACTCAGGTTTTATTGTACTATCGTTGTAAGACTGATTTTACCTTTTATTCACAATTATTCACATCCCAAGCAGGAAAAAGGTTCATCTTATTCACCTGTCTTTCTCATCCAACTGAAGTCTGGACATCAGAGACTATCATGGAAAATAGGTTATATCTCTATTTTATGGATGTATAGATAATGTCTGCTTCTATAATACTATAAACTTTAGAAAAACAAACAAAAAACCATTTTCTATTCTTGAGGAGTGCAGCAAATGTGGCACTTGATAATGGCAAAAATCTGTATGAAATTGTTGTTATTCTAATTGAAATCACAATAATATAAACTCGTACGTATGTTTCTGTGATTATAGAAGAATGTGACTCTGAAAATCAGCACAGTGATTTTTGTGGCTTCGGGCACAGGTGTTTATGCAGCAGCTTGTCGAGGATTTGTGTGTGTTTTGTATATGAAGGGCCTCAGTACACAGACACATCCTCATCCCAGTGATGTCTGGGATTGGAGATGACGGATTTCACAGGGTTATGATAAAAACTTCCATTTTGCTTGCTAATAATTTTATGTTTTCAAACATGTTGGGAGGATGACAGAGGTTGATGTGGCTGAGAGGGAGGGAATATAGATATTTCGAATTCACTTCAAGATTTATGTGAGGAGCTCAATCACAGCATGTCCGACCGGGAGGAGGAGACTATCTCAGCCGGTCTGTGGAGGCCTCTGGATTTCCTCAGAGGAGCTCGAGGAAGTGTCTGTGAATATTTGTGTTTACTTTCATTCAGATTAGAAATTCTTTAGGCACAATGCAGCATTTATGTCATTCTTGACTTCAATTTTGTGAAACAAAACAACCAGATAATCAAGTAAATCAAACATTACTCAATGAATTAATCATTTATTCACTTGTACCCGTAAACAAAACAATTGTCAAACATTTCAACAAAAATGGAAGTTATGAACTTACTCACTTCTATATAAACTCAACATTTATCAGTTGTAAATAAATGTCAGTTATGAAAATGTAGCTAGGTCTGACAACACAGCCAGACACTGATACATTGGGCTTTTATATGAGGCTTGTAGAGAGAAAAATATGGTAATTGTTGTTATTCACAGCCCAGACTGAACGTCACTGGCTGCTAACTCAACGGGGTCTCAAAGAACTTCTGTGGTTTGATTCAATTATGTTGTTGTTATTGTTGCAATGGTATTTGTGAAAATGCATCACATTAGGGTTTTATAAAAGTCCTTGTCCTTAATCATGTTTTGTCAATGAGGTCAAGAAAATGTCCAGTGACTGTCGAGTCTTCAGATCTAATGGGTAAATCTCAATATACAGTATGTATCCATCATGTGTCAGACTGAAGTGATGGATATACCACAACCACACACATTTCTTTAAGATTCATTAGGATGTATCGGCCAGCTCTACAACTGGGTGGGAAATCTGAAAGTGTCCCTCAAGACTCATGACTATCTGTGTCTGTGTGTGTTGTGTTGTGCTGTGGTATAATAATAATAATAATGCATCGGTTTTATATACCGCTTTTTTGGACACTCAAAGACGTGTGTGTGTGTGTGTGTGTGTTGCAGATGAGCGGCTGACCGCAGAGGAGATGGACCAGCGTAGAGTTGAGGGCGTGGCTTATCAGTACCTGTGTCACCTGGAGGAGGCCAAGCGGTCAGTCACCCTCTGTGTTACTGCTTTTCTGATTCAGTCTTTCTAGCGGCTTCTCGAGGACATACCCCTAAAAAAAAAGAGAACCTTGTCCAATATTGTTCACCCAAAACATATTTTAAACAGTAGGAATTAACATATATAAAAAAGATTGAAATCTTGGTGTTTTATTGTGGAGGCTGCAGTAACATTGATCCTCTTCTCTGCCTTGGTCTTGCCTTGGTCTTGCCTTGGTCTTGCAGGTGGATGGAGGCCTGTCTTGGCGAGGAACTGCCCCCTCCCACAGAGCTCGAGGAGTCTCTGAGGAACGGTGTGATTCTGGCCAAACTGGGACACCACTTCACCCCTGACACCGTCCCAGTGAAGAAGATCTATGACATGGACCAGGCCAGATACCAGGTGAGCTCCTCCACAGGCCAGATACCAGGTGTGCTCCACCAAAGGCCTGAAGGAGACTGTGTGCTGCTATCCTGAAAGATCTGCAAAAAGCACTTCAGTATTTCAGCTGCCTATACAGCTCTTTGGGATTAAAGCAGTTTTGAAAGAATTTTAGAAAAATATTTTTTTTCTAATTTGTTTGATATTAATTAAACCTGCCATATTCATACCTGAAAACATGTCAGCTTTAAGGGGACGGATCACTGTTTTTACTCCAAGGAAAGGTAATTCAGGAAAGTCATGTAGATCTACAATAAAATAATGTGGGGCTTAGTGAGGCTCAGATTTATTTTCAAAGTAGTGGTAAAACGGTACTGCTGTGTTTTTATTGCATAGAAGTGACTACAGTGCTCATAGAAGTAAGTAGGCATGAAGATAGAATTTTTTAAAAAGCCTAGTTTGTTTTAGGCGTGGTATCATCTCATCTACTAATCTGCGGTCTGTGTGTGTGTGTGTGTTTCTCTCTGTGTGTGTGTTTCAGGCTCTGGGGCTGCAGTTCCGACACACTGATAACATAAACCACTGGAGAGCAGCCATGACGGCGCTGGGCCTGCCTGCGGTGAGTTCTGTCACTTGTCCCCCAACATTGGAGTCCAGATTTTAAGAATAATAATGCATTGGTTTTGTACTGCACTTTTTGCACTGTATGTCATTATTCATTCACTACTGTATACACAGTGGTGATAAACGACTGCTGTAGCCACAGCTGCCCTGGGGCACACTGACAGAAGCGAGGCAACCAGTATGCGCCATCGGCCCCTCCCACCGCCACCAACCATTCACACACACACCAGACTCATTCTATGTGGGTGAAGTGTCTTGCCTAAAAACACAACAGCAGTTTGGCACTTTACAGCCTAAGCCTGATGCCACAGTGGGGCAAACAGAACTTCAGGTCACAGCAGCAGAGGTGGAGGAAAACGTAAAATGATGAATTCTTTGCTAGCATTCCTCCAGTGTATTTTTGCCTGATCCGCTTGGTTCGGACCATGAATCCTCTCCGGTCCAGTCTGGACCAGTGCTCACTTACGGCCTTGGACTTTGGACTTGCAGACTGTGAAGGAGTGTGTTTGGGTTTTGCAGATCTTTCATCCAGAGACCACAGACGTGTATGACAAAAAGAACATGCCCCGTGTGGTCTACTGCCTCCACGCCCTCAGGTAAGTCTTTGTCCCAGTCTTACTCAAATTACTCACAACAGAATATGTGACACATCTCCACACCAAACAGTTATTCTTGATTTGTTGGAGTTCATTTTTTATTGGAAATATGTTACAAAATTGTCCCTTATCAGAAAGCTGGGGTTGGTTTTGGCGCCCTCCATGATGTCAGGAACTTCTGGCACAAACCGTTTTTACCTCTGAATTAGGGGAGTAGAGCCACCACATCTTTGCCAGAGATGACATTTTCTAAACATTCCTCTTGCTCCGGTTTTAATTTCTTGATATTTGGAGCCGAACCAGAACGGATTACTTAACTTCGCTGAATGGTCGGAGGGGATACAACTGAGGAAACTGCAGTTTTAGTGAAATGTCACAGTGAAAGAGGACACTGTTCCACTTTCCAACTTCCATATTCTCTTGTGCTTAGTCAACAAAAGACCCAAAAAATTTAACCGAACTAATTACATTTTTTTACAGTACTAGTAGCGAAAAGGGTGTATTTCTACTTGGACCAGATAAACAAAGCCCAGTCCCACAGACCTCTGATTACAGACCGTGTTGGTGCATTGTTTCTGGTTTGAGTCTGGTTTTGTGCCTCCTCAGTTTCTACCTGCACAGACTCGGACTCGCTCCTCAAATACATGACCTCTACGGGAAAGTCAAGTTCACAGGTGAGACATCACACTGCACCAGTACTCTGCACCAGTACTCTGCACCAGTGCTCTGCACCAGTGCTCTGCACCAGTGCTCTGCACCAGTACACTGCACCAGTGCTCTGCACCAGTACACTGCACCAGTGCTCTGCACCAGTACTCTGCACCAGTACTCTGCACCAGTACACTGCACCAGTACACTGCACCAGTACACTGCACCAGTACACTGCACCAGTACACTGCACCAGTACACTGCACCAGTACTCTGCACCAGTACTCTGCACCAGTACTCTGCACTAGTACTCTGCATCAGTACTCTGCACCAGTACTCTGCATCAGTACTCTGCACTAGTACTCTGCACCTGGAGTCCAGAGTCGGTACTGCAGTCCTCACGTCCGCTTCTGTTTTCAGAGGAGGAGATTAACAATGTGAAGCTGGAGTTGGACAAGTACGGGATCCAGATGCCAGTGTTTAATAAAATCGGAGGAATTCTGGCCAACGAGCTGTCGGTGGACCAGGCTGCAGGTTTGTACGGACAGGACTGTTGTGGTTCACAAGCTCACCGTTAAATGTTGCAGATTAATCTAAATGTATAACGGATCAATATGAGGATATTTCACCAGAAACTACAATATACAATAATTACATATTGAGACATAAAGTATTGTTCTCAAAACTCTTGTTAAAATGGTGGTTGAAAGAGCGATACATTTTATAAATAGATGTACAAACATGGTTAGGGTTAAATGGCACGGGCCTGTCTCACACCCTCAGGAAGACTGTTATTGGAAGACCATATTTAGCTGCATCTTTCTCCCTCGAATCAACGTTTTGATCAAAAGGTCCTAACCTGTTATTGCCTCGGATCTGCTTAGATTAGAGTCAGATTTTTGTTTGGCAGATGAAACCATCTCATTATAAATGTTAATATGGCAATTAGGGCTGGGCGATATGGCAAAAAAGTAAAATCTTGATTTTATTTCCTGCTTTGGACAATTTTGATTTTAAATCATTTTTCATTAAAGTCACCAAAGACAAACTTTGCCCTTAAAATTATTTGTTGATCTTTCCGCTCAATATTCAAGTTTCAAAACTATTATTAATTTGTTTCCCCCAATACGTGATACAAAAGTGTTGCACGGACTGTGCTGATATTGTAAGTATAATTCATGTGCTGCTCTCACAATATCCTTCATTTTATTTCACGATTTTCACATTTTTAACAAATTCGATTTTTTCAAAAGCCAATTCATTGCCTACATTTCGGTTTATTGCCCAGCCCTAATGGCAATACATATTTTCTATTCCTTTCCATTACACATCTATTGATGATAATGTTAAAAGTACACAGCAGACATGGAGTTCATAATGCAAAGTTCACAAAGACATTTTTGTTAAAGCTGGAGTACCTAACATTTTAAAAGTACCTAACATTTGAAAAGTACCTAAACAACAATCTGATGAAATTCCCTCACTGTGGGACGAATAAAGGGCTATATTTATTGGACTCTTCCCTGCCGCTTTAGAGTGAGAAATTATTTAAATGCGATATATACTGGTATGCCTTTTCCAGGTGTTAGTGGCTGATATTTGAATTTGTATGACTTACATGATCATTTATTGGGAAATTAATTGTTATCTGCTGCATATAAAAATGTTTTTTCTTTTGTTAAACATATCTTGCGTATTTTCTTCTGGTCATAGAACACAGCTAGGATTTCAGAGGTTGTGGAAGCTCCTTTAACATCTGACAGACTGGTCATGAGCCCACCAGAACAAATCAGCTCTCTTACCTGCTGCTAACCTGCTTCCTGCCTGTGTCTGCAGTGCATGCTGCGGTCATAGCCATAAATGAGGCGGTGGACAAGGGCCAGCTGGAGGTGACAGCGCAGGCCCTGAGGAATCCCAATGCCATGATAGAATACCTGAATGATTCATTGTGGGAAGTGTACCAGGAGCTACTGCAGCAGAGCAAGAGGCAGAAGGCTCTCAATGCAAAGAACCGAGTAAGAGTAACGCATTGTTCATAATTTACCTTTGTGTGTCTTCAACGTCCAACCTCATTTATGGACGGTGGTCTCTGCCCCTTATGGACCCGCCTAAGGTTGTGTTTGTCCTGATTGTTTCAGGGAGGAGCAGAGGAGAAGGACATCTACGAGGAGTATCTGACTCAAAAGGAAATCCAGCAGAGCATCAACATGGTCAACTGTGAGTTCAGAAGTACTCAGTTACTCCTGTGTTCAAATAGGAGCTGCTTCTATTCAAGTTGTATTTTATTCATTATTTATTCATTGATTACATTTTACGCACATCTAAATAAGCCTATTTTTAACCTGGATTTGAACATTGTCATTTCAAAGTATTCTTATACAGCCCTAAATCACAACAGTAGTTATCTCAGAGGACTTAACAAGACCGTTGAAATTGCAAACACATAATATAGAACTGTCAGAGAAGAAGGCCGGTCTCACAATTTCAGGAACATGGTTCCAGATTTTATCTGCCTGAATCTGAAACACTGCCTCCTCATGTTTAGTCTTGACTCTGGGACCAGCAGGAGGCCAGTCCCTGTGCTCCTCAGAGTCCCAGAGTGACAGTCATGCTGACCTGCTGCAGAGTGTTGTGTGTCTTCCCATCTAGAGTGTAGTATGTGTTGTGTTTCAGTGCACTGGGCTGTGGAGCAGGTGGACCAGGCCATAGACTCCTGTGATGAGCTGGCTCTGCTCTCGGCTCTTAGTGTCCCCTGTTTGTCCCTGAGGGGCCTCCGTCCTGACATGGCCCTGTGCTACATGGAGCAGCTGGGCTCAGACCGACAGCAGAAAGCCATGGTACTCCAGCTTTGCTGCTTGTGTAAAAAAATAGTTTAAAATTGGAAAAATAATCTGAAATATGTCCTTTAACCCAATGGGCTGTGTCCTACACAGGAGCAGGGCTGTGTGGACCCTCTGGACCCTGAGGAGCTACAGGAGGCCATCTCCACTGCCAACCGCCATGCTCAGAAGAAGAGCCACAGTGAGTGTCGCCTGATGCTCTGTGCAACAATCTTTTTCTGTTTACATTTGAAGAGCAAATACAGATTGCTGTTTTATGTTAATGGAATTTCCTTCCTTGTCTTGTAAAGCTCTTGGGTTTTCTTGTGTGTGAATCGTTCCAGTGGAGGGGGCTTTGCTGAAGCTGAACCAGTGTCTGCAGGGCTCAGATGCCAGGCTGACAGTGAGCACTCTGATGAGTCCAGTCCTGGAGCTGCCCCCAGTGCTGCCCACCGCAGCCAGCCTCTACCACACTGAGCTGCAGCAGCTGCAGAGGCAGAGCCCACAGGTGACTGAGGCCTAACTCTGACCAGAACATTATGGGTTTGCCCTAACGACACATACCATCCTACATGGAATGCAGCCATCCAGATGCTCTGCCTAATGTTAACTGATCGTTTACATTAGTTACTTATACAAAAAAGCAATACTACAACAAAAATAAAACTGACTAATTCTACATCATTGTGAAGTCATATTGTAAACTTGAACACGTTATAATTTTAATTATGGTAACACATTTCTTAGTCCGAGAACCCCACCTCAGCTCTCTGGCCAAAGGGTCTTACACTGACACCATTCATGATTCTTGGAAATGTCATGAGGTGATTTACCTGTGTCTGTTACCAACAACATTTTTGAAACTGAAAAGTTAGATGCTCCGGCTTTAAGTCAGGCTGAGCGAGGCAATCAATTAGTCTCAACTTGGAGTGAATTAAAAGGGTCTCAGCTAATTCATGAACGTGAGGAGATGCTGTGACCACCAGGGAGCGCTGCAGCAGGAGGAGCTTTTTGTTGCCGTGGAGATGCTGACCTCTGTGGCTGTCATCAACGAGGCTCTGGAGGCGGGGCTTATGCACAAGTTCAACTGCTCATTGGTCAGTTCTGCTGCCGCTCTCAGCGATGTGGAGCCAGAGCTGCTGCACAGGTGATCAACACATTCCATTCCATTTATTTGTGTATCGTCCTAAATCACAACAGTAGTTTTCTCTGAGGACTTCACAAAGCTGTCGATTCAACAACACAGATCAGAGAATCAAACAGTTCAGACACAGGAAATGCAATGATAGCAAACACACAGAGCCATCGGTCCATAAGGAGCACATGACCAATGTCCATAAATATTAATGCATGAATTTGATTCAAAGAGGTTGGATAATATTTTAGAATGTATTTGAACATTGTGAGACACTGATACTTTCCAGATACTTCGAGGCGCTGACGTCTCTGAAGCAGCAGAGTCACGGAGCCGCACTGAGCTGGAATCAGCTGCAGAAGCAGATCCTCTCTGTGAACTCTGAGGCCCAGGAGCAGGAGCAGCGTGAGTCTGTGTATATCTCTGTCTGTGTGTGTGTTTATTATAATCCAGCCCCATGACTTTTGTAAAACATCCGTACTGCGATGCTGCATTGTGGTGCTAAAAGTAAATGAGTGAAAACGAGAACCGTACTAATCAGATCACTCCTCACTCCACCAATGCTCTATTCTTCCTGTCAAGTGTCTGTTCTGTAACACCGGTGAGTGACCATGTTCTGTGTGTGTGCAGAGCTGCTGTGTGTGTCCCTGGTGAACGAGGCGGTGATGGAGGGCCATGTGTCCAGGCTGCTGTCCTCTCTTAAGCAGCCGTCTCTGGGTGTGAGCTCTGTGGTCCCCAACAATGCCAGCCGCTACCTGTCCCTGCTGCAGAGCGCCCAGAGGCAGAGAGCCCAGGTCACTGGCACCTTCACACAGTTTTTATCCATCAGCATTTCTTCAATTGGACCTTACAAGTCATCTTACAGTCATTTGTTCAATTCCATTGAATGTAATTTTGTACAGCTCTAAATCACAACAGTAGTTATATCAGAGAATCAAACAGTTCAAACACAGGAAATTCAATAATGAAAACACATGGACACACGTTCACATTTAGGGACATGGGTCATCTGGCCTTTATGTACCAATGTCCATAAATGTGGTTGAACGTTGAGTGTTCTGGATCATCACCACTGTCCTTGGACCCAAATGCATTATTTTATTTTTTTTCTACTTTTATATTCACAATGTGTGTTCTTAAGTGTATATAATCAAGACCATATTTACATAAACACAAATGGATCAATGAAATGTACACATTATTATAGAATTCTGTTGAATCATCATCATGAATTTATTTTGATTCCACAATACATGGTTCAAACAAACAAAATTACAGTAAATGTTCACTTTCACTGTGTATTGGGAGTGGGCCCTGGTCTGACAGTCTCTGTCCAATAGTTGGCCCGTGACCCGGGAGCAGCGCTGTGGCTGCCAGACATCCAGGAGCAAGTGACGAGAGCCAATCAGGAGACTCAGAGAGCACTTAAGAGTGAGTACTTTTCCTCAGGCTGACATGAAGGATTCACCAGCAAGCAAATATCTCATTTATAAATATAATTTATATTTTCATAGATGGATAGATAGATACTTTATTGAACCTCCGTAGGGAAATTCAGGTGTCCAGTAGCAGCAGAAACACAGATAAATGGATTATTCTAAAAATAGCTAATGACGGTATTAAAATGCAACAGGACTTAATGTCTTAATGCAGCAGCAGAGGTGGAGTAGCTCCTGGTGGAGCAGGACGAGTCACAGCAGCAGCAAGTTTGAGCAAAGCTCAAAGAATGTAGTAGAATGAGCTTTATCGTGATGGTCAAAAACTGGTGCTATAGTTTGGGGTTTTATCCTGTAAACCACAACAGTAAGTGTGTGTTGCAGCGTGCTTGGCCCTCGCCGCGGTGAGCCAGGCAGTCCGTGAGCAGAGACCGTCTCAGACGTTCAGAGTGCTGTCTCTGCCGGAGCTGGGCCTGTCCAGTCTGCTGCCCCACTGTGCTGCGCAGTATCAGGAGAAGCTGGCCGCACTCGTCACACAGAGGCCTCGCACAGGTGACTGTTTAAGCCTGTTCTCAAACTGTGTCCATGATTCACTCAGAGGAGAGAGACCCAGTCATACTGAGAGACTGTCCTGTGTCTCTGTGACCTCTGAACTCTGCCCTTTGTGTCTATTCGACCACAGCCTCCAGTCCGTGGGTGCACACTGCTCTGGACGATGGCTCCACGTTTTACCTCCAGCTGAGCACCTTGGAGGGTAGCTGGGAGAAGCCCAAGGACAAGGCCTCTCCCCTGGTGCTGAGCCGAGCAGACATCCAGGTGAGATCAACCAGGAAAATGGCAGAGAACCCCAGCTTTAACCATTCATCTATTTCCTTGCCGGGTCTTTGGGGCAGCAGTCCAAGCCGACACACATAGATCCACACACACTTCCGCCAGCTCATCTGGGGGAATCTTGAGGTGTTCCCAGGCCAGCTGAAACATAATTTCATCTGTCCTGGGTCTTCCCCTGGTCTCTTGGTGGCTGAATACAGAAACATCCTCACTTACAGGTGTGTTTCTGTGTCCCTGTGCTCCTCAGGCGGTGGTGTCCCAGGTCTTCTCTCAGCACAGTCGCAGTCTGCAGTGGGAGTGCAGGGAGCAGCTGGTGGTGCGTCTGCAAGCTGCTGCCAGAGGCTTCCTCTTGAGAACACGGCTGAACAGGAGGCAGCAGCACTTTATGGACAACACCAGAGCAGTGGTTACACTACAGGTACTGATGACAAGATGCAGTTTATATTCCAATTGCAGTAGAACCACATTGGAATAACTGCAAGACTACTCCAGTGTGGACCAGACAGTGCAGATAGTACACACCAGAGCCCCTGGATCATCACTGTCCTTAGACCCTCCTGTATCAGAGGAACAACTCTAAACCCAGTGGGAGAACATGAGAAACCTCCTGAATAGAACCAGCACTGAGACTGTATAGAACCAGCACTGAGACTGTATAGAACCAGCACTGAGACTGTATAGAACCAGCACTGAGACTGTATAGAACCAGCACTGAGACTACCAGCACTGAGACTACCAGCACTGAGACTGTATAGAACCAGCACTGAGACTACCAGCACTGAGACTATATAGAACCAGGACTGAGGCTGTAGATCGAATCAAGACTAGGCTGTTTTTGGGCTTTGAAAGTTAATTTTAAAAAGTTCAAATCGGAATTTCTTCATGCTCCTGATCCTTCAGAAGGAGTGGCTCCTAGAATATTCCAGGATTCACTGATCCAGAACATATCAGTTTCCATTTTATAACTTTATTCACATATATTATCTTTCTAAAAATGTAATGCTGATGTAATTAACCTACAATACATCATATTGTTCTTTAAGAAGTTGGTCTCGGTTCATGACCATTGTAGATTTGTATCCCCACAACCCCTTAAAGCCAGCACATTTGTGTGTGTAGTCCCACTGGAGGAGGCTGCTGGCTCAGAAATCCTACCGCTGCCGCCTGCAGTACCTCTACATGAACTGGAGAGCAGTGGTCAAGGTAAGTGTTGTTTCACACAACAATGCACTCGGACACACATACCCTGCCAACAACTCCATATGTGTTCACTATCAGCTTTGAGTAGACCTTAGGCTGAGGAAAACACCCTCCGGTCCCCCTTCTTGAAGAGAGAGGGGACTAATATGAAGTCTCCAGACCAATAAGTTGTTGAAATGTAACAGTAATGGTTGAGATGCGGAGATTGTCTTATTTCTTCATTGCTTTTCTAATCTTAATTTTAAAAGTCTTGAAAATGTTACGTTTGACTTTAGGCTCCCAGCGTTTGTCCCAGGTGTAAACATTGTACTGATGTTTGCAGATCCAGTCCATGGTTCGCATGTGGCGGCTGAGGAAGAGGTACAGAGAGAGACTGCGCTTCTTCAGACGAAACGTGGGTCATATATAAACACATGGGACCAAAGGTAGAAGAGGCCTCTTCAGAATATAGAGACGGGTGTTTTTGTGTTCAGGTGGGAGCAGTGGTGAAGATCCAGGCCTTCTTCAGGGCCAACAAGGCCCGAGCGGAGTACAGGCTGCTGGGTAAGCACCAACGCTCTGCTCCCTGGATGTCTTACTCTATAAGAACATTAGACCTAATTTACATTTGACTCATGTGATCATCCATTAGTTGGACAATCAGTCGTTTGGAAAATAAAAGGCCTTAAACACACACACATACTGTAATTGTTGACGATGTAGAGAAACTGCTGTTCATGTAACTAAAAATTAAAGAATCTCTTCTTTTTGATTAATGAAATGACGTGTTACAGCCGTCATTTCATTAGAACAGCGTTGAATGATTCCAATGAACATTTCAAAAAAGTAAATATTCTCTAGGTTATTTTTAGAGCCTAATGAACACATGTAATGCAGAATATTTGTTATTTTGAAGGTTAAGGTTTATTTTGATTTAGTTCAAATTATTTCAAGGAAAAGGTTTGAATTGCTGTAAACTGTTCATTGATAGTGTTGAAGCTCTTTATGAGATCTGCCCAGATCCACAATCTGTGCTTATTTTGGTAATGGTTACACAACAGTATTATGTTGTAGATGGTGTGTTTGTGTGTTTTCCCACAGTGCACTCGGCCACGCCCCCTCTGCGCGTCATCAGGAAGTTCGCTCACCTGTTGGAGCTGTCCGGTGCTGACATCAGGGAGGAGGCGGAGCTTCTCAGAGTGCGACAGGACGTTGTGAGGAGCATCCGCTTCAACAAACAGCTGGAGAGCGACCTGGACCTCATGGACCTGAAGATTGGTCTTTTGGTCCGCAACCGGGCCACCATCCAGGTGAGACTCATACAATTAGAACTGTCTTGGAGAACCTATTTTCAGAACCAAAGAACAGTCAGATGTCTCAGACAAGTATTGGTTATATTATATATTAAATTTTTGGACCCTCTGTTTCTGGTATCAGGAAATCCCCCCTTTGTTGTAGTGGAAGTTAAACCTTCTATAACACACACATATTTGCCATTGTCATGTCTTGTTGCTTCATTCATGTTTTATCCATGATTGGTTGTTGTTCATCGCTCACGTCATCTTTTATGTGTGCACGCTGGCCGTGTGATGAAGTTGTTTACTGTTGATGGAGGCTTTAGGCGATGGGTTAACCCAAAGTTACGCAGTTTGAAGTTCTCTTTGTATAAATGCAACTGACCTTCAACTCGGTTTGTCCAGACCGATTACAAACCACAAACCACCCAGTTTGGTGGACTGAGCCAGACAGAGATACAGGTGTGTGTGAGACGAGGCTCCTAAAGGCTGTATGTTGGTCTTTCTCAGGAGGTGGCCTCTCACTGTAAGAGGCTGACCAAGAAGAACAAGGAGCAGCTGTGTGACATGATGGATCTGGAGAAGAGCAAAGGTCTGAAGGCTCTGAGTCGAGAGCGGCGCGAGCGTCTGGAGGCGTACCAGCACCTGTTCTACCTGCTGCAGGTGGGTCACATAGGAGGGCACCAGCAGATATATATCATCCTACTGCAGATTACTTACCGGTACATACTGATACTAATTCTTGGGTTTCATTAACTTGGCCTGTAGGTGGCAAATGAGCAGAGGTGGGACAACTCAGTTTTGCTCCCATTGAAAACCATGTAAATCATGTCTGTTTTGGACTCAAAAGGCTCTCATCGTGTGCGGTGTACGGTTGTTGTAACAATCTTAATTGGCAATTCTAAGGGAGTATTAAAAAATATTTCTCAAGAATCTTGATTTCGGGCATTTTTGGAAAAAATTGCTGCGTTTCATTTGGGTGGCATGCAGGGGGCGCTAATCTGGGAAAGCCTTGATCCACCTTGCCCGCCTCATTCCAGTGATTTTTTCAAATGTCCTTTATATGAGACCACAGTTGGAACACGGAAGAAACTCTGCGCGGTTGCTACAAGCGTACACCGCACAAAAAGATGGCATTTTGAGTGAAGACTGCAAGCTAAGATATTGGCGCTTATTCTTCTACTATAGTATCTCTGTGTATATACCCGGCAGACTGCACCGCCAGGGTGCGTCACGTCCGGTCTGGTCCTGTCCCACGTTTGTCATTTGCGCCCCTGCCCCGACGTCATATGAAACCCAAGAATACCTTCTGAGCATTGAACATGAAAGAAGACATCATGAACTTTTTTCATTTAGTACAGGCTCACATCATGCATTGTACAAAACATTAGTACTAGTGCAGTAACTATACTATACTTTACTGCACATTTTTGAGCAATTTTCTCCGCAGGGCCACATTGGGATATTGCCATATTGTGAAGGGTCAAAGCTGTTGTCAATAATGTGCTTTGGTCCTGAGTGCTGTGATGGTGTATGTATGTTGCAGACCCAGCCCAGGTACCTGGCCCAGCTGGTGTTCCTCATGCCCCAGAGCAGGTCCACGGCCTTCATGGAGATGCTGGTGTTCAGTCTGTTTAACTACGGCTCCGATTTGCGCGAGGCCTTCCTGCTCCTGCAACTCTTCACCCAGGCTCTCCGCTACGAGATCAGGCAAGACCCCTGGCTCTGGCAAGACCCCTGGCTCTGGCAAGACCCCTGGCTCTGGCAAGACCCCTGGCTCTGGCAAGACCCCAGGCTCTGGCAAGACCCCAGGCTCTGGCAAGACCCCAGGCTCTGGCAAGACCCCAGGCTCTGGCAAGACCCCAGGCTCTGCTCTGTCCTATGGCAGGGAACGGCACCAGAACCACCTCCATGTGGTCCATGGGCTAAAACAAGCATTAGACCTCCACTGGCCGTTTGCACAACCTCACACCATTGGACACAGGACTCAGGAATATGAGTTTTTCTCTCTTTAAATGAACAAACATTTACAGAGTGTTTTAGGCTTTGGTTTCATTGGATTTAAACCTTAAAGGTTTATGGAAGCCAATATTTCGTTGTAGAAAGCTTTAGGTTTTTGCACATGTTGCGCCCTGACTGCAGTGCTGAGGTCAGTCCACGTCAATGTATTATTTTGAAGAACCTTCAATGTCCTCCAGGACCAGAACCCAAGTCACCTGGCATTACTGGTCTTCTTTTTATGTAGCCTAAAATCACAACTGCAGCAATGTCAAAAGTCGTTCCCAAAATGGTTAATTTGTTAGTGTGTTTCTGCCGGAATTGGCACCCACGTGGCCAAATTAGACAATCTAGTTTTACCATTAGATGTGTTTCTTACCCGACCAACTTTTATTTAAAGCTGTGATAATAACTTTCAAGCCACAAAACATCTTCAATGCAACTAAATCGATTCACTGAACAGTTTGTTTCTATCACTACATTTCACATGTATGTGTGTGTGTTTAGGCTGAAGGTGGACCATCCTCAGGACATAGTGACTGGAAACCCCACAGTCATTAAGATGCTGGTGAACTTTTACCGCCACGCCAGAGGTCACAATGCCCTGAGAGAAGCTCTGGGCCCCGCCCTGAAGGAGCTGCTACTGGAGCAGAACCTCAGCATCAGGACGGACCCTCTGGAGGTCTACAAGGCCTGGGTGAACCAGACTGAGACGCAGACTGGAACCAAGAGGCGAGTCCCACCTCACCCACCCTCTTTCCGAACAAACCACAAACCTTCAATGAGGGGCTATACTTTGTACTTTGAGTTATTATCCAAACAATAACAACATACAAAAATATGGAAGTGTATAATTGGGTGTTGTGTAAAGAGCCTGTGTGTTGTATGTTGTGTAAAGAGCCTGTGTGTTGTATGTTGTGTAAAGAGCCTGTGTGTTGTGTGTTGCAGTTCTCTTCCATACGACGTGTCTCCAGAGGAAGCCCTGTCCCACCCAGAGGTGCAGAGGAGAATTGATGTGGCCATCGTCAACCTCAAGAACCTGACGGACAGAGTGCTCAAGGCCATCATGGGGAATCTGCACCTGCTGCCGTACGCACGCACTCAAACACACACACACACACACACACAAGTTTCCATGTCTGCACTGTTGTTGAGGCCTGCAGAAGATGGTATAAATAGTTATGATAGAAGTGATATCACTATTTGAATAGTTTGCGATCCTGCCATGGTAACTCAATTTCTATGAAATGGAAAATGGTGCAGGGTATGTTATGAGCACAACTAAAGAAGTAGCATTATTTTTTGTCATCAAATGGAAATCCCACGTTGTTGCTGTGTCTTTTGTGTCCCTCAAACTGAACTGTGTCTGTCCTAAGTAGGTATGGTCTGCGCTACACGGCCAAAGTCCTGAGAGACGCTCTCAGGGCCAAGTTCCCCCAGGCCTCTGAGGACGACCTGTACAAGGTGTGTGTGTGTGTGTGTGTTTAGGGGTTTACACATCATGGACACAGATGTGTATGTTTGTCGCCACCACAGTTGTAATGTAAGTAATGTAATGTAATTTCCCACTTTGACCATTAGATGGGAGTCCCATATAGAAGAAACTCTTTCCCAGCCTCTGTATCTGAGTTCACTCCACCCCGAGCCTTTATCAAAGCCACAGTGCATAAATCATCAAATATAATCTTCTCCTTGGCCTTCTGTCTGAACTGTGGGGGTTGATCCAGAACATAGTTTCTGTAACAGCCAAAATTCCACTGTGCTGCACTTAAAGTGATGACTCAGCAGCTGCAAGGACAGGCTGCTCCAGGGCCGGGTCCAGGATTGGTGTTGGCAGAAAGTCTGTGATGGCAGATCAAAGATGACATATGAGTGTGTTTCAGCTGGTGGGGAACCTGGTGTACTACCGCTACATGAACCCTGCGGTGGTGGCCCCTGATGGCTTCGATGTCCTGGATCGCAGTGTGGGCTCCAGCCTCTCCCCGGAGCAGAGACACCTGTTAGCCGCTATCGCCCGCATGCTGCAACACGGAGCAGCTAACAAGTGTTTCCATGGAGACGGCTACCATGTGCGCATGCTCAACCAGTACATCAGCTCCACGCACCTCAAGTTCAGGTACTGAGGATATATACACTGTGGATGCTGCTGGATTCTACATTACCAAAGATGGATTTTTTTCTATTTTTGTAATGACTAGTGCATTGCCTCTATACTTACTGTTGGAAATCCAGGCCAGATTCGTCTCGGATCAGATATTACTTTGAATTAGGGATGCACCTATAGCACTTTTTTCAAAACCAATATGGGTACAAATACATTATTTTGAGTACTTGTAGTACTAATATTGATACGAGAACTGCATTGTGTTATCCCGAGGAAATCGTCAAACTAATACAACTGACATTTAAAATGGTTTGGCATCGCGACCTGTGGTATGTGTACGAGTATGAGTACAAACGTATGGTATCGGTGCATCCCTGCCTTGCTGCCAGTGCCTAGCGATGTTTTCAGCACCAGTTCATCTCCGAGCATTTGACTGTGAATGGAACACGCCTAAATGAACCCTGTCTTTATTACACAGGTTAAACCCTCATAGGGTTGTTAAACTGCTACACAACATGTGAAAGTGTGTGTTTGTGTGGCAGGAGGTTCCTCGCTGCTGTGTGCGACGTCCCAGAGCCAGAGGACCGGTTCAGTGTGGACGAGTATTCTGAGCTGTTAAACGTGAACAAACCTGTCATTTACATCTCTCTGAGCGAGCTCATCAACACACACCAGGTACACACACAAAAATACACTAGATCCAAACTTGAAAAAATACCCCTCACATGTTGTGGTCGGGGAAGGGTTAGGGTTAGAGTGGTTCTCACCGCTGCGACAGACGACTGCTGAGGGAGCGTTGTTCATAATGCCCGCCTCCAGCTTTCTACAATAAAAGAGCCACAACAAAAACTTTCAAAGCTAATATCTCGCGGGAAAACAATTTTCCTATGAATGAAGAGTGAACTATTGTCAAGCAAGGATTTTTCTGTCTTAAAAAACAAATATGTTCTCGGTGACAGATACTGCTGTGACTGAGTCCCAGAGGGACAGGAGTAGTGCTTCTAACGCCCCCTGTGTGCAGCTGCTGGTGGACCATCAGTCAGTCCTGTGTCCGGACCAGAACGACCCCCTCAGAGCTCTGCTGCGGGACCTGGGCTCCGTACCCTCCCTACAGGAGCTGAGTGGAACTGCAGGTGAAACCATCAAACACTGACATCTGCTGATATTTATGTTTTTGCTTTATTTAAATTATGGTATTTTGAACACTTTTATTTTTTGACTGACGGATGGATATTCTGTATATTTTCGGTGTAATCTATTACAAAACAGTGATGTGTGCCGTCCACTGATTTACAGAATCTTGTTTATTAACTGACTTTTGTGAGTGTTGTTTGCGTTATGGGAACGAGTGGGAATTAGAATAAATGTAGTATTGCGATATTTGGGCCACAATTCAGTATTATTGTGATTCTCATTTTGCGATACAGACAGTTTGTGATTGGATTCTGTGATATATTGTGATCCCTGTCACTCGTATTATTCAAAGACTTTACAAACATGGAGGAAAATAAGACTCTTGTCTCTGTGACATTTATTTTGGTCTGTACATGAACTGAAGCAAACACTGAGGAGGTAGTTCAAAAACACCTGGTGTAGAACCAGTTGTGACGAAGCCTGCAACCAGCGCCACCTTGTGGATGTAATACACAAACGTAAATTACCGGAGTAAATTCAGAGAAAACCGGAAAGTGAAACAGATAATTGTTTCATTAAATATCTACTTCTCTCTACCGTATCAATTTAATTGTGTAAAAATATCGTGATACTGAACAGAGTTTATTTTTCCACCATTAATGAGTCGTCATGCTCCAAAACAAACATGTTTCTCTGAAGAAGCTGTGGCCTGTTCTTTGTTCAGAGGCTTGTTCTTGCACCTCTTCTGAGGTTAGGGTTACTTCCAGTTGTGTAGATGTTGTGTTGTCATGATGGTTGTGTGTAGATGTTGTGGTGTCATGATGGTTGTGTTGTGTGCAGAGGACAGTGATGCTGAGCACAGTGCGTCTGTGGGAAAGACCGAGGTGTCTCTGACTCTGGCCAACAAGATCGACATGTTCGATGAGGAGCAGGAGCAGCCGGACTGCAGAGGCCTGCTGCTCAGGTCAGTCTGCTGCAGCACCTGTGCTTCTCCTACAGCACCACACTGACACCTGTGCTTCTCCTACAGCACCACTCTCACACCTGTGCTTCTCCACCACACTGACACCTGTGCTTCTCCTACAGCACCACACTGACACCTGTGCTTCTCCTACAGCACCACACTGACACCTGTGCTTCTCCTACAGCACCACACTGACACCTGTGCTTTTCCTACAGCACCACTCTCACACCTGTGCTTCTCCACCACACTGACACCTGTGCTTCTCCTACAGCACCACACTTGCCACCTGTGCTTCTCCTACAGCACCACACTGACACCTGTGCTTCTCCACCACACTGACACCTGTGCTTCTCCTACAGCACCACACTGACACCTGTGCTTCTCCTCCACCAAACTGACACCTGTGCTTCTCCTACAGCACCACACTGACACCTGTGCTTCTCCTACAGTACCACACTGACACCTGTGCTTCTCCTACAGCACCACTCTCACACCTGTGCTTCTCCACCACACTGACACCTGTGCTTCTCCTACAGCACCACACTTGCACCTGTGCTTCTCCTACAGCACCACACTGACACCTGTGCTTCTCCACCACACTGACACCTGTGCTTCTCCTACAGCACCACACTGACACCTGTGCTTCTCCTACAGCACCACTCTCACACCTGTGCTTCTCCACCACACTGACACCTGTGCTTCTCCTACAGCACCACACTGACACCTGTGCTTCTCCTACAGCACCACACTGACACCTGTGCTTCTCCTACAGCACCACACTGACACCTGTGCTTCTCCTAGAGCACCACACTGACACCTGAGCTTCTCCTAGAGCACCACACTGACACCTGTGCTTCTCCTACAGCACCACACTGACACCTGTGCTTCTCCTACAGCACCACTCTCACACCTGTGCTTCTCCTACAGCACCACACTGACACCTGTGCTTCTCCTACAGCACCACTCTGACACCTGTGCTTCTCCTACAGCACCAAGCAGATGATCATCGATGTGATTCGAAGTCAGCCCGGCGACTCACTGGGACAGATCCTTCGCTGCTCTGCGTCCCAACAACAGGTCACCACTGCACCTGTATAAGACACACCTTTTATAGATTGACTGCAATGGATAAAGGCTGTCATTAACTTAGTTTGTGGGATGACAGACCAATATTATTGTATTCAACTGTAAAGAAGCTGCCTTTCCACAAATTCAAACATGTTATTATGGCGTGTCCTGTATGAGTCACATCTCTACTGCGTCAGACCTGTCCTGATACAGAGAGGTAGGAGAGGACGGACAGTGCTGACGTCACTCATAGTGTTTGGAAGCAGCTGAGTTGAACATGTAAGCTAGCTGGACACTATGCCCTTACATGCTCTGTCCCCTGCAGTTGGAGCAGCACAACTGGCTGGTGCAGAGTCGCGCTCGGCAGGACGCCTGCAGTCCAGACAAACTGAAGAGGAACGAGTCTCTGATGGCCAACGGCAGTCTGGGTCTGGAGCAGAAGAAGAGGAAGATCCTGAGAAACCTGCGCCGACTGGAGGCGCAAGGAGTACTGCAGGCGTCCACCACAGAGGGCGCCATCCTCAGTATGATCGCAAAGGTACAGATACAAACTGCTGCCGGCTTCCACCACAGAGGGCGCTGTCCTCAGTATGAATGTACGCCGTTTATCCTAATATTTACTGTCTGTGTCCAAGACCGATACAAACTGTTGACTGTGTCTCATTCATACTCATACAGACTTATTCCAAAATTTATAAAATTCCCAAAACATTTTCTTCACAATACCCTATTTACGAGTCTTTAAAATTTGATTAAAAAGAAAATAACACATGCACTACTATTAACACCCTTTGCTGGACAAAGATAAGCCAGATCCTGTCAGACCTCACAAGCTAAGCTAAAGCATGACAGGGCCTGGTTAGTACTGTGATGGGAGACCTCTGGGAACACCAGGTGCCACAGTGGCAAACTGGTTGTGTCTGTGTGCGTGTGTGTGTGTGTGTGAGAGAGAAAAGTTGGTGGTGGACCGATTGCCTTGCTTCTGTCAGTGTGCCCCAGGGCAGCTGTAGCTATAGTAGTAGTTTATCATCTTTGTGTTTGGAGCGAATGAATTATGACATATGAAGAGACTTTGAGTGTTCAAAAAAGCGCTGTATAAAACCAATGCATTATTAACTTACACTTATTATTATTTGCTTAAACACTTTAAACTGAGCTCAGTTCCTGTTTTCCACTGAAGCATCCGACCATAGAACCTTGCTCTGTTCTGAGGTTCTATTGCCTCCAGGAAGGTTCTCTCCCCTCATAGTGAAGCTCAGGCAGAGTGACCATCAGGTTCTTGGGCGGCACGGTGGCAGAGTGGATAGCACTCTCGCCTCTCAGCAAGAAGGTCCTGGGTTCGAATCCCGGTCGGACCAGGGCCTTTCTGAGTGGAGTTTGCATGTTCTCCCTGTGTCTGCGTAGGTTTCCTCCGGGTACTCCGGTTTCCCCTACCACTAAAAATATGTCTAGCATGCGCCTCCTGTACTGGCGACCCCGCTCCCATCTCTGTGTGGAGTGAGAGACAAAAGCCCAAAATTAACAATTGTAAACCGCTTTGAGACTCAGATCTGCAGTGAAAAGGCGGTATATAAATAAAGATTACTTACTTACTTACTTGCTTGGTCATTGAGGGTATTTTAGTACCCTTCTCCAGATCTGCCTCCGCCTTTTCTTAGATCTTGTGTGTGTGTGTTGTGTAGGACATCCGTCAGCAGAGACTGCACCGTCAGCGCCGCAGAGGGGAGCTGCTGAGGCTGACCCAGACCCTGAGCAGCCTCCAGGCCAAGAGCCGCTTCCACAGCGAACAGACCGACTTCTACAGACACTACATCAGCTCCTGCCTTGACAAGCTCAGCACACGCCCTGCCCCTGACACCAAGGCCAAGAACAAGACCTTGAGCTACAGCGCCACCAGGCTGCAGGAGAAGGGAGTGCTGCTGGAGATCCAGGACCTGCCACAGACACAGTAAAGTCCATTTTCTACATACCCCCTGTATGTATGAATGAATCTGTGTATGTATGAGTGTGTGTTTGAATGTATCCAAGTGCTGTGTATGGACCAGCAGAACCCCCTGTGAGTCTCAGTCTGTACAAACTGTTTAACTGTCTGTCACTCAGATGAACACGACGAGGACTGTAATAATCAAGGTCTGGTATAATGATGAAAACTGAAATTGAACCATCCCTTTAGATCAGGGATGTCAAACTCATTTTGGTTGGGGGACAAATTTAAAAACATAAGAGCTGGTTGGGGGCAGAAGTATAAAAGTGATTTCTATCTAACATAGTAGCCCCTTACTATCAATGCTGCAAATTACTGCGATAAAAATGATGGAAAATCATTACTAGGGCCACTAAAAATTGTCTCGTGGGCCAAATGTGTTTAAAATGCCTGCTTTAGATGGTATTCAGAGGACGGAGTGTTGTGTAGAACCAGTTGTGATGAAGCCTGAATGTTAGTTTCCTTTGACACTACCAGTGAAACGGATCAAATATCACATTTTTTCCCCCACCTCTAGGGTACGTTGTTGTGAAATTATCTTTTGAGTTCTTACTTCCACCACTTCTGTAGGTGTCGCGTGCTGCAGAGTCTGTAGGTGTCGTGTGCTGCAGAGTCTGTAGGTGCCGCGTGCTGCAGAGTCTGTAGGTGTCGCGTGCTGCAGAGTCTGTAGGTGCCGCGTGCTGCAGAGTCTGTAGGTGTCGCGTGCTGCAGAGTCTGTACGTGCCCCGTGCTGCAGAGTCTGTAGGTGCCGCGTGCTGCAGAGTCTGTACGTGCCGCGTGCTGCAGAGTCTGTAGGTGCCGCGTGCTGCAGAGTCTGTAGGTGCCGCGTGCTGCAGAGTCTGTAGGTGCCGCGTGCTGCAGAGTCTGTAGGTGCCGCGTGCTGCAGAGTCTGTAGGTGCCGCGTGCTGCAGAGTCTGTAGGTGCCGCGTGCTGCAGAGTCTGTAGGTGCCGCGTGCTGCAGAGTCTGTAGGTGCCGCGTGCTGCAGAGTCTGTAGGTGCCGCGTGCTGCAGAGTCTGTAGGTGCCGCGTGCTGCAGAGTCTGTAGGTGCCGCGTGCTGCAGAGTCTGTAGGTGCCGCGTGCTGCAGAGTCTGTAGGTGCCGCGTGCTGCAGAGTCTGTAGGTGCCGCGTGCTGCAGAGTCTGTAGGTGCCGCGTGCTGCAGAGTCTGTAGGTGCCGCGTGCTGCAGAGTCTGTAGGTGCCGCGTGCTGCAGAGTCTGTAGGTGCCGCGTGCTGCAGAGTCTGTAGGTGCCGCGTGCTGCAGAGTCTGTAGGTGCCGCGTGCTGCAGAGTCTGCGTGCCGCTGCTGCAGAGTCTGTAGGTGCCGCGTGCTGCAGAGTCTGTAGGTGCCGCGTGCTGCAGAGTCTGTAGGTGCCGCGTGCTGCAGAGTCTGTAGGTGCCGCGTGCTGCAGAGTCTGTAGGTGCCGCGTGCTGCAGAGTCTGTAGGTGCCGCGTGCGCGTGCTGCAGAGTCTGTAGGTGCCGCGTGCTGCAGAGTCTGTAGTGCGCGTGCTGCAGAGTCTGTAGGTGTCGCGTGCTGCAGAGTCTGTAGGTGCCGCGTGCTGCAGAGTCTGTAGGTGCCGCGTGCTGCAGAGTCTGTAGGTGTCGCGTGCTGCAGAGTCTGTACGTGCCCCGTGCTGCAGAGTCTGTAGGTGCCATGAGTTCTTCTTCTGTGTCCAGGTTTAAGAACGTACAGTTTGAGATCGTGCCCGGTGCAGAGAAGGGCAGCTTCAGGGTCAAGGCTCGCTTCCTGGGAGTCCAGATGGAGGAGTTCAACCTCACCTATCAGGTACAGACAACTGTTCATCACACTCAACAACGCTCTGGGTGCTCCTTTGTTCTGCTCCAAACAAAAGAGACAAAGCCAAACAGGGCAAATTTTAGAGCCAAAGAAGCTCAGTGCTGAATGACATCACACGGTTGTTGTTTTATGATTTTCTTTCCACAAATGTTTGAATGAGCTGAGCACACAGCCAATCGTGTTGACCTGATCATTCCAACTCAAGGTTAGTGTGGGTTGAATATGATGACGGTCTGAGTTTGAAGGCGCAGTAGATGCTAATGTCTCGGTGCTAGCGCTTGTCAGTGTTCTTGTTCTCAGCCCAAATGTGTTTTAAGTTTCAGAAACGTTCAAGAAATTATGTTTTCATGGTCCTTTTTTACCACAGATCTGAGCAAGTTTCAAATTCTATCAAGTAGAGGTGCAACGGTTTATCACTGATCCGTGATTCGTTTGGATCAACGTCTTCGGTTCGGTACAGACGTGATCCGCGGTTTGATTTGCCGCTGCATTTAAGCAGCCCCTTTATGCACAGTCAGACCTGACTAAAGTCAACTCTCCCGCTCATCCACAGTTGCGCTCACGACTGACGCTTGGACGTCCCGCGGAACCTATAATAGATCCATAAGCGGAACGGAGAACTTCATCACCGCAGACTGGGAGATAAAGTCCGGCGCTGCAGACACGCCCCCTCTACGACAGTCACACAGGCACACAGCGCAGGTTCTGACACGCAGACTTGAGGAATGGAAGACAAAGGCCCAGAACTAATATCCCAGTCACAACTGATAATGCCAAAAATTAAATAAATGCAGTGAATGAGGCTGGACTGGGCCAGAATGGGCCGCCTCCTCGAGAGAATCAGGAAGGTGGTTTAATATATGACGGTAAATACCCTCATAAAGTGCCTTCTTATGTTGCACTTTGTGTTGTTTTCATTAATTATGTTAAAAAGACATAATTGGATGGATGGAATATGCCCATCCATTTCCTTCCCCTTAATCCATTTCTAGGTCAGGGGCCAGTACACAGAGCACCAGCCCCTCACTGATCCTCCTGCAAGGTGCCAAGTCCACATGAGCCGTGTTTATTAAAAAGTTTTTTTTTTTTTTTTAAATGAACCGAACCGTGGCCTCTGAACCAAGATACGAGCCGAACCGAGATTTTTTCAAACCGTTGCACCCCTACTATCAATAGATTTAATGTTAGAATTCCTCTGAGGGAAAGTGCAGCTCCATTATAAAATGTGTGTGTGTGTGTGTGTGTGTTCAGGAGTTGCTGCAGCTGCAGTACGATGGTGTGGCCGTGATGAGGATGTTCGACAAAGCCAAAGTCAACGTCAACCTGCTCATCTTCCTCCTCAACAAGAAGTTCTACAACAAGTGACGGGCGGCACTCAGACGACTGGGTCTAGGGAAAGGACTGGGGCTGGGACTGGGCTTATTCCGACTGAAACTGTACTCGGGTCTACCAAATGTGAAGTGCAGTTGGTTAGTTTGGGTTTTACATGTAAATACATATATCATCTGTCAATCAATCAGGTTTGTTACTGTCAAAAAATTGGCCCAAATTATTAATCATTATTTTACTTATTTGATTCAAAATTTGACATGAGAAAAGGTTAATTGATAGGAGTATTAGCAGGAAGTAGGAGTCCGCCCGTAAGTAAAATCTCTTCAGGGGTTTGAAAATATCCAAATATAAAGAGTTGGAAACCGGAGGCTACATTAAAAAAGTTTTTCAGTTTCAGTTAAAGAACAGTCTACACTTTTTATCATATGAGTCTAGTGGTCCTAATCCAGCCCAGAGCAGAACCAGCCCTGAGCCCCCTAACTTATTCTACACAAATACGTTCACAATGATGAGCTCGTTTCTAAGCTTTAAGAGGCCGACTTCACACTAAAGTGACCATTCTGAGAAAAGACATAGGTTTGAGTTTGAGGAGACAGTATTTTATCATGTTTTGTGTGTTGTGCTGCTTTGTCTCGTCTTTGTCCTCTTTTCCTCTGAATGTTCTCTGCACAATCATGTATTTTAATATCTATGTTTTTATATCTGTCCTAAACACTCCAGTTTTTATCTCTCCAAATATGAATAAATAATGTTTACTCCACTTAGTTTTTAATGGAGTGTTCTTGGATCGACCTGGATTTCAAACTTGAGCAGAAAGAGAATTTATCAGTTTCCAAACTCAAGAAAGACAGAGGCTTTCAAAAAAGGTTTTTACCTGATTCCCAAAGCAGTTCAGGAGTGGGAGTCTGTACAAGGCTGGATAGAAACCCTGGCCTCAGTCCTGAGTCTGCAGCCTCAGTCCTGGGTCTACAGCTTCAGTCCTGGATCTGCAGCCTCAGTCCTGGATCTACAGCCTCAGTCCTGGATCTGCAGCCTCAGTCCTGGATCTACAGCCTCAGTCCTGGGTCTACAGCCTCAGTCCTGGATCTGCAGCCTCAGTCCTGAGTCTGCAGCCTCAGTCCTGGATCTACAGCCTCAGTCTTGGATCTACAGCCTCAGTCTTGGATCTGCAGCCTCAGTCCTGGATCTACAGCCTCAGTCCTGGATCAACAGCCTCAGTCCTGGGTCTACAGCCTGTTGGCAACATCAATGTGGGCCTCCCTGTGGTTTCTCCACTTGTCTCCCTCTGGGTTTAGAGTTGTTCCTCTGATGCAGGAGGTCCTAACGACGAGATGATCCAGGACACGCCACAATCACGTAAAACAGTGGTCTCTGCTCCTCATGGACCAACGGCTCTTTGTGTTTGTTATTGTTGCAGTTCTTTTGTTTGATCTGTTTGATTTTCTGATCTGTGTTGGTGAATCAACAGCTTTGTTCTTCAAGATAACTGTTGTGATTTAGAGCAATATAAGAATAATTGGAATTGAATAGTTAAGCACAGGGTCTGTTTCATGCTGCAGCAGAAGATCCTCCTCCGCACCATGTGACGCTTCATATTTCAGCCACTTTTATTTCATTGTGTAAACTAGTCTCTTACATATACACCTCACATGTTTGAACTGTAACATAACACATAAGTAAACCGATTTGTTTTTGAATGTTTATCTGAACATAGAATAAAAATAAAAACGGTAAGAATAAAAGCAAAACAAATGACAATAAATACAGGACAATAACAAAAGAGAAAAAAAACGTATTCATGTTCCTTATGTTAACTCAATATATTGAAATAAGTTATTTTCTGGAAGTTCTATTGATTAACATTTATTTATATACAATATAATGTGTACGACAATAGCTCAGTTTTGGTAGAGCAGTTGGCCTTGGGCTGAGGTGTGGGTTCAAGCCCCCCATAAGACCTACTTCACGTCTCCCACGCTGATACTGCTGTCGTTGTGTCCTGGGCAAGACACTTCTAACCCCTACTTTGCACTGAAAGCTTCCACTGAAAGATCTCTGCTCTGTGGACTCACCACTGCAGGAGGATCAGTGAGGGGCTGGTGCCTCAGTGGACTGGGTGCAGCTCTGACTGCCCCCCCCAACCCAGAAACTGGATTAAGGGAAAGAAAATGGATGTGTATATTAAATTATATAAATAATATATGTATAACTGATTGTATATGATATATATAAAGTTTTCTTCGTTATAAAAACGGTTTGTTTTTGTAAATAGTTTTTGTATTTACTTGATCACGTGGTGCTAAGTTGTTGAACGTCGTTCGTATGGCATTTCCGGTGCACGTCCAGGTGAAGCAGGTGCGTGCCCGCGGTGCTCGCAGCGTACAGGTGAGAGGAGCGTGTGTCTGTTCTGAAGTTCTGTTCTGTGTCCATGAGCGGCAGGACGCGCCTGTTCTTCTGTGGTTCTCTTGTACTTTGGGAAGAATCGGGACAGTATCGATCCTGGAGCTGAAACTGCCCAGAGGCTGTTTGCTGATCATAGTCTGTAAATGTGCTAATGCTGTTCCTTTAAACAGTCTCTGTCCTGTGTCCGTGTTGGATCTGTGTATATTATATTAATGTTTTACACTATAAATATGGGCCTTTTGGCTGAATTATAAAAGTGACGTCATATGTGTTCATAGAATCCACTTCCTGTTCAGTCTGTGGTCCTGAGCCATAAATGAAAGTTAATAACTTCACAATCACCGCTGTTGTGGATCCTCCTGTGCAAACAGTAAACCTTTCATGTTTGGGTGGAACCTTTTCTGATAGTGGTTTTATAACTATTAAATGTTATTGCTCTTTTATATGATAATGAGATGAAAATGTCACATTTAATACGAAATCATATTGAAAAAACATATTTCTCAACATGAGTAAATTCAAAAGAAATAAAATATAACATGTTTGTAAACAGCCAAAAACTACTGTCCAGAGCACTGCTGTCCAGACCCCGCTCCCATCTCTGTGTGGAGTGAGAGACAAGTGCCCAAAAAATAACAATTGTAAACCGCTTTGTGACTCTGGTCTGTGAAAGGCGGTATATAAATAAAGCTTACTTACTACTTACTTACTACTTACACTGCTGTCCAGAGCACTGCTGTCCAGAGCACTGCTGTCCAGAGCACTGCTGTCCAGAGCAGAGGATTAAACCATTATTAATATACTAATGGTTTTACTAATACAAAACCATTATTCAAAACTATCTTTTATTAAGAAAAATATATTATTTATTTCTGATCTTTTGTCTCACAGCTCATCTTGCAGTGTATTAATTTTGGAAAATAGATTGGAAAGAAAATGTCTTTTATTTTTCTTTATATCAATCCAGGACAAGGATTTGTCAATATTTTAAAAATCATCTGTTTATACATTGTTTTGACAAATTATATTTAACCAGGAAAGTCCCATGGAGGATTTTGAATCTTGTTCAGGGAAGTGCTGGCTCTAGAGCGAGGACTGGGATGGGGGAGGGTGTTACGGGGTACACATGTTTAGTGGTCAGGGAAACCGGAGCACCTGGAGGAAAGCTATGCTGGCACCAGGAGAACATGCAAATCCCACTCAGACAGGCACAGGACCGAGGTTTGAAGGGAATGCACCATTCATTCTGCTTTAGTCTTATTAGGAGCAAAGGATAAACATGTGATGTCCACAGAGTTCTTAGCATGTGTCTGTGTTATCCATACAGTGTATGGCACTGGTGTCAAACTCGGGCCCCTGGGCCAAATGGGGCCCGGAGAGCATTACACCAGGGCCTCGTTCTGAGCGTGCACCAGTGGGAAAAAGTTTACAACAGAAAGTGGAACTTCATCCTGTGAATGATCTGTGCATCATGTTGTTGTGGTGACTTCAAATGCAGCTGCTTTAAGTGTTTCTCTGCGTTAAGGACAGCGCCAAAGAACGTAAACTGAACGTCCTCTAGAATTATACAGTCTGTGATGTCACATGTCCCTGTGCTGCTGTTGCAGATGTCACAGGTGAAGTGTGCAGAGGCTAACAGCTGGACAGAGAGCCAGGTGATGTCACCAACAGTGGGCGGGGCCTGGGACGAGAACACTCTGCCCATTGGAGCAGCTCAAGTGTTTAGTCCCGCCCCCATCTGCCTCAAAGAATCATGGGACACAGAGGCAGAGAGGAGGCCCTTCATCCAGCAGCACTTCCTCCAGGACGAGTGGTCGGAGGAGGCGCCACCTACAGGTACATGTGTGAACTGCAGCCCTGAGCTTAGAGTGGCTATGTGTGAGTGCATGTCTTTATATAATACATATATGTAATATATTATGTCATTATATGTATATAATAAATTATGTCATAATATGTGTATAGTTAGTATATATAATAATGGTCTAACCTGCAGTGTACTGTTACAGGCCACTGCTGCGGAGAGCGCCTCCTCCTGAAGATGGCGGTGTCCCTGGGCACCTCTGCGCTCCTCTTCCCCTTCCTGGTGTGGGGGGGGTATGTCTTCCTGCCCTTCGACGCCCCGCTGATGCAGGACGCCCCCATGAGGCTGGTCTACACACTGCGCTGCTCTGTGTTCGCCACGCTCCTCATTGCTCTGGGTGAGTGTCTTTACGATCGGAAACATGCCTCGGTCCAGAATCAGACCCGAATGATTTAGTTGACCGTAGAAAACAGAGTTAGCATCAGATCTATGCTCCTCATGAGCGACTTTTATTTTGGGAATAACACAGATTTGCAGATCAGCTTTTGAGTAAGTCCAGTTTCATGCTAAATGTAGTTCTGGAACAGTCTTTGGTGAAGAGTCACTCACAGATGAACAGATTCTTCTTTCAGAGTCAGATCCTGTGGAAAAAGTCGAGCTACACTCTCCGCATTCTTTGTCTTTGGTCAAATTCACACATTTATACCAGAAACACATGTTCTCCAAGTCACATGATGCTAACACTTTGGTCACATTTATTTTTATTTTTTTATTTAAAGATAGCCCAAGCCCCGGCGATCCAAGATGGCGCCCTATTCAAATGAATGGTTGTGCTCAGTGGCGCTTTGTGACGGCATGGGGGCTGAAAGATTAGCGGAAGTCGCCTGGAACTCGCAAAGATCTATGGGAAACTCGCCTGTATTTGGGCATCGTCTGGTCCTCCCGGTTCTGCGCAGTGGATGATCTCCCATAATGCATTGCGTCAAACACGCGTGTGTGGGTCTCACACCGGGTCTCACGCACGTGCACAGAGGGGCTCGGCCGCGCTCTGACCAATCAGAGCAGTTCATCAGAGCGGGAGTTAGAGCGAGAGCCGGACGAGCAGAGTTTGTGGCACTAAAGTGTGGATTTAAACAAAACCGAAGGATTTAAGAAGAAAAAAGTTCAGGATGACAAGGGACACTAAAATCCCCACAAAATCCGACCTTTATGAAAGAGGAGGGTCTCTGTCAGCTGAGGTTGCGCTGTTTTAATATGCATTTTGGGTAGCCCACGTGAATTTAGTCTGGTTCAGTCTGCAGCACATGAGTTATTCAGCTACAAGCTAGTAATACTCTATCCAGTTATTATAATAGATCCATGGGACAGCCCCATTGAGATAAACTCTCTTTTTCAAGGGGGTCCTTTACCACAGAAGAAAATTACAAATAACAAATAAGATGGCTTACATCAGCAATACAAAACAAAACAATAAAAAAGAATGAAAATAAAAAAAATTAAAAAATGTAACAAGCGTAACTCAAGCATGAATTGTTAACTCACATATATATATATATATATATATATATATATATATATATATATAATGATATAGTACATCATACACACACAACACACGCACACCCACACAAACACTGCCACGTATCTCAATCCGAAAACCATGTATTTCAATCCTAATATCTTCATATACATATATACACATATGCATACACATACAGACACATATATACAGTACATACAGTACCTTGCGAAAGTATTCGGCCCCCTTGAACCTTTCAACATTTCGCCACATTTCAGGCTTCAAACATAAAGATATAAAATTTAAATTTTTTGTCATGAATCAACAACAAGTGGGACACAATCGTGAAGTGAAACGAAATTTATTGGATAATTTAAACTTTTTTAACAAATAAACTGAAAAGTGGGGCGTGCAATATTATTTGGCCCCTTTACTTTCAGTGCAGCAAACTCACTCCAGAAGTTCAGTGAGGATCTTTGAATGATCCAATGTTGTCCTAAATGACTGATGATGATAAATAGAATGCACCTGTGTGTAATCAAGTCTCTGTATAAATGCACCTGCTCTTTGATAGTCTCAGGGTTCTGTTTAAAGCGCAGAGAGAACCATGAAGACAAAGGAACACACCAGGCAGGTCCGAGATACTGTTGTGGAGAAGTTTAAAGCCGGATTTGGATACAAAATGATTTCCCAAGCTTTAAACATCTCAAGGAGCACTGTGCAAACAATTATATTGAAATGGAAGGAGTATCAGACCACTGCAAATCTACCAAGACCTGGCCGTCCCTCCAAACTTTCATCTCAAACAAGGAGAAGACTGATCAGAGATGCAGCCAAGAGGCCCATGATCACTCTGGATGAACTGCAGATAACTACAGCTGAGGTGGGAGAGTCTGTCCATAGGACAACAATCAGTCGTGCACTGCACAAATCTAGCCTTTATGGAAGAGTGGCAAGAAGAAAGCCATTTCTCAAAGATATCCATAAAAAGTCTCGTTTAAAGTTTGCCACAAGCCACCTGGGAGACACACCAAACATGTGGAAGAAGGTGCTCTGGTCAGATGAAACCAAAATCGAACTTTTTGGCCACAATGCAAAACGATATGTTTGGCGTAAAAGCAACACAGCTCATCACCCTGAACACACCATCCCCACTGTCAAACATGGTGGTGGCAGCATCATGCTTTGGGCCTGCTTTTCTTCAGCAGGGACAGGGAAGATGGCTAAAATTGATGGGAAGATGGATGGAGCCAAATACAGGACCATTCTGGAAGAAAACCTGTTGGAGTCTGCAAAAGACCTGAGACTGGGACGGAGATTGATCTTCCAACAGGACAATGATCCAAAACATAAAGCCAAATCTACAATGGAATGGTTCACAAATAGACGTATCCAGGTGTTAGAATGGCCAAGTCAAAGTCCAGACCTGAATCCAATCGAGTCTCTGTGGAAAGAGCTGAAGACTGCTGTTCACAAACGCTCTCCATCCAACCTCACTGAGCTCGAGCTGTTTTGCAAGGAAGAATGGGAAAGAATTCCACTCTCTTGATGTGCAAAACTGATAGAGACATACCCCAAGCGACTCGCAGCTGTAATTGCAGCAAAAGGTGGCGCTACAAAGTATTAGCGCAAGGGGGCCGAATAATATTGCACGCCCCACTTTTCAGTTTTTTATTTGTTAAAAAAGTTTAAATTATCCAATACGTTTCGTTCCACTTCACGATTGTGTCCCACTTGTTGTTGATTCTTGACAAAAAAGTAATTTTTATATCTTTATGTTTGAAGCTTGAAATGTTGAATACACACACACACATTATTAACAGTTTAATCTAACTATTCAAGCTCTGCGCGTGCTGTATAAAGGGGGCTCACTCATTTACAATGTTATAGAGCATTATGTATGGTCATAAACTAACATATACATGGTTTATTTAAATAGTCATATAATAGTGACCTATATAAATGAACAGATGTTGCTGCTCGAAGTTCAGCTACATGATGCTAACACTCAAGTCACATGATGCTAACACTCAAGTCACATGATGCTAACACTCAAGTCACATGATGCTAACACTCAAGTCACATGATGCTAACACTAAAGTCACATGATGCTAACACTCAAGTCACATGATGCTAACACTCAAGTCACATGATGCTAACACTCAAGTCACATGATGCTAACACTCAAGTCACATGATGCTAACACTTTGGTCTCTGTGGCAGGGTACGTGGTCCTGGGCGTGTCTCGTCTGCGCTCCAGTGAGGTGCGCCCCCTGGAGGCCTCTGTCTCTAACGACGTCACCGTGCACCGGAACTACGTGTCTGACTCCGCCCACCTGTTCCTGCTCTACTTCCTGCAGCTGGGCGTCATGGCGACATACCTGAGCCAGGACCAGCTCAAACTGGTGCCGCTGCTCACCGTGCTCTTCTGCCTCGGACGGTGAGATATGTCTGAGTCCTCACATGGTCCTCACATGGTCCTCACATGGTCCTCACATGGTCCTCACATGGTCCTCACATGGTCCTTGGTCACGGTCCGTCACAGTCGTCTGTCTGCGTTGCCTTTTCGTGGGTTAAGGCTTGATTCTAATCTGGAGGTGGTTCATGAATCGGTTCATTTTTCAGTGAATGTTTTTCTTCTTTAACTTATTTATCTGGATTGACTTGGTTCCCGCACAACCAGGGATAATAAATGGAACATGATCAGACTCTGCTTCAGTTTAATGAAGAAAAATGTATTAATACTATTAATACTATTAGTACTAATAATACTGATAATAATGCAGACACTCAAAGTCTCTTCACATCATTATTCATTCACTCCAAACACACAGTGGTGATAAACTGCGACTGTAGCCACAGCTGCCCTGGGGCACACTGACCCCTCCCACCACCACCAACCATTCACAAACACACCAGACTCATTCTAATTTGAGTGAAGTGTCTTGCCTAAGGACACAACCACAGTTTGGCACTTTACAGCCGCGGCCGCCCCACTGTGGCCCCTGGTCTAAGGTCTAGGAGACAGAATACATCTGGACTCAGGCTCAGTGTAAACCTGGTCCCAGAGACAGAAGAAACTGTCCTCATACCAGGTGGAGAGGTGATGTCATGTGAAACGATACCATATTGGCAACCTATCTATGACCAGAATACAGAATGTCCTGGGGCCCCAAATGGAGGCCACTCTGAGTCGAGGGCCGCACAGAAACAGAACACATCCAATGCATGTAAGGATGACATCATTTATGTGTAGTACAGATACAACTCTTGGGTCGATCTATAGCTCTGCCAATACATTTTAAATCTGCAAAAGTAATCCACTTTTAAAGTCCACACTGGACTGTTTCTGTCAACTTCTGTCTTTGCGTCATGGGTCATAGTAGGCAAGGCAAGGCAAGTTTATTTATATAGCACAATTCATACACAAGGCAACTCAAAGTACTGAACAAAACAAGAAAGCATTAAAATAATAATAAATAATCACAGAACATTAAAAAGAAAGATACAAATATAAAATCCCTCAGTTGTATGCACAGTTAAACAGAACTGTCTTTAACCTGGTTTTAAACATTGTCAGAGAGGAGGCCTGTCTCACATCTTCAGGAAGACTGTTCCAGATTTTAGCAGCATGAATCTGAAAAGCAGCCTCCCCATGTTTAGTTCTGACTCTGGGCACTAACAGGAGTCCAGTCCCTGTGCTCCTCAGAGTCCGGGCTGGTTCATATGGGACTAACATGTCACTAATATATTTTGGTGCGAGGCCATGGAGAGACTTGTACACAAGCAGAGCTGTTTTAAAGTCTATTCTCTGAGCCACAGGAAGCCAGTGCAGAGACCTGAGGACTGGACTAATATGGCCGTACTTCCTGGTTCTAGTCAGGACTAATGTGGTCGTACTTCCTGGTTCTAGTCAGGACTCGAGCTGCTGCATGTTGAATGTACTGCAGCTGTTTTACAGCCTGTTTGGACAGACCTGTGAGCAGGCCATTGCAGTAGTCTAACCTACTGGAGACAAATGCATGGATAAGAATCTCCAGGTCTGCTTTAGACACTATGTTTTTGATCCTGGCAATGTTTTTTAGGTGGTAAATAGCTGCTGATTTACTGAGTAGTAGAAGGAGAAAGTCAGGAGTCCAGCAGCAGAAACATAAATACATAATTCTAAACGTGACTAACAATAGTAATAAAGTCAACAGCAGCAGAAAGGTTATGGTAAAGCTCTGAACCTGAATCCAGCTGATGATATGTTTCCTGAGACACTTCTTTACTTGTTTGTGTTTTAAAGATGCTTAGATTTACCGAACTCTGCTGACTTTCCTCTGCAGTCTCAGCGTAGTGGCAAAGAGACCGCAGGTTTACAGAGTGCGAAGAATCAATACATAGAATAGTCGAGTTAGCGTTTAAAATACCGGTAAAATACAACACCCCTAACCACAAAGAGACACAATATGAACAATATTAACAACACACAAAGTGCTCAACAACATGCATACATGACATAACCGTACATGATGCACTCTTTAGCACGTACAGTATGTTTATCAGTGAGGGCTGAACTAAAGACCAGCCTCTGTCCCTCAGGCTGGTGTACTGGGTCGCCGCCGCCTTCCAGAGCAGTGTCCGGGCGTTTGGCTTCGGCCTCTGCTTCCTCCCGTCCCTCGTCATGATGGCCGCCAACCTCTACTTCCTGGTGACGATGGAGATGGGAGCTGGAGAGTTTGTCCCGCTTCAGACAGAGCAGGCCCCGCCACCCGGACGCCAACGCTTCTGGGGCTGAGCGTCAGGACTGTGCCTTTCTCATAACTATTGATGAAGAGCGGTGGAATGAAGAAATGTCATGTTTTTTATGTGGGAATGAAGAAGTTGCCAAATCTTCGTTAGAATCTATTGTAGCAGTTTTATCAATCATGTGTTTTTGTCATGGTACAATCGAGAAGTATGTTTTTATGTTATTGTCTTTTTTTATTAGCACACTTCATACACAAAGCAAAGCTAGCTGTAGTCACCAAGGCTCTCGCAGAAACACTGATGTCCTGAAGTGAAGCATGTTGGAGAAACAGAAGTGAAAGTTTTCCTTTGCTTCAGTCAGTGTTACTGTGAGACTGTGTGTAACCTCTCTCTAAATCTAATCTAAAGCTATAAGGAAGTACATAGCACTTTCTCATGAAACCATCATCACAAACAACCATGCACAGCGCCCTCTTCTGGACAGATGTGTCACAGCGCTCATGGATGTTACTGTAGACATGGAGAATATAACATGTTCAGACAGAGCTCAGACTGACGTCAGAGGAATAAGATAAAAGATCCTTTGTTTGTCGCAGTGGGGAGTGATGCTGAATGAAGAGTGTGAAGTGAATGAATCATGTTTAAATAAACAATACAGACTCCGCTGCATCTATTTATTTATTTGAACAGTATTAATACTGCACAAAAGGAGAGGGCTGAAGCAAAAAGCTTATTAGCACCGCACCCCCAAAGTCAATTACAATCAAACTTTACATATTATAATGAAAATAGTACAGAACAAGGATATAAAGGCACACAAAAGAGCTACATCTGCACATCCTGAATTATAGAATAATTAACAATCAATTTACAGAATAAAGGGTTGTCATGACATTGACTTTGAATTCACGGACCAGAGAGAGACAAGAGCCTCACTGACAAAAGGACAAAATAGATTTTTAGTTTGTTTCTAGGCAGTTTCAGTCACACTTTGAACTGTTCTTTTTCTTATCATCAATCACTGGTTTAAGAGGATTAATGAAACAGATGCATCATTATTCTGTGAGATGTGTGTCCAAATCAACTTGAGATACTTAAGAAACACCAGTGTTTTCTTCCAATCAGAATGTGTCCATATCTTTTACTGTTCGGTGATCAGTTTCAGATCATTTGCTATGAATAACGTGACGTGCGCAGCCTCCAGTGCGCCCCCACGTGGTCTGTGACCGAACAGCACAGGACCAGAGGAGAGAGACCAGCGGAGACGGAGCAGAGGAAGGAAGATCCCGGCCATCAGAGCGCTCTCAGCGGCATCGAGGAGAGAGTAGCCCGGCCATCAGAGCTCTCACAGCGGGAGAGAGAAGGGAAGAGCCCGAGAGAAGAGCTCTCACAGCGGGTGCGAGGAGAGAAGAGCCGTGTTCCCAGCTCCCGGGGGCCGGGGGCCTGGCGGCAGGACCGCTGCAGGGCCATGAGCCCCGTCATGGACCTGTTGTGGAGAATCCTCGCTGCTCTCAGCTTTGACTGCTTCAAAGATTCCACATCCACGAGGTGAGCGGCTCTTGTTCTCCTCCAGAGCTGAGGGCCAGAGGGAGCTCCAGGGACTGGGGGTCCAGGGACTGGAGGTCCAAGGCCAGGTGCGCACGTGCACTGGCCTTCATCACAACACCTCTGTGGGCCTGTGCACCCGACATACGTCACTGTGACGTCAACATACTGTTTGACCGGGTGCTGTTCTAGGCGTCTGTCATATAATATAATAGGACTCTGGGCGCATGCGCTGGGAGATTACTCAACTTGTATTTTCTTACAGAAAAGGAAATCTGCTTTCATTAATGTCACTTGTTCTGTACCGAGAATGTGACGTGTGCGTGTGTGAGTGCGCTGTGTGCAGGTCTCAGGCCCTCACCTCTTTCTCTGTTTATAGGTCCCCAGGGGCCCTCAGCAGTGCCCGGCCCAGTGTGGACAGCAGCTCTCTGACTGGCTCTCTGTCCCTGGGGCCCGACCTGCCACACTGTCAGAGTGGTGTGTGTCCTGGCGCCTCCCACGGGGCCTCTCACGCGGCCTCTCACGGGGCCCGCCTGAAGCGTCTGTCTTGTGGGCACCTGTACTGTGGCCCCTGCTGTGACATCATCGTGAACCAGGCCTTTGAGGACATCGAGGGCCTGTCTCAGTTCCCCTGTCCCCTGTGCCGCTCCCACAGACAGGGGCCCGCCCAGGGGCCCTCGCTGAGGCAGCTGGGACCCTCCTGCTCGGCGTACTTCAGCGGCCCCTACAGCCTCCTGCACAACCCCCCTGAGGAGCCCTGACCCCTGAGGACCTCCATGCGGGCCCCTTCAGTGCGCAGCAGTAGCAGGTCCCTTTGGGAGACCTGCTGCAGACTTCATCTAAGTTTGAGAAAAAGCTTTTTTCAGATGAAACTGAGAGAGTGATGTCACACTCTGTGTAATTAGTGTCAGGACCAAAAGTAACTGAAAGTGTAACCGTGATATCATTTAATATTAAGATATAAAAATTTTAGAGTAACTTATGATGGCCACATGTGAACTACTGCTACTGCCGACGAACCCAACCCCGACTCAGACTCAGGCTCAGACTCAAACCCAGACTCAGGCTCAGACCCAGACCCAGAGTCTTCTCTGGACTCAGACTTTAAAGGACACCGACGCTCTGTGAACTTCATATATAATAGTTTGTGTAAATCTCACAGGATGGACCTTTGTTTTATATAAAATAGTTTTATAAAAGTCTTCATGTGAGATCCCTCGTGGGGGCTGTGTGTGTGCCTGAGAGTTTGTGTAATATACTTTTCTGAAATGTGTAAACTTGACATTTGTACAAAATAAAGAGTCTTGTGTGAGTTTCACTTTCACTTTATTACATCATCATGAAACAAGAAGCAGGCCACGCCCACACTCTGCTTCCCTCAACACTGATTGGCTGCTTCAGCTGTCACTGAAACATGATATTTTCACATATGAAAAGAAAAAAATATTTCATACAGTTTATTGTGTTTGGAACATTTCAGATTCAAAAATATTTCATAAAAAAGTTGTTGACTGTAAACAAAGTTCCATTTGAGTCTAAATGTAAGAATGTATATGAATAATAAATATAATACTTTTAATGAACGTAGAAGAGTATAAATGACTCCAGCGCATGGATCACATGGTTCAGTCCATCCTGCATGTTCTTCCCCTGTATCCGGGACCGGGAGCAGGTGGCAGTCTGAGCAGAGACTGTTTCACACCAGTCTTTGTCAAAAGTGGAGCAGCACAGAAATAGTACTGTGGCCCAAATACACACACACACGCATTCCAGATACACATATACATACACCCGCACACACACACAAGTCTAAATCACAGTCTCAAAGGTCTAATATTAGACCCCCCCCAGTCTGCTCTGGGCCCCCTTGCTCTGACGTCACAAAAGGACGCTCCAGTTCTTCTAAAGACAAAAGTCCAGGAATGTGTTCAAATGCAGTGAGATATAAAGGTATATAAGAGGAGGAAGATGTTTCGGGTGGAAAACCAAGACCAGGGATGTCAAAGTCAAATACATCAGAGGCCAAAAAAACTAATTTGCAAAAGGCGAGGGCCGGAATGGTTCAATGTTTATTCAAACATATAACAATTTTGCATAATACTGAGGGGGTGGCAGTAGCTCAGTTGGTAGAGCACTGGTCTTTGAAACTAATGGTTGTGGGATCAAGCCCACCATGACCCATGTCACCTGCTCCCACTGATGTCTGCTGTCGTTGTGTCCCTGAGCAAGACACTTAACCCCACATTGCCTGAAGTTCCCGCTGAAAGACCAAGGCCAGGTCGACGATGATGCAGACGCCATCATTTATTTATTTATTATTTATTTATTTATTTATTTGAAAAGGAGGGACAATACATATTAATTACCATTTTCACCAATCATCCTGTGGCCTCACCACCTGCAGAGGTTCAGCGAGGGACTGGTGCCATGAGACTTGGGTGGCAGCTCTGATTGCCCGCTCCCGGAAATGGCTTGATAAAGGGGAAGACAATCCATCCATCCATCCATTTTCTTCCGCTTTATCCGTTGCCGGGTCGCGGGGGCAGCAGTCTAAGCAGAGACGCCCAGACTTCCCTATCCACACACACGTCCTCCAGCTCGTCCGGGGGGACCCCTAGGCGTTCCCAGGCCAGCTGAGAGACATAGTCCCTCCAGCGTGTCCTAGGTCTTCCGCGGGGCCTCCTCCCGGTGGGACGTGCCCGGAACACCTCCCCAGGGAGGCGTCCAGGAGGCATCCGGAACAGATGCCCGAGCCACCTCAACTGGTTCCTCTCGACGTGGAGAAGCAGCGGCTCTACTCCGAGCTCCTCCCGTGTGACTGAGCTCCTCACCCTATCTCTAAGGGAGCGCCCAGCCACTCTGCGGAGGAAGCTCATTTCGACCGCTTGTATCCGCGATCTCGTTCTTTCGGTCATTACCCAAAGCTCATGACCATAGGTGAGGGAGGGAACGAAGATTGACCGGTAAATCGAGAGCTTTGCCTTTCGGCTCAGCTCCCTCTTTACCACAACGGTCCGATACAGCGACCGCATCACTGCGCACGCTGCACCGATCCGCCTGTCAATCTCACGCTCCATTCTTCCCTCACTCGTGAACAAGACCCCGAGATACTTGAACTCCTCCACTTGAGGAAGGACCTCTCCACCCACCTGAAGAGGGCAGGGCACCTTTTTCCGGTCGAGCACCATGGCCTCAGATTTGGAGGTGCTGATTCTCATCCCAGCCGCTTCACACTCGGCTGCAAACCGTCCCAGTGAATGCTGCAGGTCCTGGTTCGTTGGAGCCAACAGGACAACATCGTCCGCAAACAGCAGAGATGAAATCCTGTGGTCCCCGAACCGGACCTCCTCCGACCCCTGGCTGCGCCTAGATATTCTGTCCATAAATACAGTGAACAGAACCGGTGACAAAGGGCAGCCCTGTCGGAGGCCAACATTCACCGGGAACAGATCTGACTTACTGCCGGCAATGCGAACACAGCTCTGGCTCCGGTCATACAGGGACCGGATGGCCCTCAGCAGAGGACCCCCGACCCCGTACTCCCGGAGAACCCCCCAAAGGACACCCCGGGGAACACAGTCGAACGCCTTCTCCAAATCCACAAAGCACATGTGGACAGGTTGGGCGAACTCCCATGAACCCTCGAGTATCCGATGGAGAGTATAGAGCTGGTCCAGTGTTCCGCGACCGGGACGAAAACCACACTGCTCCTCCTGGATCCGAGATTCGACCATCGGCCGTAGCCTCCTCTCCAGTACCTTGGAGTAGACCTTACCGGGGAGGCTGAGGAGTGTGATCCCACGATAATTGGAACACACCCTCCGGGAAGACAATGACATGCTATAATTGACCCAACACAAATAATATCCCGGGGCCCGAGATAATTCACTCGCAGGCCTTGACTTTGACACCCATGATCAAGACTATGGGTTCTTCTGTCAATCATTCTGGTGATACGTGACTGTCAAACAAAGGAGATTCTTTCACACAATGGCGCTGAAAGCACTGATGCTTCAGCCGTTTCTACTCCACAGGTAAAGTTCATTCTATTTGAAGAAATCCATTTCAAATCACTTCCAGTAAAAGTCATCTACTGTACGTCTATAATGTCTGACATCGTGGAAACAGTGCAAATGTTCTTGGAAAGAGCTAGAGTGAGCGACGCCCGGAGTGACCTGTAACAGAACGTGCATGAGGAGAACTGGGCTCGTGCACGTCTCTCGTCTTTAGTAAGCCATCCTCTGGAGACATTTTATTTTAAGTAAAACCTCTGTCGGATTATTTTCACCTCAGCGTCATGTCATCATGTGATTTAGAAACATAAAGTGGAGCCTGTGAGTCCTGAGCTGCTGTATCTGTAACAGGACAAGGCTGTGGTCGCACACTTTGAGATTATTGATACAAAGATTGTGGTTGGAGTTGTGTAAGCGTACCAAAAACATCATCCACTCATATTCATCGTACCATCGTCACGGCTTCCACAGCATTTGGAATGATTGTAAAAGTGTGAGTGCAGTTATGACAGCTTCAGCCTGTCTCCTCTGACAGGGCCTTTACTCGTCCCACAGCAGGGAAATTACTAACATTAAAACATTAGATTTTATTATCCGTCAGGGAGGAAGACACAGCTGCTCATGTCTATAAAACATTGGAGGAATATCTCTCACCACGAGATGAGATTCTGGGATTTCCTTTAAGACTCCCCCAAAGTTGGACCTCACAGCTGTGTCCTCTAAATATTATCTGTAAAAATGTGTAGATTTTGCCAAAATGCTGGTTTGAACCTCCAGGGGAAGGATGGCCAAAGGGACCACAGCCCCCAGAGAAAAGCAGCTGATGGAGCGTCCCTCAGGAGGCCGTGTGCGGGCGACAGGACTGACTCTGGGCCTCAGGGGCCGTGGACCGCCTCCGTCCCGGGGACGAGGCTCTGAAGAGGAAGGTGTGTTTGTGACTTCTCTGAGGAGAGCTCTGCTGGGGGCCGGCCGCAGGTCTGGAGCTCTGCTGGGGTCCGGCTGCAGGTCTGGAGCTCTGTTGGGGGGACGGGGTCTTGGAGCTTCTGGCTGCAGGGAAGAGGAAGGTGCTGTTGTTGGCGTTCTGGTTCAGGTCCCGCTGGAGGCCCATGGGGGTCTCAGGGGAACAGGGCTCTTTGGGCACCGGGACCTGGGACAGCTGGGTGCGCAGCTGCTGCACCTGCCGGGACAGCCGCTCCACAGGGTGAGGCTGAGGAGAGGACAGCGGGTGGGAGAAGGCCTGGACAGAGGACAGGGTTTTATCAGAGCAGTCCCCAGGAGCCCCCAAACATCTGCTGAACATTTGAAATGTTTTCATCCCAACACTAACGCTAATGCTAACACTAACACTAACACTAACACAAACGCTAATGCTAACACTAATGCTAACGCTAACACTAACACTAACGCTAACACTGCTATTGACTTTCTTTAAACAGCTGACAACAGCTACAGGGACAGAGGCCTTTAGCTGAAGTAAGATCTTAGTCACTTTAAACGCACATAGACACTGTTTCACTTCCTGTCTGCTCGTCCTGAGTGATTCCACTGATGCCAAATGTAACACGAACATTTCTTTACTGTGAGATGAATAAAGTTTTATCTCATCAGAGATGGTGGAGCTCGTACCTGTGCATGTATGGCCCCCCGCAGGTAGCACTGCCTCCACAGACCCAGGCAGGGGCCCATCAGCAGAGGCAGCAGAGGTTCATAGGGGTCCAGGGGCCCCTGGGGGCCTGAGTGTGAGGTGAGAGTGTGGGGGAAGTCAGCCAGAGCCCAGGCCTTTAAGAGCCTCTCCAGCCCCGGCACGTGCTCCGAGGACAGGGCCCTGCGGTGGCTCTTCCGGTACACGCTGGAGCTGAGGCTGCTGCGCCAAGGGGGCAGCTGAGGGGGGCAGGAGAAACTGCCCCGGGACAAGAGGAAGACTGAGCCAGGGATGGTGTCTGCCATCTGCACAGAGAGACACACACAAACACACAAACACAGACACGCACACGCACACACACACACACACACAGGAGTGCATTGTAAATTTCTCCATTGAGAGATCAATAAAGTTTATATTAAAGCGACC